GCACTTTGTCAACAAGAAAACCATGCAGGCATAAAAGGTAAAAATCTTTGCTTTTTTACAAATAATTGCTCAAGACAAAGTCACTTTCACTCCCTCAAAAATATAGGAGGCAGATAAGAAAGAGAAAAGTTGTGGACTGGAACCTGAAGTGCCAAGAGCTATTGAAACTATATAGAATTACGGTGCTATATTACGCGTAATGATTGTTGTTATAAACTCGAGGCAGTTCGTCCAACAAAACAGTTTGTAAACCAATCATTCCCGATGCCAATCAAGTACGATGACTGAAAACTTTTATTGGAGGGACACGTTCCGAAGGTTGGGTGTCTGTCGCTATCTACTGAATTCTCTGTCACAAATCTATCTATATATAGTCAAACTATCAGTAGTCTGCTCACAAGTGCTGCTGTACGGTGCTTGTTTTGTAATAATTAGCGTCAGTTCTATGTAGTTGGTTGTAAACTTAAGTTAAGTATGTGTTGATTATGAAAATTTCAAATTCCCTGGGAAACGGAGAAGAGTTTGCGACTTGGGTGGAATATTCCGAAGTGCTTGGATGAAAAATTATTTTTTATTTTTAAGCATTTCAAAACCAGCCATTTCAAATTTGACCCGAGACTCGGGGTTGCACCACTGTGTAATAGTGCAAAACGTGTAATATGCATGTTCGGAGGCACATATTGCTGTGAGCAGCGTTATATAAAAAGCATTACACTGAGAATAAATTTTGTACTCGTTCGTCAGATCGTCATTTGGACGGCGCACTGCGTGTGAACGCAGTTGGCATTTGATTTTGACGCTTTGGCCCTGACACAGAAACAACATCATCCTTCACGTTGATAATAAGTAAATAAAAACAACGTATAGTTTAAAAATATATTAAAAAAGGCCACATACACGTCTCATTGTGGAAGGCTTTCAACACAGCAATGGTGCATGTGCGCCGTAATTTGAAGTTCAATGTGGCGATCGTTCGCAGGCGAAAATTATTGCGGCCCGCACGCTACCGCAAATGTGCATATTTGGCCCGCAAGTACATGAAGTTTGCCGACCACTGTATTAAATGATAATTTACAAATATTTTCTATGAATTTTTTGTTCTCAATACACTCAAATTTAAAAGTGAAACGAAAAAAGGGACTTGGTTACTAGTCTTACACACACCACGAGTTAGTTAGGGCTGACATAGAAAATGTAAAATTTTAGGTATGAGGCAAGTTCTAATTGAGACTGCACCCGTAAATATAATATTCAAATAACAATTTACCTAAACCGAAAATTGCAGAAATATAATTCATATTAAACGATTTGTAATGTACATTGTGCAAATAATAATCTGCGTTATTTTTTTTATGTTGAACGTAGTAATTGTTTGTGTCTATAACTTCTTATCTATGACAAAAAATAGTATGCTTGCGGGTGCGCTTTACTAAGAATAAATTATGTTAAAAACGACACCCACTTGGTTGCAATTTTATTATATTGCTCATTTTTCTTTACGCGCGAAAAAGCCGGAAGAATGGAATTTTCGAATTTGAATCGAAAGAAATAAATTAATAAGGCGCATAAATGCCAATACTGAGAATAGATTTTCGACATGCTACTAATTTTATAAATAAACTAAATAAAAATATTAACAATTATCTCATTACGATGAAATTGAAAGAGAAAGTAAATTTGACGCGGGAGACTATATAAGTACGTGAACATACCAATCTTGTAGCAGAAATTTTTAACTGCTTGTTGATGTTCAGTATGAAATGAGAAATGATTTGATATTTAATTATTAATTTCTGTTAATCGATCGCGAAAAAATATTATTCTATATGTGGAAGTCAACAGCCATTTCGTGTGTCGCATATACCTATACATTTTATAGTTTTGTTCTGAAAAAAAAAAAATAGTAATGGCACGTATTGATTAAAGAGCGTTAAAAGACGTGGTCATTGTGATCATAACAATTTTTGAGTAATCTTCCTAATTAATATTTCTCTTCAGAGAGTGAACATTTTAGGTTTCCAGTTTAGAAAATAAACCGTAATGACCAAGCTGTTTTGTTGTATTTTTACACGACGTAACTAATGGATAACAAATTTAATCGTGACAAAGTTTCTGTTCGTTGTTTTTTGAAGCTGATTCATCGTTATTTGGGTCAAGTTCTTTTGGACATGTTTCATAGATGAATTGTATTTTTGAATTCTGGCCTAAGTGTGGTACATGCTCAATTGAACCTGCTCCGATAATCGATATCAGAGTGGGCAGAAATGGCCCGGGGGTTTTTGAAAAATTGTCGTTGCTGTTTAATCCAGCGATTTCGATGTGACGCGCAGACCGCCATCTTTCCCAAAGCCGCCCGGGGCGCAGCGTATCATGATGCGAAATTTTATTTTATGTCAATCTAATGTAATCGGTTTCAGAGGCAATAATTTAATTTAGCTTTGACAGTATCTAAGATTAGTATTGCTAATGTTACACAATATCTTACATGGCACCACCGACTTGTCGAGAGGAGGCAAGACGCACTCTATTTGTCGTTCAAGTTCTAATTAGGAATGATTACGTCAGATGATGAAAACGATACCTCAGGGTTGAATCACGAATTTCGTTTTCGCATCTATTTCCAAACGTTATCGTGTATGATATTTTATCTTTTATTATTAATACGACTATTTTTTCCGTTGTTCGCGACATAGGCTAAAAATAATCACCACCTTTACGCCGAACTATAGCACAGTAGCGACTACTTAGCGTGTTCGACGTGTTTCGTTGAAGCTCCTCGTAAAATACCGTGCTATTACAAACCGCCAGTAAAGTAGTTTTTGCCGCGACACAAATTATTCAGATTATTATTTTTCTTGCACGGCTTAAAAAGTCTGTAATTAGCTCCAAGGCAGAACGTGTTTAAATCAGCTCAGGAGCAAATCAGGTTCGCAAAGAAACACCGCGTTTGCGACTATCGCAGTTGTTGAGAATGGTCTGTGTTTTGTGGCTTCGTTTTTATTCAATCAGATATTTTTGCAAACTAACGCTTATTTCTATTAGTTTCAACGTAGTTATGGTAGCGGAACTATTAGTCTGACATTAATTGAACAAATTATAGGAGCATGTCAATAATAGCCGTAATTAACGGTGTTTTGCAAGTTAGAATTGAGAATAATAGATAAGAAAGAATCCTGTTGGACACGAATCGTACATATGCATCGTTTTGCTAAATTATTGTTGTTATTTTGGTGATTGTTGTCGATTTCAAATTTTCAACACTTAAAGATGGAGAAAATCGAATGCTATCACTTTTAAGTTTATTAGGAGACCAATGCGACCAGATATTAAACTACATGTTTTGTTGTCGAATTTTGAGTAAATAGGCACGCTTTTTATACCGATTGCTCGACGGCTTCGGTACTGATTGTTTGTCAATCTTTCGGTTCTCGGGGTCTGGGCTTGGGGTATCTTTGCCAATACAAAATACGCAACTGTTGTGTTGGTATATTTGAGCATTTCCTTCTTCTCATGTAAATGCACACCTAAATATTTACTCATACTCAAGCATTCACCGCGGAAACGCAAACTATAGAAAATGCCAGGGAGTGAAGACGGCTGAAAAGAAGTGTTTTAGATCAATAGCTTGAAACAAATAGGCGTTATTATTATCGCGGTAATAATGTCTGCAGGCAGCAGTTAGGCCCTGCAGGCGTGCAAGACTATCAAATTGCACAACAGCAAAGGATAAAAATCCCCATATTAACAAAAATTACAAAAACCCGTGCGGAATATGTACGTCAGAGATATGTCATTAAAATAAATACTAATACCATCAGGAAAATATATATTAACGATGATTTATTTCAATGTGAAAAAATAATTTTAATAGTGCTGTACTAATGAGAACAGTTTACCCAAATGTAAAAATGCATCGATGTCTTTTAGAAATTAAAAAATTCGTATAACAGCCAATAAAAAGTGCGATATACGCTTAACATGATTTGGCATCGCCCTTCTTCAATGTCGAAATCATTACTTAACATGGACCAGAGTAGTATTTTTACCGGTTTATAAAAAAAACTAGCATTAGATATCTATCAAGCTGATTTCTCCCCGTTGTGGGAAAAGTTAAAATTTTCAAATCACAGTCAAATCTGAACCGTATAAATGATTCCGTAGTTAGAATCGAAACAAGGCCGAACGTGAAAGCTTAAAATTAAAATGAATAGTATTGAGAAGTATCGTATCGTGGCTAAAGTAAGCTTGAATTATGAAACACTAGCTTCCAGACAATTGTTTCTGACATTTTAATATTTTTGTTTTCGTTTACCATTTTCTTTCTTTCGAAAGACTACTGGCCACTTACGATGCAAATGTATTTATAAAAATTTTGACAATTTCGGCTTCGGTTAGACAACTTAAACATTACTGGGATGTCAACTACTGAAACGATCTCAAAGTCCTGCAACGATGAATTATCAGATTATGTTTTGAATAATACGATGGTATCGTACTGTAGGCGTTTCACTGGTTTCGAGCCATGATGTTGAACAACTTTGTTGATATCTATAAACATGTTGATTGATGTATCTCCAATGTACGACAGATATAACTTATTATGGTATGCTTGCATTTTATATATATATACAGGGCGTACTTAGAAGAGCATTGATCTATTATATATAATATAACAAATATTTCTCACTCACCGGTTTTCGGTTTATGATGTCGGCTCAGTAAAAAAAATTATCATTATATCGAATTGCTGTCCTTTTCGCCATTAACTAACTCGTAATTTTTGGTGCTGAATGAAATGCCAATATGAAGAGTATAGTCCATGAACTATTACAGTTGCTTGGTATACTGTGAATAAGTAATAAACGAGAGTATTCGTGTATTGTTTGTATTGAGAAATTTATATTATCAAGCGTTATATTGATCGAACATATCTTACTTTGTACAGTAAATAGTTGATTTCTAACAGTTGCGTCGTTGTTAAAATCTGACACTAATGCCATTTTAAAAATGCTGCTCTTATTTCAATAACAGTTTTAAAATAACTTCTTACATTTGAGTATTGACAACCGTAGCAGGCGAAATCTGAAATCGATTTTAATAAAAAAGACTGGTATCGAGTGTTTGAAATAGAATGAAAATAAGGTATGTTATTTTGCATTTTTTCATCATCATTCTTCATTTATTTTTCAACTGTACTTGGCATATAGCATTCGACGTGAGGTGACATAGATTTGAACTGTAATCGGCCACTTTCCAACTTTAATCGATCTAGAATAGAATGTAAGAGTAACTTTAGAATATTAACTTAACTAATTACACTGCTTTGCAAGTCAAAGGATGAATGTAGTATTGCGTTAGTATGAGGACCTTGTAATAAATTATTACTCAATAACTACAGCGCGTATTAGCTTTTGGGAATGTATTTGATAACTTATATACTATGTGGTTGAACACTGGCCTATAGTAGGCCTGTCACTGTAAATAATTGTTATATTTCCAACAAACTTATTCCTCCGTTATTGCGGTAAAAATTTTACAACTACAATAAGTGCTTTTTTGTTTGCAGAATACTGATAGCGTTGTTATGTTGGGCATGGAAATGGGAGATTACGCACCAGCAAGAAGAAGAAGAAGGTAAAAAAACATGTTTATTTCAACATTGGGGGAATAGTAGCGTCGATAAACTAAATCACTATTTGATTTTGAGGTTTTGGAATTAGAATTGAAACCATGATATGCTCTTTCATCAATAAATTGTGAAAGATTTTCTGTATAATATGTATGGTCATTAATGTATTTGACTTAATTATTAAGTTACGTTTTTGAGTAGAAGATAAAAAGATTACTATGCTATTACCTAGCGTCTGTGTACGCTGTTCTTGTTCTATAATTTATATAATTAATTGAAGTAAAAGAGAGAGCACGCCAACAAATCATAATTTTGTCAAATGCTACTATTCCTATCATTTTTAATTTGCTTCATCGAACTCACATGCATAAATTTTTCTGCTTCTTTCACAGAATGTAAGGATAAAATAACCTACTGTGAATCGATAACGCAATACTGTTCTGATCCGACCTACGAGGTGTACATGACAACTAACTGTCCAAAACACTGCAAATTATGTCCATCAGGTAATATACGGAGATTATCATATTTAATTGTATGTTTTAAAACAGATTTTACAATATTTACTACTTTTTGAAAAATCAAAAATAAATGAATTTTTCCTATGACGGCATTCTCATTAATATTCGTGATTTTAAAACAGAGGCTTAGAAAACCAAAAACTTTATTGGCGTTTCTCATTATTGTACTTCAAACCAAGTCTGAACAAGTCTCCTAATTTCTGTTAGATATCGATCCTGATGGATTGTGCAGAACTGATAAGGGTGGATGCAGCCACACCTGTGAGGTTGAAGACCAAGTAAAAAAAGTATGTAAGTGCTGGGAAGGATATGAACTTGGAAGCGACGGATTAACTTGTCGAGGTAAACAAACTCTCATAATATATATAGAAATGAATAATAAATATAACAACGTAATACAATAATTGGGTGTCAATTTCATGTGCAATATTTCAAGTAAATCCGAACCGGGGACCACCGACCCACCCGCCAATGAGTCGCGAAAGGGATCCATAAAAGTCGCGGTACCCATTATTGTCAGAATTATAGACATCTTACTTTTCTTCCTTCGGCATCCACTTATCTGCGTGAAAAATCTTTTTCGGCACTAACTTATGTTAAAACAAATTATCGATCATATTTGAAAGACTAGGAACCAGTTCTGAGACCCACCATCACCGTATTAGAGACAAGATTTGGCTTTTGTGCGAGAATATGCTAGCACATCGGTCTCAATGTTCCTGAGGGTCACAAATAAATGTGGCTGTGGCAAGTGGGTCGTGATAAAAAGTAGCTATACCATAGTATTTTAAAATATCAATTTTCGAGGTCATCGTGACGTTTTGGCCGTGTGACACCGTGGCAAGATTAGGCACCACAATATACCGCCTATTATTTGACGACGAATACATAACAGTAAATTTTACTGAAAATAACGTTATTTACATCTTCAGATACCGATGAATGCGCTAATGAAGGAATCTGTGTGCCTGGCAAAATTTGCAATAACTTTGAAGGCGGATACTCTTGTGTGGAAGCACAATGTACTGGGGAAAATGAGAGTCCATATATGGGAAGTGCAGACTGTTGTCAAAATCCACCAGGTAAAATTCTCACAAGCATTTGTTGAATAACTTCAACCCTGCCACACTCAGAAAATTAAAAATATATCTTCATTACACTCGTATTACGTGTATAATACTTATTATTTCAGAGGACGCAGAATGTGGAGTAAACGCTTTAAAAATAAGTAGAATTGTAGGTGGCAATAACTCGCATACGGGACAATGGCCTTGGCAGGTGAGTGGTTGTTTTATTAATACTAATAGACTATTTGTTCGAATACCTCAAAGTACGAATAGCTCAAATCGAACTAATTTAAAACATGAAGTGAAATTCTCGAATAATTGAAGTCATTCGTCATCATTTATTCAATCAGGTACAACCTGAATAAGATTGATAAACATATTTAAATCCCATGTCTAAGCCGTATTGCTCATCACGCCTTAGTTCACTGCAGTTTCTGCAGTGAGTATTTCTAAAAAGTGTTATCGTGATCTATTACTGGCAATTTTCTCTGTGTCTGGCCTGATATTCGAAATTACAACGTAATTGAAATATTTTGCGGCATTATATTTCGCCTAGTTCTGATGTAATCTGTTATTTCTAATCTCTCGTTAACGTTGTCAAAGTTTATTTCAAGTATTTTTCCTAAGTATCAGTTTTCACTGTTACAAAATAAACCTTAATTGACTGATCCTCTATCATTTGTCTAAAAATCTGTGTTTAAAATTCAGGTTTACATAAGAATCGATGGGTCAACCTTGTGTGGTGGGTCGCTGTTGAATGAAAGATGGGTTGTCACAGCCGGCCATTGCTTCAGGTGAGACTTTGGATCGAAGCTATATTTCTATCTAAAATAGTTTAGGGTGAATTATTATTTTTGCGATACCGTGCTCATGAAACTAATAATTTTTTCCGATTGCAAAAAGCAACAAAGAAACTTGGAAAGTACAAATGATTGATTGACAATTGTGATTGAACGTAGCATTGTTCCTTACATTAAAAAAAATAATATACATATCTCGAATATGTTATTATCAAGATTTATATTATCTTTTTATTCATAATTTTGTTGGTAAAATTGAAACCGTATTGAAACATTTCCAAAGATAATAACGAAAAATATCCCATGAAAATAATCTATATCAGTGATTCTCAAACCCTTTTTCTTAGAATTTGTCAACTCCTTCGCCCAACCATATAAATAACTAGCTAATAATAAGCTACAACAGATAAGAAGGCGAATGCGTGTTTTATTTGAAAATCACGTTGGAAATACATGGATGGAACATAAATATCCAAAATAAGGCGTCAAGATCAAAAATTTTCTACGACCCCCTTTGTAAGGCGCCCCTCACCGTTTGAGAATCACTGCTCTTTATTGTTGGAAAATGTAAGGTTTTAAAAACGATATTTACGTTGTTTTTGGCAGAGGTTATACTAAAGCAACAAAAATGGTACTATATTTCGGTGTCATCAAGCTGAACGAATTAAAAAGATCTTCTGTTCAAAAAAGAAATCTTAAGCGGGTTGGTAAATCTTTTTATACTGAAGTATAAAAATTTACTAAACAATCAATAATTTAAACATTTTAATTATGTCAAATCGTTTTATTTATTTTTTATTTTTTGCAATCTTCGAAATTGAAGTAGTTAATTGTTGTAATTACTTTAACGTTATCTCAAACTTATCTTTTCCTATTGTTTGTTACAAAACGAAGCTTTATTGTTCTGAATGGTACGATTACAACTTATGCCAAATCGTTTTCTTTTCTAATTTTCATTTTTTTGTAATCTTTGAAATTGAAAAGGTTAGTTATTGTAATTACTTAAGCTTAATTGTCTTTCGAATGGTGCGTTTACAAACAATCAGACTAGCAGAAAAACTCTCTTTTTTGAATGATCGGATTATCATAATGATGTGTAAATGTTTCGGATCTGTCAACAAGTTAACGTGACGTTTTGTTTGATATTTTAGCGTATCATGTATCCCGGCTGGAACGATGAAGAGTATTATGTTAACGACATTGCCCTCATAGAGATCAACAAGCCTGTAAAATTCACAAAGTTTGTGAAGCCTATTTGTCTCCCAAATGGAGAAAGACCGAAAGTTGGATACAAATGCTACGCAGTCGGATGGGGACTCACCGGTGAGTGTTTATTGAACTTCAGCAAATACAGGAGTGGGAATTGCAACAGCGGATTGTATCCAGATACAGATAATTACTTAAATACGCTCTTCACTATAATGCAAACAATGACACGAAAAAATCTAATGCACCTGCAAATAGAATTTTCAACCAGTTCACTTGTAATTGATATCATTGTACCCTCCTATCATATTGACTGTGACTGATACAATTATTACAAAAAGTTATCTTAATGTTTCCTATAAAGATAGTAACACCATTTAATTTCTACGAATTATCATTTATAAATATTCTTTTTTACAAAGATCAAGATTCGTTAGATCCATCCAATCGCCTGCAACATGTGGATTTGCCGATTATTCATCCAGACAAATGTACCGAATCTTACAAAGACGAAGACACTCCATACAACGAAACGAACATGGTATGTGCTGGATACGAGGAAGGAGGCAAAGATGCATGTCGAGGTAGGATATCTTATTTCATTTTTTTCTTTGAGCTATTGAACTAACTACCCTCTATAGTTTGAATTAATTTGAGATGTATCAATACGAGAGATATTGAGCAGGTTGACCTAAACCCTGAAATAGCCATTATATCTAAAATTATTATTAGCAAGCAACATCGATGAATGTGTTAGAAATTCTCATCACGCCATTTACACGATAAACGTTCAATTATACCAACTTTAGACAACGATAAAAGATTTTTCTGAATGAACCCATATCATTTCTTTTACTCTGATCTCATGTTTATATAATAATTTCAAATATATTGTACTAAATCATTGTGACGGTGCATGACCGATTATGACTCGAGACGCGTCATTACTTGAAGTGACAAAACAACCGCCCTATTGAGATGAGCTATGCACCAAGCTATAGATCTTTTTGTAGACCACTGATCGTGCCGGGATGTAATACCAATGTTACGTTTATCAATTTTTTATTCTCAAAATTTTAAAATGAAATAAAAAAAAATTCTAATTTATAACGAATCATAATGATTAATCTTGTTTCCTAATTGAAAGGTGATTCTGGAGGACCTTTCGTTTGCCAGCGTTGTTCGAGTTGTTCTTGGTACTTAGCTGGTGTGGTGTCTTTTGGAAGCGGGTGTGCGCAAAAAGGATTTCCCGGTGTTTATTCAAATGTTAGTTTTTTTGAAGATTGGATTTCAGAAAAGACTTCAATTCCCGTCAACAGTGACCAAGCTTGTACTGGCCCCCGTGAGTATTTAAATGCATTCTAGCAGATCTTAAGCATGGTGTACGGATATACTTTTTTATTACTTGTACAACCGCATTTTATATTCGGAGAGAGCGATATTTATTGTTTCGTCGACCAGAATTTATATTTTTATATTATTATTTTTCGATAAAGATTTAACACAGTGGTCAAGATGGAGTGCTTGCGCTAAGACTTGCGGCAATGCGGGACAACGTTCACGCAGTCGAAGATGCCTCGACAAAGGTATTGACAGTGACAAATGCCGAGGAGATACTCAACAGACAGAAGAATGTCCATTTAAAGAATGCCCGAGTAAATAGAGCATAATTAAGTATTAGCTAGTTTAATCATTATAGACCACAGAATGTATATAAACGTTTAGGCATGGAAGGTACTTATTCGCGGAGCCAAATTTAGATACTATTTTCGACAAATACCTTTATGCAAATCCATATTTGGGATCGGTGCAACCAATCCGAGGCGTAGATTAATAAAATTACAGCAACAAGACGTAATATTCAAAACAACCTAATAAAACATATAAAATGGTCCTAATACTGGGTGAGATCGCGATCGCGTTGCTCAAAACCTTCTCCCTTCATTCAAAAATAGTCATACCTAATTAGGGATAATATATATTGATAGTAGTGGTGATAGTATTGATTAGTGAATTATAGTTTTGTGAAGTAACCCCCATTGACAACATTTCAAAATTGAGAATTATTTTTCAGCCCAACATACACTTGAATACTCATCTGAAGTTTTGGAGAAGGCTTTATTCATTTTCAATTTAAATATGTTTGAACCGTGAAAGTGATTTAGTTGATTTAGCATTGCGTGTACTACCCTCATTGTTATTGTTTATTTCATGTTTTTTTTTCCGACGAGTTATTTGCTTTCTATTCACATTTTATTCTTATATTGGTAATTTCTATTCGGTGGTAACACTGCAAGATATAATTTCGTCGGTTTTTCCATAACTATTTGACCCCCGAATATATGAAAAAAATATTAAATTTCCTGAAATATGATTCGTTCCTTCTCAGCATTTGGTGTATTTGGTGACTGGACAAAGTGTTCAAAACCCTGCGGAACTGGCGTACGAACTCAAATTCGAGAATGCTTAAATGGGCAAGTTGGTGATGATGGATGTCCGTCCGATCAAGCCACAAGAACTGAGGTATCTCAATTTGAAGAATTTTCATTTCGAATAATACAAGATGCCGATAAGTTTTTAGTACAGCAGCGAATGAGACCTTCTTAGCATGATCAATAAGAAAACTTCAATAAGATCAAGTCAAAATAGAACAAAGAAACGTTTTAGAGATTAGGTTTAGATGAGAGTGTTTTAGAGATAAAAGTTTTTTTTCGCCCAAAGCATGAGACAATCAATATATCGGAAGTTACAATTACAACAAAAGAGTTACTGTTAACCTAACATGACGAAGAATGGTGGAAAAGGGAAAATAATGATTTTATTCATTTATTTTCGTTCATTTTGCATATTCAGCAAGCAAAAAAACACGCTGAATGCAAAATTGTTTATTAAAAAAGGCCCGATCAAGTTCAAAAGATACCGTTTTTCACATTGTTAAACATTCCTTAAATTGTATTGGAGTAATCTGCTCTAATGAATTAGATGAAGGGAGTGAACAACGCGGACAATCTTGAAGTTTTCACAATCCTAACTCACTCAAGTTGTATATTAATGAAATAGAAAAATCCAGAATTAATAATAAGGAACAAAAAAATATTCATGGAGAAATTTTTTACAGCGCTGTTTAGATTTTTACCAGGTACTTACTTATACTATAGGATCACAAGATTATACTCCTATTTCATAGAATTGCAACGAACAACCATGCCCAAAATGGAAGAATTGGTCAAAATGGGCCAGTTGTACAGTTACGTGTGGTCAAGGAACACAGGATAGAACGAGAGAATGTGATGGACAGAAATGTGAAGGAAATAGTGAAGAAACGAGAGAATGTACCGAGCCCGCGTGCCCAGGTAATTTTTTGTTTGAGTCAATGTAGAATGTTTCCGTCATCATTCTATTGCATTTTCGAAACTTTTGAAAGATATAAAATTTGATTGATTAAAACAATCATTATTTGTATACGAGCCAATCAAAACGACCCTACCCTTTGGTGGAGGTTTTCTTCAACTTCAATATATGATATAAAACATACAAAAGTCATAATGGACAAAATAAAACAAACAGCATTTCATACAGCTAGTTTTAGAATGACAGTTGGCTCTATTACATCAGTTATTGGACACGTCAGTAGACATAACGATCGTTTTGCATTTTAAGCTGGCACTCTTTATCTTCTTGTTGTTCTTGTTCTTTGACACGTTTTTGAAAAATAGCTTTTCTCTTTGATTACTGGGCCAATTGCTTTGAAAATATCAGTGGTTAAAGATTGATTTTTTTGCCAGAAGGCTATTACTTTTATTTATTTTAAAAAATTCCTGTGAACTTTAAGAGATTCGTTTTTTGTGTGCGAAGATGTGATCAAAATAAAAAAAAATAGCGACACCTTGTGGCGATTCCGCGAAGAAATATCAGCTTTAAGAAAACGTAATCCTCGCTTCGCTAAGATTTGTTTGTGGGGAATGGTGAACTGCGCGGTACCGGTACCTGGTGGTATAATATAGTAACTTGGATCGCTTCTGTTACTACATTTGTGAGTCAAACGTCTCCATATATTTGAGCACAGCTCTTTTGTATTTCATTATTATATTCTGTGAGGAACCACAAGTCTGTATAAAATCTATTCTTCAATTGGATTCAATTTAATTAGATCAATAACCACACAACTACATCTTAATAACACTAATATATCCTTACGATAATTATGTCCAAAATAAATTGTCCTGCTAGCTGCAAAAATATAATTCATGATTTAGTACATTCAGTTATCACAATTGTATTATTAACTATTTCTAGGTTGGTCCGAATGGAAAGTTACAGGCGATTGTTCCACCACTTGCGGCGAAGGGAGTCAAGAATGGACACGTACATGTAGTGGAACTGGTTGCCCAGGATCAGGCACCAAAACTGAGGTAAGTTGAGCTTCTGAAAGTTATCCAGTTTTGCTTCACACTTGAAGCAATTCAGCTACGATATGCCGAATCACTAGTTATCTAAATCTCTGTTCGGATGAGTTATCATGTGTAGGAGACGTGTTGAACTTTTTACATTGGCAAGGTGTATGGCAGTCGGACACTTACAACATCCCCCGCTAAGCACTTTGCGCTTGTGGAACTTATAATAAATCGTATTTTCTCTTTTCTGTGTGCCAACCAACATAAAATACTTGAAAAAATAATGAATTACTTTTTTATTGTAATACTCAAGACTTTAGCATTGAGGTTGTTTTCTTAATAAAAGCATTAAGTGCTTTTAATTTTGTTCATTTGGAGTCTTTCTTTCACAATAACAAACGTTTCACTGCAAATGAAAATAAATCATTTTGGGAATAACATTTACTAGTACTCTATTTTTTCAATTACCAACATAAATTAGTTCACATAGAATATTTATTTAAGTTAATGATATTGTGTCAATTGATTGCATTTTTTTTCATAAGACATGCAACGAAAAAGATTGTCCAGTATTCGGAAAATGGGAAGGATGGCAACGTTGTAGTGTCACCTGTGGTGGGGGTAAGAGAATAAGAACAAGACCATGTGAAAACGGAAAAATAGGAGACGAGGGATGCGAAAAGAGCGGAGAATCAGAAGAAGAGGTGAATGATGAAATAATTATTTGTTTTTACATGTTAATATAATATTCAGTATTTTTATACATTTTCAAACCCTAAAAAACACAATACAATATGTGTTCTAGACTAAACGCATAAAATACAACAGAAAAATTATGATAACCAAATTGGCATTTCAGATTTTTCCTTTTTTTTTAAACCTAACAACGATACCGATTAAAAGTTGTTAGCGTTTATTTTCGGGTTTTTCTATATACTGACATTGCGATACTATTCTGTTAGATTTCAATTTAAAAACTTTGAATACAAATATTTTCTCTCCTTTCAACAGAATTGCAACGAAAATAAGTGCCCCGAAGCCGGAAAATGGACAAAATGGAGTGATTGGTCTGATTGCGATGTAACATGTGGTGAAGGCAGCACTACGAGAACGAGAACATGCGAGGCAAGCTATATATATATATATATATATATAAAATGATAATACCTATTTACCTGGTGCTCATAATTATTATTGATCTATTTATGATTTTTTAATCCATCACAATATTAGAGCCTTTCTGATCATATCCTTGGGATGTTCAAAAATTGAGTAATCAGACAAACTAGAGCAGAAACACATTACAAAAGTACTTTTGCTAACATAAAGTCAGCTTCGGCAGAAGTTGGAAAATATCTTGACGACATCTAACATATTGTAGCAAATATATTAACTGCATTCCAAGAGCGAGTTGCTTATGCTATATCTGTGTCGGAGAACATCTTGTATAGTTTATTCATAAGGTACTTTTTGTCTTCGAAATCGAAATTTATTTTTATGAAACATTTTACTTCAGGGGGCAGAAGTTGGCGATGTTGGATGCGATGAAGGTGGGGCAAACGAAGCAAAAAGATGTACCTTAGCTACATGCCCTTCGAAATGGGGACAATGGGAAGATTGGTCGGACTGTTCACAAAGTGAGATAATTGAAACACCTGGCAATAGCTAGGTGTGAATGAGTCTTATTAATTTAATTTAAAAATAAAAAATATATTAATTGAAACATAGTTATTGTAAGTAATTTTTTTCATGACTTAAAAAAATAACCAGTCGATCATTACATCCTCAATTGCGTTGTAGTGTGTATCGAAAATCTATTGCAAGATCATCATGGTCTTGGTATTATACAAGGCTACTAATAATCTACTAACTTTTCCATTTTTTAGCTTGTGCTCGGGGTGTAAGCACGCGAAATAGACGCTGTGAGGGTGGGAAAGTGGGCGAAGGAGATTGCGTACCAGCTTCTGCAGGCAAGGAGGAGAGAGAATGTAACGCGATATCTTGCACAGGTAAACACATCTTTAATGCTGAAATAAATAACGATATAAGCACACATAAATAGTCACAATGGGAGACTAGACTCGTTGGGCTCGAATGATTTGGTCGCACTTCTCTTACCCAGCTCGACTCTCCGCCTAGTACAGAAAGTGGTAATGTTTCTGAACGGGAGCAAGACTAACGGACATACATAAATGAGTTACAGATGCCATTAATAATCAATATTAGTGTGCCACTAATAATTTATAATAATCGTTTCTATCAATAATTTGTATCAATCATTAATTTATTTTATTCACTTTCATTCAACAGAATGCATCGATGCAGCGGCCGTAAATGATCCAGATTATTGTGATAACTATTTTTCAACAGCAGCAAGTTGTAATAGGTATCCTGAATTTGCAGGACAATATTGCGCAAAGTCGTGTAACCTTTGTAAAGGTAAGCTTGAGATTTTAAGTAAAGGTCAAAACATAACAACAGAGCAATGCTCAAATATATGGGCACGAATGTCCAACAGCAGTACTGGTAATTTATGCGACTTACATTGAAGTCCGTTATCTGGCCATTTATAGGTTTCATATCCAAATCAAGTCCCACCAACGCAGCAATTTACACCGGTATCGATACCACTTCGAAGGCCGTGCATCGGTACCGCAACGCTTTGTAGCACCGAGTTTTCTTAGTAAAAAAGGAATTGCCGACAAACGTGACGAAGGTGGTCGATAATGAATATGAAAATGAAATGAAAAAGAAAAATCTTTTGAAGATATATCGGGTCACCCAAGACTCAGGGAAAATTTGAAAATAAGCTAATAAATAGTCCTCTCGTCTATTTACCAAAAATGCAAATTTATTCCAAAGAGCAACAACAACAAACAACAAAAATTGATAATTAGCAAAACGATCCATAAATCCACTACGTGTCCAACCATACAAAAAAAGATTGTTTTGTTCTGTATTCGCAGGCATTCATGAACATTGGCAATCTTGGGGAGATTGTTCAAGAACATGTGGACCTGGTACTAGAAGAAGAACTAGGGAATGCAAGAGTAGTGCAGGATGTGATGGAGAATCGGAAGAAACGGGAGAATGCGATAGTCCGTGTCAAGGTACGTACGTTACAGAAATACTTAAAATTTCAATATCAAACATGACTCACGATGTAATACCATACCTAATCTATATATTTTATTTTTTTATCTATTTTTTAATTATCATTTTCATTGTAATTCGATAATGACGGTATTTACGAAGACTTAATAGTACTCGATTCTGATTCTAGCCAATCCATGTTTATAGGATTTACAGAGTGGTCGCAATGGAACAAATGTAGTCAGACTTGTGCCGGTGGTACACATAGGCGAACCAGGTCTTGCCCATTCAAAAGTTGCCCACCTGACGAAACTGGTAGCACAGAACTATCTCAAAACGAAGAATGTAATGTCGACCCATGCCCGGGTGTTTGGGATGATTGGGGTAGATGGGGCAAGTGTAGCGTCACATGCGGTACAAATGGTGTAGAAACAAGAGAAAGAAAATGCATTGGGGGAGAACCCGGAGGACCTGGTTGTTCAGGATCAGCAACTCGCACGAGACCATGCCGTAACACTGAACGTTGTCCACCAACATGGGGCGAGTGGACTGACTGGTCTGATTGTTCCGAACCATGTGGCGGAGGAACTCGATCAAAGACGCGAAGGTGCCAAGGAAGAGGATGCCAAGGGGATCGAATAATGCGTGAAGACTGTAATATCGAAAAGTGCTCAGTGAGATGGGGAGATTGGAGTGTTTTTGGTCCGTGTGACTCAAACTGCCTTAGGTGGCAAACGAGGTAAGAAAAGTTTTTGTTTGCTACTTGTCCAAACTTGTCTGACCAATATATGCAGAGTAAATATTCACACTGACGTTAAAATCGATTTGCCATTAAGTTAATAGCCAAAATAATTTTGTTACGCTTGTAATACAATATGTTTTATGCAAATCCTAGAACCTGCATCGGAGGGAGGCAAGGCGATGTTGGATGTTTGGGTGAATTTAGAAAATCTGAAAAATGTGAAAATTGTGGTGAGTACAATTTACTCATCGTATTTGTAAATAGTTATGTTTAGAAATTGTTAGGTTGGAAACACGGTCAAAAGAAGTTCAAAAGAACATACAGTGATACTACATTTATAATATTTGTCCCATTTCAATTGACAGAGCAACTTAGTAAATATATTCAAATAACAAAACCGGTAACTAATAGTGGTCCCTCGAGTGGAAAAGCATATCATATGTAGGGCAAACAAGTATTGCATTTTTTATTCAAAACAAATTTGGGCAATAAATATTTTGAAATGACAATCCACAACTTCCCCCACAAACGATTGATTGATATTTTGGTTCTTTATTGTTGCAAAAAGAGAATACAAATAGTCATTTACTAAGTTTTAACAAGCTTTTTGTACCTTTATTTTTTATTTTTATCGCATACAGGACCTGCATGCGGACCCGTGTTCTCGGATCCTCTGGAATGTAGATTCATCCCTTCTAATACCTGTGTTATAAATACAGTACAGAGACAATGTCCAAACACTTGCTGCATAGGTATGAAACTTACTTTGCCAATGTTAGTAAACTAGAGAAACTTACCGTACCTTAATTGATATATGTGCGCTCAACTTCTTCTTTTCCATTCATAAAACTGATGATTCGAACCTGTTTTTCTTGTATTTCCTAGCCAAGTTTTGATGATGAGTGGATAATCTTGTTTCGTCAAATTATTCTATACAAAGAGTTTAATTACATTGGATTAAATTATTACCACATTACTAATTACATCTATATATATTTATATTTATAATATACAATTATATGATTCTGTTTAACGATACTATTCTATTTGTTTCAGCACTTGCTTCCATTCCTTGCAATGACAATCCCGAATATGCAGGTTGGTGCCGAATAACTGCACTATGCAGGAACAAAACGTATGAACTGATATATCAACAAAACTGCAGAAAATCTTGTGGATTTTGTTAAACAGTAAAACCCGACGAGTAATATTTATTGACTTTGTGCGATGTCTATTTCATACATTTTTACGTGGTAGGCAATGTAACGCTTGTTGTAAACAATATTTCTTTTTCCTAATAAAGTTGGAAACGTTTAGGTATTTTTTGTTGCTTAGATTGATTGGTAATTTTGAAATTGTCTTACAGCAAGTAACATAATCATAATGTAAGCTTAATCACTTTAATTTACCATTGAATGAAAATCCAGTGCCACTTCGGTTTGCTTTCGGTTTGCTATCTCAGCGGATACGTGATTTCAGTGACTTTAGCATTACCCCAATCCAGAAGGCGGCAACCTTTGACGCTCGCAGGCCAAAATTATAGGTTGCAAGTCGAGCGAGCCGCACATATTTTAAAAACCGAACGGATGACCGATGAACCACAATTCTTTCACACAGATCAGAAGTTGAAATTTTATATTTTAAACATCACTAATCCGAGTTCTCAGATTGTTCTTTGTAATGTTCTTTTTCGAAAATAATTGTTCGCACGCCTGTATACTTAAAAACATCGATGTGAATTTTTTTGCATGGATTGTCAAATTAGGATAAGAGTTTCCTTCAAGAAGATACTTTTTAAAAAAATCAAGCAGTGATACATCTTTCGAATAGTATATGGACTTTTCTCATTGCATCTAAAGAAAGTTCCATTCGAATATATTCTGCGTCATTGAACCCTCTGCACTCAGCATCAGCTTTTCTGCTTGTTGCCATTTGTCTAATTATAATCAAATTGTAGGCTCGTTTAAACGAGTAAACTGTTCACTGAATTGTTAGGTTATAATAAATTTCATCCACACATATCTCACAACAAATTTTGTTACGTAATGAATATAATCAAATTCTCGAGCGTTATTAGGTATAAAATTAATTCATCGTCAAAACCTCTGTTTGTTGCTATAATTCAGTGAAGCATCGCGGGCCAGATAATTGTACTCGGCGGGCCGTAGAATGTCGACCCCTTCCCTAACCCAACGATGGCGGAGTTGGGGTTAGATGCTGAATTCTATAAGAATGTCCTTATGAGATTAAACGCATACCGAAGTGACATCACAAGTGTCACCAGTCTTAATCAACTGTCCTTGTTTATTTGCAATATCTTTTTCCTTCCAAAATTTAAAGTTTTAGTAATTATAGGAAATTACGCATGAATTAGTATATAACGTGAAGCATTTTTTTCAGTTTTCCAGAATGTACGGCCAAATACACAAAGTCTTTTAAAATATTTTAAATTTTTTATTGTGATTGGCAAACAATATTGACATCAATACATGACATGCAACCAGATTACAAAAGTGGTATATATATATATATATAAATATAAATATGTTGGACTATATATATATTATTGTAACTTCTAATATTAAAATAAAGGAATGATTAAATATACTAGTGACCATAGTCGTGTTTTTTCACAAGTTTGGTTTAGGTTAAAAAAAACTTTCGCATTCCTCACGAAAACATTCTTTGTGATAAATGCTACATACTTCTGTTGATATGTTCAATTAGTTGGATGAATACTATTTTATTACGAACAGCGTGTGCTTGGGCCCCTAGAATTTTACCTTTACATTTTCCTATATTGTACAATTTCTTTTAATTGAATTGTTATGTTACCGGTATTATTTACTGAGGTGACAACAAATAACTTATAAACTTGCAATTACACCACGAAGAGTAACTAAAAAATGTGATTGATTAAAACTGAAACAAAATTAAGAAGTTGATTTGCCCTAGGTAAATATAATGATTCATTTGCTTTCAGTTTATTTTACACGTATTGTTCCCGGCAATTTTGCCCATAGAATTTTTACAACGATGGTACAAAATGTTCCCGTGATAGTTATGTTTGCATATTAATGACGCGATAAATGTGGCTTAAAGTAATTTTTAAACTAATTTTTGGCATTTCTCCATACCAAACTATTGCATCTAACTACTTTGCTTGAAATAATCGATTTCGTTTCAACTATCAATAATAAGTTAAGATTAAGTATTGAGCTTATTCACATTAGTCTAAATACATCTTGATTCAGAAAAATTATGTACACCTGTTCTTTTTCTATGTGTTAATGTTTTAGCTTTATCCATGTTATATTTTGAATATTTCCTGTAATATTGGTGATTAACATCGCCCATATAAATATATCCAATACTCGTATTATCTTGTGTGTGTATTATATTGACAGAAACTGTCTTTGCGTTTTATGTTTATATATTCCGAGTTACACCCAAATTAGTGATGATTATAAATGGGAAAACTGAGGTAGAAGTCCACTGATATTGAAAATGAAATGCTATATTCACTTTGCATATAGATGAATCGATTGATATTTTACAAATTTGTTTACAACAGAATAAATTTCTGAATAAAGTGATATTGCCTGACGATAGAGCTTCGTCCTTTTTACCCGCAGCAAAAATGTGACTCTTCCTCCACAAGCATTTCATACTATGTGCTCTGTGACCGAAACACATGTACCATTACAACATGTCAGTATCTGATAAAAGAACTGTTTTTTATACTTATAATTTGAAATTATTGTACAAACTAGGTAGCCGGTAGGAATGTTAAAAAGTAGTAATCAGAAAACAACCTAACTTCAAAACAAAGCTTTAAGGTGTATTCTAGTTTCATCTAAAAAGTTGCCAGTATTATTCTTTGCTTATATATGAGTATTATTAGTTGCTACATTTGAAACTTTGAATAGAATATATATGCCAAGGGGTTGAAGATGAAGCAGATTTATTATTTTCATTTTTGTTGTGCATGCTATGCTTAGACAATATTTTCAATTTCAAAAATTTGAACTGTATCAATTTGAAGACATTTGCACTACCTCATTGATTTAGAATTATGTTATTCCAAAAACAACTTAACCAAAAATCTATTCTAACAATTAGAACCGTTCGAAATACAACTCTGCCCCATGCCCCTTAGTTGAAGACGTAGTTAAAAGTGTTTGGGAACATATAGAAAACAGCATCAAATGCTTTCTTGTTAGCAACCTAATGAACAAAAATGATGACATTTAAATAGGACAGTTAGTTAGGGCTATATATTTTAAAAACCTTTCTATAATTTGAATTTCAAATTTAAGTTTGTGCTGTAATATTACGGAACTTTCATTCACAATTTATCTCCCTGAACATGTCAACCGAATATGAAATTATCAGTTATTCAGAAATTATCTGATCGTACATTGTAAAATAAAAAGAGAATCTAACAGCAAAAATAATAAAATCGGTAAATTCATACATAAAAATTAAACGTTGTTTGATTTATTTGGTTTATTTAAATATATATTGATTATATATTTAAACTTTGGTTTATTTTTATTCAATATGTCATTTCAACGTGACAATATTTTGAGATATACTAATTGGTCGATACTTATATTTGACTATCATCGGTTTATATTATATATTGCATTTCATTGCTATGTACATTGAACTAATATCTGTTTTGTTGTTTATCGTATCTGTGTAGAAGATTTGCGCTATTCCATTTTTACTCGAATAGTTTAATATTGCATTTCGGCGTATTCTTTTCACGTGTTTTATGTAAATATAGTATTCTAGTATCAAATCTACAAACTTATTTTCGGGGAATTTCCGTAAGTTCAGACGTTGGTGATAGGTTTGATTTGGCCTAACATAGCTGCTATATTGATAAAGAAGATTTGGTTACAAAAGTGTTTGTTTGGGGATATTCTTTAATTTTCGATTTTTTCTCAAGATGATAATAATCCCACTTTCCAAAGTATTTCACCATAACATGTGCTTTTTTGAAGACAATTTTTCAAAATGTAATGTATAAATCAATGATTTTTTTTAGCAGAAATGTATAAATTAGACTAAAATTAATGTCCTAACTGGAAAAGAAAGTGATATTCCACAAAACGAGCAAAATCTACAAACGTTAATTATGCAAATAAGGTATGGATATTTTTTTTCAAAGTATACATTTTGGTTCTATCTACTTGATGGCGGAGTAAAAGTAAAATTTTATATTTTCTTTAAAAATACACCAGTTTTCTGCCAATGTAACAATTTGCTAAAATGAAAAACGATTTTTTTATAAATAATTTTAAGATCCATCTCAGTTTGCCAAGAACGGAATAGTTGTAAAACCCTGTACACTTATCTCGCGTATATGGCGGAAAAGTAGTTTAAACCGAATTTGACATGCGATCACGAATAATGTTGTCTAACATTAAGATCATGCAATATTTGCCCATACAACCACATGAAACTTGTTGTCTGGTAAATTTACCTGAGTTATTTTTTTTCTTTATCGTTTTGCTTTAGACTAACAATATTGCTTCTTTGTCTGACTTTGATGAAAGCCCGAGCTGAGGAAGGTAACACAATACAATTTATTCGTTTGTAATTAAAATAAGTTTTTATTACGGAATGCTCGATTGCAGACTGCAATACTGTTCAAATTTTGTTGAACTCACCAGTGAGGGCAAAATCTGATCAGTAATTAAACTCATTGTTATGGCTGTTCTGGCGACGAACAAAACTGGTAATGTGTATTATGGCAAAATCACCGCTCTTCCGTCTAACTCAAAACAAAGAATATTAAATAACAACACGACTCTAAAGTCCCTTTATAAATGTTAACGGCATCATCTAGAATCGCTCTTAGCTATTCCTACACGCGTGTTATATTCCATCAACTAAAGAAAGAGAGCAATGAAATGATTTGTTGGTAACGGATCGTTGCCTAAGTTTCTTGCATGTGCATATGGAACAATAAAACAGACTTATGGGTTTATGACTACTGATTCATACCTATTTTTTAATTACAGAAGAATGTAAAGACAAGGTTAGTTACTGCAAACGAATGAAAAGTTTTTGTGACCATGCTACTTATAAACAATACATGTTGGATAACTGCATTGCCACATGCAAAAAATGCCGAAAAGGTATATATATTGTACTATAGTTGTACTACTTTTTAACGTCACGAAAACGTTAGGAGCGCGACAAATATATATAAATTATTCTATATAGCAAAGTATCATCAAGCAGAATATGCCTGTATTGTTCTGAGAAATAAACTGATCGTCGCCTCAAATATTTGATTCAAACTATTTACTCGCGAAATTTAGTAAGTCATCAAAAAGATTATAAAAATGCGTTTGATATAATCGACATGTTGTAATATTCAACTGAGAAATAGCTTGAAAGTGCTTATTAAAAGCGCTATAACCGTATTTACATGTAACAGTATAGAATAGGCATGTGAAGTGCGGTACAAAACTTTTAAATATCTTCATTCGTTTGGTGCTTTGTTTTGCAATGGTATGTAATCGATATAAAATCACAGAGAAAAATTATTTGTTACTAACATATAGATATTGATCCGGATGGACTATGTTTAAAAGACAATGGAGGGTGTGAGCATACCTGCGATGTTGAAGATAAAACTATTAAAAAGTGCTCTTGTTTTTCTGGTTACACATTGAAGAAAGATGGCCTCACTTGTACAGGTACAATATGAAATGCCGTTTAGTAAAAACCAAATTAGGTGCAATGCAATAATCATATCAAATGAATTGCTTCAAATGCGTGAAGTGGATTACGTCAATGACATTGTATTGTATAAAAACAAGTTAATAACTTTATTCAGTTACCACTTGCTTCTGCAATAAATATGCGAAAGATTTATATTGTTCCATTTTCAAAGATGTCGACGAATGTACAATAAAAGGCATCTGTTTACGTGGAAAGCATTGTACAAATGTTGAAGGCGGCTTCTTCTGCGACGAGGCAAAGTGTACTAACCCTGAAAAGCCTTATTTAGGTCGACCTGACTGCTGCACTAAAGAACCAGGTTATGTATCAATTTGTCATTGGACACGGAATAGACCTAAGGATCGTTTTGTGATTATGTTGTTGTTCATCTTGTTAGTCTTATTCATGTTGTGAAAAAAATTGCTTTGCTTATAAATTTTCAAAACTTTCAGTGGTTAATTCAGGTTATATTTTTCGCTAGAAGGCTATTACTTTTATTTATTTTAAAAATTTCTGTGGTCCCTATGGGATGTTTTTTGTGTGCGATTACGTAATCGAAATGAAAAAAATGTGCACCTTTTCGCGGTTACGCGTTCTGCTTGTCAAGTCGTAAAGATTTCGATACCGGTAGTCTAATGTGACAAATTTCCTATCCCTACGACTTCGTTTTGGCCTCCGTGTCCATATATTTGAGCAATGCTCTCTTGTTGGACACGAAATGTACATTTAGATCGTTTTGTTATTATGTTTTTGTTGTTGTACATGTTTTTTTCCTTGTTTTTTATGAAAAAAATCGATTTTCGCACTAACTACTGGACCAATTGCTTTGAAATTTACAAAGGTTAAAGATTGTAATTTGTTTCTATGTCATTCGTTTTCACTTTGAAATCTTTTGACCGTACCGTACATAAGACTAGTTAAAGTAGTGTATAAGGTAGAGGAGACTATTGCTTCGTGTCCATATATATTTAAGCATTGCTCTCTTGTATTAAAATATTAGGTTTACTTCTAATTAGTCTAAATTTTAATCCTGTTTATGAACCCAGATACTGCAGAGTGTGGAGTTACTGCGCGTGGTGTGGAAAGAATCGTTGGAGGAAATGATTCGTTCTTAGGCCAATGGCCTTGGCAGGTGAAATAACAAGTTATGGTTTTCATGAATTCTATATTACACCCCATACTTTCTTAAACAAGTACTAATATGGAATAGGTATGAGCAACCAATGATGCGCTAAGGGTTTTACATAGGTTTTTCTCAGTCACATAGATTCCAGTAAATGGGGATAGACACGGGTTTGAAAGTTAAAACTTTCATTGAAACAACTAGGAGTAAGTGAATTCCACAAAGCAGAGGAACTGAAAATAAACAAAAATCATCATGAGAAGTTTTTCATTTCATAAAAACCAACATCAGGTGATCTAGTAGACTAGAGTCTGGACGTATTTAGCGTATAATAACATAATAAAGTTCGAATTTTTCTCTCTTTTATCATGTTATGTTAGAATGCTTTAATTAAGAGTACCACTTCCCGATAACCAGTGTGGGTTTTCCGCGTCTCCCTTCACCCTGAAATGCAATTTTTATGTATTATTTATTGTATTTGTATGTCGAGTGTTCATTTTGAGAATGGTGAAAAACTACTGGTTACTGATCACCAGGCCTTGCTACCAGCAAAAGATTGATTTCTCGTAAATATGGGACAGTTCCACTATCATTCAATCGTGTATTTTGTTTAAAGGTTTATATTAACATTGATACAAGTATTATATGTGGTGGAACACTAATCAATAGAAACTGGGTTGTCACTGCTGGACATTGTTTCAAGTAAGCAAATATAATACCTTAAATTTTTAAATAGCAACGGTCAGTAATGAAAACGAAACGTTAGGTGCCCAAAACAGTTTAGCAAGATGAATTCAATGTCGATTTTTTCCACCGATTTATTTCAATTATTACAAATTTATTACAGTGTCAGCTGTTTTTGCCATTCTACCTTAAGTTTGTCTCTTTTAATAAACGTTTGAACATTTCATTGTGATCTTCTTTCTGCATTTTTTATTATTTTCCAGAGGTTTTTCATCTGAAACAAAAATGGAATTATTCTTTGGAGTGCTTGAACTATCAAAATTGAAGCAAGGACATGTACAGAAGCGTAACATGAAAAAGGTAAATAATTCTTTACATGTATACAATAACACATTCAACTTACCAAGACAACGTCTGTAAATTTGAGTCAATTTCATAGTACTTTTACAGCATATTCTGTATCCTAATTGGAATGAAGATAAATTTGAAATCAACGATATTGCTCTCATTGAGCTAGACAAGCCTGTCAGGTTTAACAGATGGGTCCGACCAGTCTGTTTACCGAACGGAGAAAAACCAAAAATAGGAACAAAGTGTTATGCAGCTGGGTGGGGTTTGCAACGTAAGTATTTCAATATTGAATGGATTCGCTTAGTAAGAAAGTATCTTTCTGTGTACATCTGATTTGCCTCGTAAATACTGCCTACTTTGGAGCGAGCAATTCTTTCATGAAAATTAGATCACTATTTCGATTATCAACCGAATTCACGATGTTCAGTGTTTGGTTTTAAAATAGCTGCGAATTATACGCCTGGACATGATTTTATAAACATGAACAGCTAATGTATCAATAAATGAAAAAAAAAACGATTAACGCATCTGGGCCAGATGGGAAAGCACAATATTATATTTCTAACATTTTTTCAATTGATACAATTTACAATGTGACTACAAATAAAGATGAAGACGATCTTTCGCCTGCAACAAAGTTACAGCATGTCGATCTCCCCATCGTGGAACCACAAAAGTGTATAAAGGCTTACAAAGACGAAGACACGAAAGTTAATAGAACAATCATGATGTGTGCTGGATATGACGAAGGGGGTAAAGACTCATGTCGGGGTGAGGGTCGTTATTATTCTTTTTCATAACGAGACGTTGTGCAATTGCTAGCATCAATATCGAATATATATACGCATATCTTTGTCTCATTTCTCCTGTGGCATCTTGCTACTACTGGTTACTAATACCATGTTACTACTATATTGTCTTTAACTAAGAAATCATGAGTTTTGTACTCCATGATATAGTAATAGTGATTTTAAACAATTGATCCTGATAATATTTGCATCGATTACTTTTGTCACATATTATTGTATTTGGCATATGCACGTAATAAAAACTTCTTTAGATAACCATCAAAACAGTGGATTCAAATTTTCTGGGCGTCAAACTTCTGTACTTCAACGTAGTGAAACTTGCATTGATAATTAACCATGAATACTTCGAATAAAATATATATATTTCGGCTGAATTTAATAAATTTTCTTTCCGATAAATACATTTAAAGCGTAGTCACTTTGATCGTAAACTATCAACTTAAACATTTAAATGAAAAAACTGAAGCTGATCTGAAATCAAATGAGGCACACACGAACAATCTAGTAACCCTGTATATTTTAATTTATATGGCGATATAGTTTGTATCTTTCTATAGAATTTAAATTTATATTTCTCAGTGTTTTCTGAACAAAATGACAGTATTATTTCCTGTTTTTAATATCTATAGGTGATTCCGGCGGACCATTTGTTTGTCAACGTTGCAATAGTTGTGGGTGGTATCTTGCCGGTGTAGTGTCATTTGGCAGTGGATGTGCTCAAAAAGGATTTTATGGAGTTTATGCAGATGTTCATTACTTTGAAAAGTGGATTTCAGAAATGACGAAAATTCCTGTGAACAACGCAAAATCCTGTACAGGACCATGTAAAAATTATTAATATTACTTGAACTTATGTAGTTGAAAATAAGTAGTTACGTTTAATGTCACCAGGACCATCAGATTTTATTTATCATGAATACGTGCAAATGTATCTTAATTGTAGTATCGCTTGGGTGAATGATAGCATCTGATGTGAATCAAATATTTAACAGACATGGAAACGTGGTCCAAGTGGAGCACATGTACCGTAACTTGTGGAATTGGAGGAAAACATACAAGAACAAGGCAATGCCTGCATAAAGGAAAAGTTAGTGATCAATGTAATGGTCCTCTGAAACAAACAGATGATTGCCCAAGAATAAGATGTCCAAGTGAGATTAGATAATTTTGAAAAATATGGAAAAGCGGAGTATATATCATCAACTTATAAATATTTAAAAATAATTATACCATACCCAACGCGAGATTTGATTTTTTATACTTGTCTATACTATACTCCTTATGATATATCAAAGTTCATCCAACATAAAAATTATGATGACAGAAATCTTATATAATGAGAACACACAATGTTTAGCAATGTGGTGGCTCATTAATACCATCTGTGCCAACAAACCCAAATAAAATACATTAATTTCTAAAGGATTCGGAAGATTCAGTGATTGGTCGAAATGTACGAAGACTTGTGGCGGTGGATTAAGAACTAGAATTAGAGAGTGTCTACATGGTAAAATTGGACAAGATGGCTGTCCAGCGGACGATGCTGTTGAAAATGAAGTACGTTTGTTACTTATTGTGCAAAGGATTTGTCGTTATGCATCATATTCACAAAATAATTCATCGATTTTATAATATGCTTTCATATTCATTTATCTTTGTTTATTAGGACTGCAATAAACAAACATGTCCGGTATGGGAAGATTGGTCAGAATGGAAAACATGTACAAAAACGTGTGGTACTGGTGTGGAAGCTCGAACAAGAAAATGCATTGGGGGGAAACCTTCAGATGAAGGCTGTGACGGAAAGGCTACTGAAGAGAGGAAATGCAACGAAGAACTTTGTCCTGGTATTCCATTTTGTAGAACAAACATGGACTACTTTGTTTGTGGTCAAAATTGGAATAATTAGTAGAAAATATTTGACTGGGTTGATATAATGTTTATTTATCTCAGATAAGCACAAGTCTAATTTGAGGTGCCATTACATAAAATATTTATCTGTATCATGCACGACCCAATGCATGGATTGATATTCCGATGAGTTGTTGAACAACAAGTGGGTAAAGGATTTATTTTGGATACTCCGTGTACCTGGTTAGGATTAGGGCACAATTTGATTCTGATTTTACTCATTTTAGTTCTATTACGAGCTTGGGGACTGTCTGTGTTACCCGAGTAAATATACCCTCTTCCCATAGTTTTAGTCCTTCTACACAACTTAATGTAAAGTAGGCGAACAAAATTAGTAAGCTCCATATTAATACATATACTTCTGGAGCGCCTTTTTTTGTATTACGTATGCGTATTGTATGTGTTGATCTTCTGGCAAAAAGTAAAATAGGTGAAATTAAATAATTCTTATATATTTATTTATGTATTTACACATACAATTTTGGAGCTCTCTATATGAAACAAAAAATATAAAATATATTATCAGGTTTTAGCGAATGAATGACTAAAGAGTAATCTATATTTAGGATGGAGTGATTGGGGTCCATTTGGCCGTTGCTCAAAGACATGTGGTGGAGGAACTCAAGTATCAGAAAGGCAGTGTATCGGGAAAAAATGTCCAGGCGAAGACAACAAAAGTCAAGTAAATATCGAAGTTGCTAGTAAAATTATAACCAATTATAAAATGAGATTACAATTTTTTTTCAGGTTTGTAACAAACAATTATGCCCAGTATTTGGCAAATGGAGTAACTGGGAATCTTGTGACGTTACCTGTGGCGGAGGATTAAGTCAAAGAAGAAGGTCATGTGAAAACGGAAAAATTGGCGAAATTGGATGCGAAAAAGATAAAGAATCAGAACAACAGGTATGGGACACATTTTTGATGCAAAATGATGATGCGATTTGATTGGAATTATTCGAATAGATTCAAAGAGGTTATTAGGGCGCAAGTACTTGCTCTCTTCGAGTGTTATGGAATTTTGGAAATTTGGAATATTTCAGGTTATGCAATACCTAACGGTTTGAATAACACTCCGGAGATTTGAACAGAAAATAATATATTTTATTATCATGCGATGTGCGATATGACCTTAGTCACAATTTGAATGAAATATAGGTTACGCATTGATTGTTTGTAAAAATCAATTTTGCATTCATTCAAAATCTAAATAAGTGTTGTTCTTATCAATTTATTTAAACAATGTATATATAAATTTCCTATTTTTTATCTTTTTGCATCATGAACACAACAACATTAAAACACAAATTTTGCAGAAATGTAATACTCAACTTTGTCCTGAATTCACATCCTGGTCAGATTTTACAAAATGCTCAGTGACGTGTGGCGGTGGAACACAAAAAGCAACCCGTACATGCAAGAATGGCAGGGTTGGACAGGAAGGTTGCATTGGCGATACCACTAAAACTAGAAAATGTGGTGAAGATGAATGTATAGGTAATCACACAAACTTATTTATACCGGCCTACTGGTGATCGATGCAGGATAATACTTGCATATGACCATATTTCGTTGTGATGATTGGAAAACGTTTTAAAGTTTTTTCCTGGATTTTTTTTCGTACATTTTGATGTTATATAACAGGGATGTCAAACCACTGACCCGCGCGTCACAATGTGATCACCAAGTTTTTGTAGTTTATTCTTTCGGGAATACAGTGACGCTGAAAAAAACAAACTTTTATTGACCTAAATTAACGACCACAGAAATCGGAAATCACAATGGAGCTAAATGATAATGGCTTAAATGCTTTTGAAAGGCAATAAAAATATGTAATTTTCCCAGGGTGGAATTCCTATCCAATTTTTTTAACCCGACCGTTAAAACCACGTCCCTTAATCTTTTGTGTTCTACTCTTGTAAATCTATCATTGAAATTGTTTTGCCAAAATTTATGATTGATTTATCCAATTGGACATAACGACATAGCAATCAAATTGCAGGCAACTTTGGAACTTGGAGTGTTTGGACAAAATGTTCTGAAACTTGTGGCAATGGTATCAGGACGAGAAGTCGATCTTGTGAAGGTGGAACAAAATGCATAGGCAAAAGTCAGGAGTCAGAAGATTGCAAAGTAAAAGAATGCCCTGGTAAATATACACGATTGTATTTATCCACAAGTTTTGTTTTGTGATATTTGAGTTCAATGTATTTTAATAGTGTTGAAACTTGAACCTGCTGGCAACTCGTCGAAAACTATAAAAATATGTCCCGACCGTTCTACAAAATTATTATACTGTTGGCAGCGCTGAAAGTTTTATACTTAGTGTATACTCAGCATTCAACATCAGTTGAATTATAAGTCTTACGTTGTTCCCGTTATATAGGTCATTTGGTTATACGTATATACTTACAGACATATCTGACATAGAATGTTGTGTTTATGATTGTTTTTAGTATTCGGCAAATGGAGCCAATGGACCGTTTGTTCAAATACATGTGGAGGTGGACAGCAATCTCGATCTCGCGATTGTTTACATACGAACAACCCAGAAGATTGTGTTGGAGAAGCCAGTCAATCACAGAACTGTAACGAACAAAGGTGTCCAGGCGTGTGGATGCCATGGACAGAATGGAGTGAATGTGACGTTACATGTGGAGAGGGAACTGAAACTAAAACTCGAAATTGTGAGGTATAACAAGAGTCTGATTTGAGTATATATTATTTATAAAAAACGGGTCATAAAATATTTTTTTGCGTGACAATATCTTTTAAAATTTCTTAGTTACAGTTGGCTTTACATAAAATATTAAATTAAGCAATTCAGGACTACGGCTCAGATGGTTTGATTTGTGTGTTTGGTTTACACTGAGTGACAAAATTCTGTTTGTTTAGGGAGGTGAAATCGGCAAGCCAAACTGCGACAGCGGGGAAGCCGAAGAAACAAGGCGATGTGTTTTAGACGCATGTCCTTCTAAATGGGGAAATTGGGGAACATGGACCTTTTGTTCAAAATGTGAGTTAATGACTGGTTTAAATCAAAAGTCCGATTTGAGTCTATTAATTTGAGTTTCGGGTTTTCCGAATCTCAATCCGTGTTGTCGCAGATTTCATTTTCCACCGGAAAGATAGCTTCAATTTCTTAATGTGTATTAAAAAATAACAAAAATATATCATTACTAGGAATTTCATTTCATTATTTTTATGTAAAATTGGCTTTTCCAATATCATATTGGCTTGGACCCGCAACGCGCTTTATAATCATCATTTGTTATTGTTCATGCTATCGATTGGGATTCTACGGGACTTACTACCCATCCCTCGTCTATGCTTTTGTGCCGGTACGCATATATTGCATAAGGATGCTGAAGCGAAAGTGAAGATAAATATTCGAAGCGATTCGAAACTCATGCTGCACTCTTACACAAATATATGTCTGTAACGTTTCGTCTGACCAAGGTAAGAATAGTCTGACCGAAACGTTACAGAAATATATTTCTTTCGCTAATTAGGAATTAAAAAAATAAGCAACGCTGCTGGCTCAAATAGTATTAGATAATTTCCACTTAATAAATCATGTTACTACATGGTGCCAAACGCTGCTTTGACCACTTTGAATTACTATCCGTTCAGAAATTTCGAACGCCCGGTGCGAATTTGTCAGTCAACAAATAGTATGACTTTATATTGTACTGAAAACCCGTATTTTCATGGAGTAAAACGTTTGTCAATATTTAAAAAATATGAAAAGGGAGTACAAATAGGAGAATTAGAGTCTAGCTCCAATTGGAAACTGCAACTGACAAAGATATTATTTCGAATATAAATTAGGTATAAATTTGAACAAATCAGAATGATCTTGTCGCTGAAGGCAGATCAATTGATATGGCGCGATTGCTTAGTGTTCAAGACAATAGCAATCTCCTTTACTTTCAACCTAGATTTACATGAACACAAATGAATTACTTACTAATCTTGATGTATCATAGCGTGTGATCGAGGCATGAAAACAAGAAGAAGACCATGTGATGGTGGAAAACCAGGTGATGGAGATTGCGTTCCCGCATCAGCACAAAAAGAAGAAGAAGCATGCAATGAAGTCACCTGTAGAGGTAACGATTTCAAAATCAATTCACTACATTTAACCAAATGCTTTAAATCTTCTCTCTCCAAAGGGAGTTTAAATTCAAGAGCAACATTTTCAGTCCAGGCGAGTCAGGTCTGTCGCTTCAAATTTTCCGATGTATATTTAAATTGGTTCCGATATGCATGCCGAATGGAAATTTTAAAAAAGGTAGTTTTATTCGAAATCGTATATAAATATCGTTATATCAACAGACTTTATTAAGTTTCTACGCGATTTTGACATTTTTATGTACGATGATGTTTTTCATGTTATCTCCAATACTAAACACCATTCAGTCGCTAAAATAATCCATCTCCTATTCAAACACGTATTTTTCAGATTGCTTTGACGTAGCAGGTTTTACGTGGTGTGCTACATACTTTACTATAAAAGAAAACTGCAAAGAATATCCAGCGCAAGCACGTCAATACTGTGCACTGACTTGCAGTTTGTGTCCAGGTTTGAATGAATTTTGCGTATATAAATGTCTTATTCCTATCAAAATTCCATAAATTGGACTCTCGAGGACTACACATATATAATGGTCACAGCTATGATTGCTGAGTTCATCTGTACTTCGTATTTAGGCATAAGTTTATACTTCAGTAGACTACTCTATTGTAAAATAAGTTATTATGTTTGTTTGTTAACTTTTAGCGGCACGCCCGAACGTAAAACTTCGGCCTGAATTATGTTGAACTTCGAATTTCTACCCGAACCAGTGTCCAAATAATTTGAGCAAAATTAGCACAATTCAAAGCAAATTGTATTGGAATATTACAAAAAAGTGCGATCGTAGAACACATTGTTACATGTGGCAAAGATAAACTCGAACATCAGTAGTAAATATTCGAATTTTCATAATTAGTAAATTTGCTGTGAACTGAAGACTGTCGCAACCATTTACGAGACTCGCTTTCTAAAGATGTGGAAAATGATGCATGTAGATAATTTTCCACAATCCAAGAACAACTAAATAAATTTGATTCAATATGAAGGATTGCACGAGCATTGGCAATCTTGGGGACCCTGTTCTAGCAGCTGCGGAACAGGATTTCGAACTAGAACAAGAGAGTGCAAAAATAAAGAGTTGGGTTGTGAAGGCGAATCAAGCGAAGAAGACGTTTGCAAAGGTCCATGTCAAGGTAAATCTCTTTTATCGAAAATATAGCAAATGTGAAACATACGGTAAACACTCAAAAAATAATATCAATATCATAAGCAGTTATCTACAACTAAAAGTTATTGTTAAAACCCTATTAACCGATGATGATAAAAAAACGTATATGAATGTATATGTAATAGTTATATTTTCACGCAGGATTTAACCCATGGGGAAAATGGACAACATGTACGGAATCGTGTAACGGTGGAACAAGAACTAGGCAGCGAACTTGCTCTTTTAAAAAATGTGACCCGGATGAAAATGGAAATACATCTAAGACAGACAAAGAAAATTGTAACTTAGAACCATGCCCGGGCAAATGGGGAGACTGGGGTGCATGGGAATCCTGTAGTACGACATGCGGCGACAATGGAGAACAGATAGCAAGAAGAACATGTGAAGGCGGTAGGGCAGGAGGGCCGGGTTGCCTGGGCCTTGCTACGAAAACGAGACCATGCAGAAATAACAATAAATGTCCTGGGAAATGGAGTGCTTGGACTAAGTGGTCCCAATGCTCGGTTACTTGCGGTGGAAAAGGAACACGCACGAGAACACGCACATGTGAAGGGGGAGTTGAGGGCCAGTCTGACTGTCCTGGATCCGCAACACAGACAGAAGACTGCGACGAAGAAAAATGTACTGCAAAATGGGGAGACTGGGAAGATTGGGGTGATTGTGATAAAGACTGTTCTCGTACCCGAACAAGGTATAAGATATTACAATGATCTTTCTGAATAAAAAATATTTTGCAGCTGCAAATATTAAGTCATTTCATTTTTAAAATATAGGTTTCGGTTTGCATTAATTTACCTTGATACGCCTATCATACCAACTCTCTACATAGAATTGTCAATAGTCGAGTATACGTTTTCCATATCTTGGCACCAACAATAATGAACTTATACCTTTTTCTAATCTATATTCAAAAACACAATACGATAATCTTGAATTTTAATCCTATCTGGATAATGCATACCGAGTTCCAAATTGTGATTTGCGTTTTTTTCTCATATGTTTTAGTGAGGCTTGCGATTTCCTTTCTCTCACCAACGGTGTAATACGCATTATAAGTCAGATATTTATTTAAAACAGTAATGTATTACGTAATGTACGAGTTCTGTGCTTGTTGTTCGATTCGCTCATCTTGCAAAAGAATGTTAGTGGTTTTATATAGCGACACAAAAACCCTTTTGCCTCACTGTTTTTTTCTTATTATTATTTGTATTTTGAAATATTCACTTTACGCCAGAAAATGTATAGGCGGAACAAAAGGAGATCGTGGATGCGAGGGTGAAGGCGAGCAAACTCAAGAATGTGACAGTTCTCAATGTAAGATTTATATATTGCTAACATTGTACTTTGTAACATCGTTGGTTAACATTGTACTATTGGTTTTTGTGCAACTGGCGACCTACCACGGGCCAAAACCCGGCCCTATAAGCCCTTCAGTATGGTCTTTATTAACAGTCAGAATTTCCCCAACAAGCATAAAATCCTAATCCGACAGTTCATTTTTAAAAAGGTGCTCACGTGGGAAAAAAATACATCATTCTCTTCTCTTGTCCTTCCCGCGGCGCTCTGCTTGTCGCTAATGTATTTCGTTTTTTAAATGATTGTGTACATGAAACATCTAAATATCAATTTTTTTTTATGTGGCCCAGCTAGGTGGCTGAAGTTAGTTGTATATATTGTCTACCGACAAAAATGTTGCACACGCCTGATAGAGACCATTACATTATCCACTACTGTATACAATCGTCGATATATAGTATACAGTCTGTATACAATTGTCGGGACATAAAATTTGTAAAATTCAACCGTATATATTTAAAGGTCCCACTGATGGCTGCGATCCGAATAAAATCGATTTACATATATGGTGCAATTCGCTAACAACGGCAAATTGTTATGACCCGCAGTACGAACAGGCATGCCCGTGGACATGCTGCAAGGGTGAGTACTTTTCAATAATAATTTCTAAAAATTTGCGAAAAGCGATGGACATTTTAGGTTTTGAATGCATCTAAAATTCTTAATGATAGTATAAGCGTCGTAAGCTAATCATGGATTTAGGATAAAAATCTAGTTATTGATAATAATAAATAACAAAAACTAAATGCAATTTTTGTACCGAAGACAACGCTTGAATTCATTTGATGTTTTTTTGTAGCGAGTTCTAAATTTTTATTCAATTCGTTCGTTCACTAGTTCTCGGACAAGTACCTTGCGAAGATGATCCAGCGCAAAAAGATAGCTACTGTGTTCCATATCAAGCTTACTGCAATGATCCGACCTATATTGCCACTTTCAAGCAATACTGTAGAAAAACCTGCAATTTCTGTGAATAATAGAACTTTTCATTCTAATCGAATCGGCATTGCACGATGTAAACCAAGTTGTGTTTTTCGTGAAATCAATATGTTCCCTTCAACATTTCATCATAAACGTGGATGACTGTTATGTAAAATATGTTACTGCTTTTAATAAATGTAATATTACTATGCGATTATTAAACAAAATGTCTGTATCACAATACAACCTTGAGTTCTTTGAATCCCATGCTGAAAGGTTCATCTGAATCTCTACACATAAAACAAAAGTGAAGTAACCGGATATTTTACACATTTTGCTTACGTCAGAATTTGTGAATACCGTCAGTCTTTTTATTGACTATTTGCTCAAAGTAAGATTTAGCCGGAGCTGCAAGCCTACAATTACGAATGCGATCGGATAACGATTTGAGTCGCCAGTATGTAACATAGAACAATGCTCAAATATACGAACACCAACAAACAAACGAAATATTTTTACCCACAATTCCCCCAAAATCTTATTCTGAACAAAGCTTGAACTGTTACCGTATTTTACCATGCCAGTCTAAAAGTGCGTCCAGTCTAAACGGAAATCGAAAATTCCAATGATTCGAGGATATACTGTAGCATCACGGTTGTGACAATTTGTAATTTTGATGAGACCATCAAACACCTTATAAATTGATTTCGGTAATGCCTCCACATTGACAGAAGAATGAAATCATTGTCAAACCCATCCTCAAAATGGAACTCGACATTGGTAAAGTGACCCGATATTCAAACTCAATGCAATAACGTTTTTGCTGCATTTTGAGATGTAGAGGGGCGAAAGACCAATGTTCAAACGGCACAGAAGCCTAGTACCCAGCCTGGAATTGCAATGACATGATGAGTCTGCTGATTCAACAAATGTCCACCGCGCTAATCATCAGTAGTGGCCGTTTATTTTTCCTCCAGAAAGTCGGCAAACTTTATGCACCTGCGGGTCAAATATACACAGTGACAGTAGCGTGTGGGCCGCATTAATTTCCGCCTGAGAAAAATCGCCACATTAAACCTCAAATTATGGCGCTCTCGCACCTTCAATTGTTATATTAAAAGCCTGCCACAATTAAACGTGTATGTGGCATTTTTCAATACCCACCTTCGATTGTTATATTAAAAGCCTGCCACAATTAAACGTATATGTGTCCTTTTTCAATACCCACCTTCGATTGTTATATTAAAAGCCTGCCACAATTAGTCGTGCATGTGGCATTTTTCAATACCTTATCAAACAATAGATTGTTTCCATTTACTTATTATCAATGTGGAGGATATGGTTGTTTCTATGTCACGGCCAAAGCGTTGAAATCAAATAGCAACTTCGCTGCCCGCCGGTACGTCGTCGAAATGGCGATCTGACAAGCGATTACGAAATTTATTCTTAATGTAATGCATTTTAGATATTTAGACATTTTAGATGCGATGCTGACTTGGCATATGAAGCAAACTGGTCTTAAAATGCGCAATAAAAACAATTTCCCTCCATGCACTTTGGAATGTTCAACTCTCGTCGCAAACGTCATTCCGTTTTTCGGACATTTTTAAAAAATTAAAATGAAATGAACTTATAATTAGACGTTTATCAAATAAACGACATACAACTGACAATACTTACTACAAAACAACAGCAGCACTTGTTACCACAAAAATTAGTGTGGAGACAATAATAAATTTGAAATAAATATATGTTTTTGGCATTCAAAGTTGGGTCGTTCGAGGGATGCAAAAAATAGTTCGCGGGCCGCAATTTTCCCTATAGTTTACCATTGCAAAGTTCATGGTGATTTTTGGAGTGGTTTTGCGAGTTGACTCTTATTAACTGGTTTATATGCTTCAAACTACCATCTTGATTAAAAACATTTGACAGTCTTTCAAAAGTACCGATAGAAAATTTTTGCCTAGTTTATCACAGCTATTTCTAGACTAATTTTTGCTGCAATTATCTAAAACTTCCTAGGAAAACAAAATATTTATTGAGTTATTTGGTTCATACTTTGCGAAACACAACAGAAAACTAATATATAGCATGCAAAAATCCGAAAACGAATCGTCTTGCTGATTAGCCAATGTTACGAAAGTATACAAGGAAGTCGATGCTCGGGGGAACATCCATCAACTACTGAAATATATTTATTGCTGTCTATCTACCAGCTCAAACACCCTATGAATTCAAATTCTATAAATATCAAATAGGATTCATTTCATTACGTTTTTTCTTTGAGAATCATACAAACAAGAGACTGTCGGGCGAAGTTTTTGCTCTCAAGTTGCTGAAAGGTTGTTGCAAAGACTTGTTAAATACTGCGGAATGTAGTTTTTCGCAGTCATTTTAACTTGAACTTTTAATCACGTGTTGTGAAATTTCACACGTTAGAGAAGATATATCCTTGAGGTATTTGAGCCTAACGACGGCGCAGGTGTAATACGTACAAGCAGAAATGCAATCAATTTGAATATCATATGACTAAATTGCACCTTTTCCTTCGGGCAATGACAACTTTACAAATTCAGTCCCAGTGCTCACACAAATTGATATAATCGTGATTCACAGCAATATCCTGCATCCGATCAGTGAATAAAGGAAAATATATGCTGATAAACATGAATTGGAAAATTTTCATTTTTGGTCCGGAATATATTTATGGCGAATCAAAGATCAATTTGGATCGGGTTATCTGATTATAATAATAATGTGATAATTTAGTTCTATGCCATAGGTAATTTATTGCCAAATGGAAAACTGTCAAATTAACTATGAATGGGCCAGAGATCAGTCTTAGTTTACCACGCATCCTGACGGAATGTTATTGGACACGTTAGTGGCGTTATTAAAAAGTCGCTTTTCTCTTCGATTACTGGACCAATTGCTTTGAAATTTTCAAGAGGGCTATTACTTTTATTTGTTTCTAAATTTCCTATAAGATCTGCTATTCCATTCAAAATTTCCCTGTTTTAACTTTTACGCATGGGAACACTGTTTTAGCCCTTATTTCAATCGGTTCCGCCAAGCATGACGGCTGCTTCTGAAGATCCTTTTACTGAAAACTCGGAAGTGTTTTGAGGGTACCGGTAACGTTAAAGGTAAAGACTGCTCCACTCTGGTCTACGTGCCCATATATTTGAGCATTGCTCTCTTGTTCAAGTTAGTGATGAAACTGGCGTGGTTATTGAATACCGACTCTATTAGTAGCCTAAATCCAAATATCTACATTTCTGCTCAGTATCGAGGATGTTGATAAGTTCTGTTATACTTAGGGTTACAATATTTTTTTGACTTCAAAGCGGGACGCCTGCTGTAAATTTGCAGTTTCCGATTTTACTACATAGGCCTCCATCTAAGCCATCCCGGCTGTCTTCATTGGCCATATTGTCACCGAGAGTTCGTGCGCATATTCTCTGTCTAAATATCGAGTTCAGTTTGAAAAATAGAAAGGAATAGACGCTAACGATACAATTAATCCGAATTTAGATTTTTTTTATGAACAGCAAAAGTAATAAAGAATAATGAAATAGATTTGCTATTTGATTGAGGCAACCCTCTCAGTGGGTTAGGCCCACGATAGCGAAGGAATCGAAGAAAACGCCTTCATTTCATGTTAAGACAATGCGTTTGCAACAATATTACAATACCAAATGGATCCAAATCATTGATGCTAAGCAATCATGGCCTTGAATATGGATGGGACTCTATTTTGACACACGTTGCCGTTTGCATTTTCCCACCTCCTGGTGGTAGCTGAGTTGGGTTTCGAGACTGTTATATTGAAATATCACGACCGTAAGTTAAAGCTGCAATTAATTGTACAGTGTCATTTTGATTAAATGTTGTTTTTTTTATTTTGCATTTGCTGTTGATCGTTTTTCCAATTATGTAGAGAACGTTTTATTCTTTCTAACATTTTATCACAACATTTGTTTAAGTTTTTGACGGCTGCATCATTACATACACATGCTTCATTATGCATTTGACGTTCCGTTTGTTGGACCTCTGGATCAGGTTTTAGTCCTTAGATAATCTGGGACAACGGCATGATTTAGATATAGCAATCTACCTTCTGTTAGATTAGCAAAATATTTATTGGTCGTCATCCTGGCCCAAGCGCAACGGTCTGATCGGATAATTTTGAAGAGGTGCTATTTTTTCAGCTTTCGATAAGTTTGACCCGATAAGAGAGCGTAACTATCCAAGACTGAAGTCCAAGTAAGAGTTTCATGTTCGTGATCTATTTTTGCAATAAATTGTACCAAAGCATTTTTCAATTCTCGAGACAATTCAATTCTTCGAGCTCATTTTCTTCCATTCCTTGAGATTCCATAATATTATTTTTAGAAATAAGTGTTGCAGGCTTAAACAGCAACATGTGATACGTTCGCTAACAATGTTAGCGGGAAACAACGAAACAAACAAAATAACGCATTCACCTTCAGTAAGTACGCTAGCGTTGCGTTACACAGCAACAACAGTAACGAGAACATGTTCGTGTATTATGCTGGATGGCTGAAAGTAAAAGCGGGACTTTTGGCTGACTTGTCGGGACGGCGGGACAAGACGCTAAATAGCGGGACTGTCCCGTCTAAAGCGGGACGTATGGTAAGCCTAGTTATACTGAGCTTACATAAATTAGACAGTAATCTGTAACTATGATTAATTTCGGAGAATCATCCAATGGGAGTGGAAAAGTGATAAGATGCCTTGATAATATGTCTGACCGGCCTCTCGTCCGAATAACAGTTAATTTATTAACCAGTAATTCTGAACCGCTGTTTTTGGCATTTAAAGTTGGGTCGTTCGAGGGATGCAAAAAATAGTTCGCGGGCCGCAATTTTCCCTATAGTTTACCATTGCAAAGTTCATGGTGATTTTTGGAGTGGTTTTGCGAGTTGACTCTTATTAACTGGTTTATATGCTTCAAACTACCATCTTGATTAAAAACATCTGACAGTCTTTCAAAAGTACCGATAGAAAATTTTTGCCTAGTTTATCACAGCTATTTCTAGATTAATTTTTACTGCAATTATCTAAAACTCCCTAGGAAAACAAAATATTTATTGAGTTATTTGGTTCATACTTAAATTCGCGAACACAACAGAAAACTAATATATAGCATGCAAAAATCCGAAAACGAAGCGTCTTGCTGATTAGCCAATGTTACGAAAGTACACAAGGAAGTCGATGCTCGGGGGATCATCCATCAACTACTGAAATATATTTATTGCTGTCTATCTACCAGCTCAAACACCCTATGAATTCAAATTCTATAAATATCAAATAGGATCCATTTCATTACGTTTTTTCTTTGAGAATCATACAAACAAGAGACTGTCGGGCGAAGTTTTTGCTCTCAAGTTGCTGAAAGGTTGTTGCAAAGACTTGTTAAATACTGCGGAATGTAGTTTTTCGCAGTCATTTTAACTTGAACTTTTAATCACGTGTTGTGAAATTTCACACGTTAGGGAAAATATATCCTTGAGGTATTTGAGCCTAACGACGGCGCAGGTGTAATCCGTACAAGCAGAAATGCAATCAATTTGAATATCATATGACTAAATTGCACCTTTTCCTTCGGGCAATGACAACTTTACAAATTCAGTCCCAGTGCTCACACAAATTGATATAATCGTGATTCACAGCAATATCCTGCATCCGATCAGTGAATAAAGGAAAATATATGCTGATAAACATGAATTGGAAAATTTTCATTTTTGGTCCGGAATATATTTATGGCGAATCAAAGATCATTTTGGATCGGGTTATCTGATTATAATAATAATGTGATAATTTAGTTCTATGCCATAGGTAATTTATTGCCAAATGGAAAACTGTCAAATTAACTATGAATGGGTCAGAGATCAGTCTTAGTTTACCACGCATCCTGACGGAATGTTATTGGACACGTTAGTGGCGTTATTAAAAAGTCGCTTTTCTCTTCGATTACTGGACCAATTGCTTTGAAATTTTCAAGAGGGCTATTACTTTTATTTGTTTCTAAATTTCCTATAAGATCTGCTATTCCATTCAAAATTTCCCTGTTTTAACTTTTACGCATGGGAACACTGTTTTAGCCCTTATTTCAATCGGTTCCGCCAAGCATGACGGCTGCTTCTGAAGATCCTTTTACTGAAAACTCGGAAGTGTTTTGAGGGTACCGGTAACGTTAAAGGTAAAGACTGCTCCACTCTGGTCTACGTGCCCATATATTTGAGCATTGCTCTCTTGTTCAAGTTAGTGATGAAACTGGCGTGGTTATTGAATAACGACTCTATTAGTGGCCTAAATCCAAATGTATACAGTTCTGCTCAGTATCGAGGATATTTATCTTTAAGGAAGTAAAAAAAGTCAAAAACCCAAATTTTGATATGTTTTGTTATCCTGTAAATTTGCAGTTTCCGATTTTATTACATAGGCTTACATCTAAGCCATCCCGGCTGTCTCCATTGACCATATTGTCATCGAGAGTTCGTGCGCATATTTTATGTCTAAATATCGAGTTCAGTTCGAAAAATAGAAAGGAATAGACGCTAACGATACAAATGATCCGAATTTAGATTTTTTTATGTACAGCAAAAGTAATAAAGAATAATGAAATAGATTCGCTATTTGATTGAGGCAACCCTCTCAGTCGGTTAGGCCCTCGATAGCGAAGGAATCGAAGAAAACGCCTTCATTTCATGTTAAGACAATGCGTTTGCAACAATATTCGAATACCAAATTGATCCAAAACATTGATGCTAAGCAATCATGGCCTTGAATATGGATGGGACTTTCTTTTGACACACGTTGCCGTTTGCATTTTCCCACCTCCTGGTGGTAGCTGAGTTGGGTTTCGAGACTGTTATATTGAAATATCACGACCGTACGTTTAAGCTGCAATTAATTGTACAGTGTCATTTTGATTAAATGTTAGTTTTTTTTTATTTTGCATTTGCTGTTGATCGTTTTTCCAATTATGTAGAGAACGTTTTATTCTTTCTAACATTTTATCACAACATTTGTTTAAGTTTTTGACGGCTGCATCATTACATACACATGCTTCATTATGCATTTGACGTTCCGTTTGTTGGACCTCTGGATCAGGTTTTAGTCCTAAGATAATCTGGGACAACGGCATGATTTAGATATAGCAATCTACCTTCTGTTAGATTAGCAAGATATTTATTGGTCGTCATCCTGGCCCAAGCGCAACGGTCTGATCGGATAATTTTGAAGAGGTGCTATTTTTTCAGCTTTCGATAAGTTTGACCCGATAAGAGCGCGTAACTATCCAAGACTGAAGTCCAAGTAAGAGTTTCATGTTCGTGATCTATTTTTGCAATAAATTGTACCAAAGCATTTTTCAATTCTCGAGACAATTCAATTCTTCGAGCTCATTTTCTTCTATTCCTTGAGATTCCATAATATTATTTTAAGAAATAAGTGTTGCAGGCTTAAACAGCAACAATACATACGTTCGCTAACAATGTTAGCGGGAAACAACGAAACAAACAAAATAACGCATTCACCTTCAGTAAGTACGCTAGCGTTGCGTTACACAGCAACAACAGTAACGAGAACATGTTCGTGTATTATGCTGGATGGCAGAAAGTGAAAGCGGGAAAGTTTTTGACGGCTGCATCATTACATACACATGCTTCATTATGCATTTGACGTTCCGTTTGTTGGACCTCTGGATCAGGTTTTAGTCCTAAGATAATCTGGGACAACGGCATGATTTAGATATAGCAATCTACCTTCTGTTAGATTAGCAAGATATTTATTGGTCGTCATCCTGGCCCAAGCGCAACGGTCTGATCGGATAATTTTGAAGAGGTGCTATTTTTTCAGCTTTCGATAAGTTTGACCCGATAAGAGCGCGTAACTATCCAAGACTGAAGTCCAAGTAAGAGTTTCATGTTCGTGATCTATTTTTGCAATAAATTGTACCAAAGCATTTTTCAATTCTCGAGACAATTCAATTCTTCGAGCTCATTTTCTTCTATTCCTTGAGATTCCATAATATTATTTTAAGAAATAAGTGTTGCAGGCTTAAACAGCAACAATACATACGTTCGCTAACAATGTTAGCGGGAAACAACGAAACAAACAAAATAACGCATTCACCTTCAGTAAGTACGCTAGCGTTGCGTTACACAGCAACAACAGTAACGAGAACATGTTCGTGTATTATGCTGGATGGCAGAAAGTGAAAGCGGGACTGTCCCGCCTAAAGCGGGACGTATGGTAAGCCTAGTTATACTGAGCTTACATAAATTAGGCAGTAATCTCTAACTATGATTAATTTCGGAGAATTATCCAATGGGAGTGAAAAAGTGATAAGATGCCTTGATGGTATGTCTGACCGGCCTCTCGTCCGAATAACAGTTAATTTATTAACCAGTAATTCTGAACCGCTTTGCAACGTAATTACCCCCCTGTCACTCCCCCTACAAGGTAACCAGAGGGTGCGATGCCCAAAAATTAGAAAGATGTGCCAGTAGTAGACCTTTAATATATTACCTGCTTTCTTGTTTCGAAAGAAATTTACAATAGAATTTACAAAGTTGAGTTTTACTATTTTGTTTTGCAGACAATTGCGATTGTGTCGCAGCGTAAATAAGTCAACACCGAACAGATGAAACAGTTATCCATATTATTAACCATATGTCATCATTTTGTGAATAAAAAATTAAGCTAACTACATAGACATGTCGTCTTTTCTCAAACAGATGTGAAAAGAAACGTTCAAATATAACCAAAATATTTGTTGAAATGCAAAACTCTTGCGGCATACCAAATCCAACAATTCGAGAATTTTGTTTAAATATTCTAACGGTCTCACCTATGTTGATATTCCTCACAGTCCAAATTATATATATATATATATCTAGAAATGATAAATACAAAATCTTCTATCAATTTGTGAACATTCAAATCTATTGAATCAAAGCATGATATACACCAATAAAACGTTGGGTATATTTCAAATCAAAATGACAAACATGAAAAAAATATTTTAATACTCGATTTTGTCATACAAAACTTTCAATTTTCGTTCGATGGCAAAATTAAAAATACTTATTTTGTTCGGCAAATATTCGTCCATTTACGTCCAACGCCGAGCGATAATACCTCATGCGCGAGAAATTATCGACATAAGAATGAATCCACATTGTAAATAATGTGGGTTAATCATGATTCTATGAATGAAAAAGCATAAATAACATTTTATAACCAAAAAGCATGGCTGGAACAACCATTTAAAGTCAAGACACCTTATTTTGCGTCATTTGTTAATTACGAGGAACAATAACCACACGTCCTGAGGCACTGCAGCGCATAAAAGGATTCGCTACAAACACTATTAATATCAAAATTTCTACATTCATTCCATGTGTCTTGACATTCTGAACCTGAAATTATACATAAAAAAATTGCAGAATGTTAGTAATGTCAAACTTTTATTTAAACATATTTCTTTTACCACTTTTTGCGGTTGATCATGATATGTACATCATTCTCATAGGTTTAAGTAATGAATTTTCTCAGGTGTAAAGGGTATATACAATTTTATATATTGTACAGATATGTTAAAGATGCAAACGAGAATATCGGTCGGAGACCGAAGACTTATGGATCGAAAGTTAGGGGATCCTCCAAAACAGAAACTGCGGTTTCGGATCATCCGCTCTTACTCCATAGCGACACCGTGTGTCCCATCATTTATTAAATAATAACTCGCTAACTATACGACACAATTCATCCAAAATCGATAGGATTCTGGTCCGAGATATGATAAATGCACATGCAAAATTTGGAGCAGATTCAACTTCGCTTTTGTGAAATATTTTGTGAGATTAAAATTGTATCAACTAAACATCATCTTACCACAACAACTTTTAGGGCAATAATGATCCATGTAGGCAGCATTATTGATGCAAGCTGCCACTTGCACGTACGCTTTGCAATCACCAATACATTGTCCAACTGCAATAAACACAATAGTGGTAATAAAATAGATTCTATCTATATATAAATGTGAAATGAACGTTTTTGTCAATGTTACCATCTACTTGTTTTAAATACCTATCATCCGCAGAATAGTTAATACCAGTGACTGAAGTTTTAAGTCGATTGTTCAATTTAATTTTATACATTCCATTATATCGAAAATGAAAAACAATAAACGGTCGCAGAGTTACGCACCACATGAGCCTTCGTCGCACTCTTCAACTTCTCTGCTTATTCCTTCGCATTGCCCTTCATCCTGGCTGCCACGTCCGCATGTTCTAAAACAAAATAGATATGCGTTCACCCAAAAAGAATTTGCAGATACATATTCGTCTCAAACTTTACTTAGAAAGCTTCATTAGGGAGTCCTATATTGAAATTATCGTTTGTTCACAAAGAAAGTGGATTGCAATATTCTCCAAATAAAACGAACTGTTTCGGCGTTATTGAAAGCTATTTTCCCCTTCAACTTCATTACAATGCTGTGCATCTTAACCACTCAGTAATCGACATTAATGTTATCTTAATTTGATTGAATCCTTTGTTAGATTTAATCAATTTATAATTTTGCAGCTCTACCTTGTTCTGGCTCTTTCTCCTTTGTCGCATGTGACTGAGCATTCCGACCAAGCATCCCAGTCGGACCAAACCGGACAAGACCTAATCATGCAGCTCTCGGTTTCTCGAGCTCTTCCTGGACAGTTACCGCCATTTTCACAAGTTCTGGTTCGTTCCCGAAGTCCCGTGTCACAGGTTTGGCTACATTCACTCCAGTCAGACCATCTGGTCCATTCTCCAGTACAGTCTCTTAGGTTGCATTCTCCATTATCAAAATCATTTCCTGGACATTTTGATCCACCGTGACATGTTCTGATTCTTTTTCGTGTTCCTGGACCACAGGTTGTCGAGCAAACATCCCATGGCGACCAAGCAGTCCATTCGCCATCACATCCATCACTGTTGCATCTCCTGGACTGGGTAGTCCTTGAGCCAAAACTATCTGGCGTGCAATTTTCTTTCGGACAGGACCTCGACCTTGTCTGGGTTCCACCTCCACACGGCTTACTGCATGTTGTCCATCTTGACCAATCAGAAAAGGAGACTGAAACACGTATTTTGTTTAGAGGTAAATCTAGAATTGGCAATATATTGCGTTTAAATTCGGTTTTACCTGATACCCTTTGTACAGTAATTTTGAATATTTTTAAAACATGCCAACCAGTAGACCTTAAAACTTCACTCACGGCTCTTTGGAAGCGTATGCTTACGCTCTATTCCTTCAGGTGACACCGAAAAGTAATTTCTGCACGTTTTTCTCGTATGTGAGATAACTGCCAGTGTTAGCAACGAGTCGTAAATAGGCCAAAAAAACTCATTACAACGAAATTTGCGATCGTATTTACGTTCTATTTTTGTTACCCTTTAACCACCCCGACCCACCATGTATGATTGAGAAAAATATTCACATATTTGCTTTTATTCAATACATTGCAGGGCCAAGTCTGGAATGAATGAGTAAAATACATGCTAAAAAACATATGGTCTCTTTAGGAAGCATTTACGTGATAAGAACCTATCCTAACATATTTAAGTTAGGCTATCTATGCCCATGTTTTCTTATCTAAGACTAATACAACTTCAAATCGTCGCCATTTATAGAATATTCCAGCTATGCTGACCTCATTTTTCGTGAGATTTACAACTCTCTAACAGACATCCACTTTCAAAGTCCGATAATAACGCTTAGATTCGGAATCATACGTGATAAAAAGGCTAAGAATATCTCAATCAAATAACAATTGAAACTGTCGACCTAGTACTTAAGACAAAGTGCTCCAATTTTACTCACCAGAACAATCTGATGTCCCACACACTCTTTCTCGTTCCGCGTTACCAATACAGTCTTTTCCAGGTGTTCCATTTATACATTTGCGTGTAGACTTTTGCATACCTCCTCCGCATGTGACAGGACATTTTGAATAAGGAGACCAACCGCTCCATCTCGGACATGGATCTAAAATTATGTAAATATACCAATATGGCAACTCACTCTGGGAGTCCCTAGTTGTTCACGTTGCATTAGTCGCAATGTTACTCGCAAATCACCCCTTGTCTGAGCTTATTTTGTACGGGTATTTTCAATTGTTTCTAATAGTCAAATATTTGGCCTTTATACGTCACTTGTGAAATTTTAGAAGCGTTTGCTCAAGTTCTATTCAGCGACATGACGATGAAAAGCAGTTCCAAACCAAAATTCAACGTTTGCATCCGATGGAAAAAAACTTCTAAAATCAAGATTTGTGAATATTTTCCTATAAGTTCTAATTTAATCTAATTAGTTTTAGTTCAAACTTGTAATTTTCCTTCGTAATTATATCATAACTATTATCATTAAACAGTTATCGAGAAATGCAAAGATGTAGTTACGGAGGTCGCAAATTCAGAGCTGCGTTTGATAAAACATCCCTCTTTTCATTAATGCAAAACATCCTTAAAATGGCAACGATTATAAATATTTTCGATATAGGGGGCAACGTAATTACGGCGGCAATTAGTCGCAAGTGAATACAAAGTCCGATGAAAAGGAGTATTGACACCATAGGCACTTTCCACTATACGTATTTTATGTTCGAGTTATCTACCTATACTAAGTTTAAATGCCATTCTCCAACTACTGATTCAAAAGCTTCAGATCGATCGATTCATTTTCGGACAACCTAAAACTATCTTTCTCGTCTCGTATATTCTCTCGAAAACGACATTTTAACCCCCAATTTTCAATAACAATTTTTTGTTCGGGCCATGAAATGACTAATAATATGCCACGAGATAGTTAAATGAATGATTCCTAATTAAATGAATGATTCCTAAATAAAAAATATTGGACCTCCTGAAGTATGCGCACCAAGATGGCGCACAAACTAAACTCAGGTTGTGTACCAGGTTAGGGTTTAGGTTATGCGACATCTTGGTGCGCATACTTCAGGAGCACCAAAATAATATATGAAAAATGTATGATCACGCCCTGAATATTTTCTTTACACAATTCGAAGAAATAGCATAGAAAAGAAAACTTTGTTGTATTACCTTCATTACAATTTTGTGTTTGGATTGTGCGACCCCTGCATCCCAGTTGACCAACATCTCCATTAATACAGATCCTAGTTCGAGATTGTTCACCAATATCACATTTCTTGCTGCATGCACCCCATTTTGACCATTTTCCCCAAACGGGACATGATTGTGAATTGCACTCCTGTAAATGAAAACATTTTTCATATTCATTTTTATTGTTTACATAATAATAGTTTTTAGCAATGTAGGTGTTGAACCACTATGATTTTACCCGTTTTTGTCTTGTCTCTCGACATGAGGCAGTTACGCAAATTCTTGTTCTACTTTGCTCGCCTGATCCGCAGGATTTGGAGCATTGACCCCAACGGCTCCAAGAATCTTTGTCACATGGGTTTTCGTTGCACGGTTTACTCTGAATTTCGTCTCCAATGCAGCCTGGTTTTCCAATTTCGCCATTGCAAAGTCTTATTCTATTCTGTGTACCACCACCGCATTTCTTAGTACACCGTCCCCAGTCACCCCATTCTGTCCAGGCTGATAAATATAAGAATATAGGAATATTTCACTGAGTCAAATTGTTGTGAGAAGTTGGAAAACATTTTTTATATAATCTATCCATTTTTTGTACTTGATTCAAGTTAAGTTTTAGAAAATCATACCACGAAATTACCTAATTTCAAGTACAGTCAAATATTAAAGACTCCACTGAACAGTACATCACTCTGTTTGTAAGACAAAATTCAAATACTAAAGCGTAAAAAATAATATATACTTTCAAACATACCTATAGGAGCACAAGTTTTCTTCTCGATTGTAACAGACTTAATTTTACTCGCGATCCATTGTTCAAAATATTCGACTTTTGTGTACACTCCATAGTAGCCAGCGTCACCGCATCCTGATCCGAAAGATGTAACTCCAGCCAAGAACCAGTCGCAGCTGTCACATCTCTGACACATTAATGGCCCGCCGCTGTCGCCTACAACATTTGCACAACATATTTAAACACCGCTAATTTGTGTTTTATATTGGTTACATTGCTACAATACAACTTGTATGTCATGTAGTATCATTCAGTAAATATACCTTGACAAGCATCCTTTCCTCCTTCTGTATATCCGGCGCAAATCATTATATCCTCGACAATGTCATGTTCTCCTTCGTAAGCCTTCTTGCATACTTTTGTGTCTACTATTGGAAGATCAACTTGTTGCAAATACTTCGCCGCACTACCGCCAACCACTTAAATTGAAATGTATTATATTTTCGATTGGAAAAATATATATATCAAAAAGAACATTGCACAAACTGCAGTTATTGACGGCTACGTTTTTTTCCTATAGCAGACCCCTGATATCATACGTACTGAAGGCGAACTTCGACTTCTTATTATTATCTACGTGTAAATACGAACCTGTAACTCCATATCCCGTAGCAAAACATTTCAGACCGGTTGGAGGTATTTCCCCGTGCGGCAGACAGATTGGCTTGATCAAATCACTTACAACAACAGCTTTGTTCATTCGAAGCAATGCGATGTCGTACTTCGGAAAATCGTATTTTTCGTGTTGAATTATCTGCGTAATATGATTTGAAAATTCCGTCTATTTGAAATGATGATCTTGGACACTACATATAAGTTGTTGATAGCACACTCTTTGTCAGTATAAAACATGTGTTTATTTCAGTTTTAACAGAAACTATCATTATATTTATAAACAAGAGAGCTATGCTCAAATATATGGACACGTAGAGTCACATAATTTTGATGACGTCTTAGCGAAAAAAAAAGTAATAGCCTTCTGGAGAAAATTTTTATCTTTAACCACTGAAAATTTGAAAGCAATTGGTCCAGTATTCAAAGAGAAAAGCGATTTCTTCAAAACGTGTTGACGGAGACAAATAATAACAATAACAACAAAATTTTGAAACGATCGTTATGTCCACTACGTGTCCAATAAAAAAAAAACAGAAATCTCACCCGAGTGACTCTGCGTGTTTGAATGCTTGGTAATTGAAAATTTGTAGTATCAAGAACACCTAAACGTACTTGCAGTCTTTGTTTGGACACGTCGCCGAAAGATCTGATTAAAACAAGAAATTAACTTAATATTATTGCACGACGTAAATTCGCGTTGAATTAAAATGCTAGAATGCATCTAATTTATTACACCAATTCGTATTCTGCATTCGTTTTACTGGTGTTAGATTAAATACGTTTGGACACAAGTCTAAATGTGCTATTGGAAACTCAAGAGTCAAATATAAATGGCATAACAGTTTCACGAAGAAAGGCTAGCTATTGTACTGGACAAATTATAATATTATATACATTGAAATCGTATATATATTGAAACCGTATATATTGATCCATACAATGACACGCGATTATTGTTTTTGGACTTATTTACATTTATATTGATTGGGATAATATGAGTATATGTAGTATCGTTTTTACCTAGATAACTTCATATGCGCGTCTGGTTTACTAAATAGAAGATATGGTTGCAAAACACGTGTACATAATTGTTATAAGTATTACTCACGCAATACAATGAGCAGCTGAAACAACCCATAAGGTATTGATGAGTGATCCACCACATAAACTAGTGCGTAGAAAAATGTGAACCTAAAAATACAAAACAAACTATTGACAGCGGCATATAAAACGAAAACCGCTTCTAATATCTCGTTTTCGGGAAAATGGTTCCCCGATATTTTTACTCGTAATGTTCCTATTGAACTCCCTTATTAGTGACGATTGCTTAATATCCAAGTATTATTTTGCACAAGAAACAAATACTTATTTCTGTATAACTTATGATAAATATCTGATCGTAACTGTTCATCTAAGATGAATTGACATATTGAAATGAGATTATTTTATTTACTATTTAGAATGATTTAATATTAAAATACAACAGTTAATTTTAGTATTTAAAGCATTATTCTTTTATTATCAAGAGCCAACCTGCCATGGCCACATTCCTGCTGTAGCATTTTCACCACCAATAATGCGTTGTGGCGTTTTTCGTGGTTTGCCATCAGCATCCCTTAACATGTTTTGTGCATTTTGTCCACAGCTTTCACCTGAGAATAGTTGTCAAACTGATAAACAAACAACTTATAAAAAGATAATTCATAATTTGTGTGTAAAAATTGACTTTCATACCTGGAGTTTGTTTGCAGCATGTATTATCATAAGAATGAGATAGAATATAGCCATCGCTTACAAAGACAGCACACTTATCTGGCTCACATCTGTAACCACCATCGTAATTTCTACAAACTTCATCCCCGCAAAGGGTTTTGTTTTCCGAGCACTCGTCAATATCTATGTAAAATATATAAAATACTTTGCTGTTTAAAAACTGAAAATAGAATATGAAGTACAGAAAATATGAAAAAATCAGCTAGAAGACGGTTCATTATTTCTCTCACCATCACAACTTATTTCATCGGACGCAAGCCTGAATCCTTTTCGACAAGTGCATTCAACTTTTCCGTCTGATTTTACTGTGCAATTATGTTGGCATTCGTCGCATTCTGCAACACATAAAGGCTGTATTACAATAGAATGTAGCAAAATATTTATCTTGCTACAAATACATATATTTCGATTTGACAATAGGTATCAAAATGGTAATACTCTTCGGAGTTACGGACCTGGAGGTGGACAAACGTCGCATTTTTTCGGACAATGTGTTCTCATCGATTCCGTTGTTGCACAAAAACTGGCGCTCACGCTTCCACACCAGTCTTGTATATCCTCACATTCCCCTTGATCTGCAAATATATTGAGTACGTATGATAAGGTTCAAACACGGCTTAAATCTATTTTTTTCTATTGTGCACATCTAATGGGGTATTCTATTTTGTATATAATATTATCATACAATTACTTACAGAAAAATACTTAATTTCTTCGACTTACCTGAATCTGCCACGAAGAAAGCAATAAGGCAAAATAATCCAACGATGATTCTGTAATAAAATTCAATTTTATTTGTTGAAACGTATTCAAATTTTTTTGGTAGACACAAGCTTATTTTTCTTACCTAATCGAATACATTGGCGTGGGCACTGAATTTTGAAGCTTAAAATCTGTATAGTATCGTTAAAATATAGTATAATGAATCACCGTATCTAAAATCTAGTTGTACTCAACTTCAATATCTCTTAAACAACAATCCTGATCGAGCTTATATGTCTTATAGATTGTGCTGCTCGTAAGCCAGACTTTTAATCCCACTTATGCTTACACATCAACCACATTATGCCTCCGGTGTTTTAAGTTTTCATTGATACCACGACGCTAGATCATGTTCATTAACTGGAACAAATAACGTAATTAGTAGCCTTATAGTTGCTGTTAAAATTATCATTGTTATCAAAATTGTCGACTAATCGCTATCATATGAAAACGCTTTTTTGATAGTTTATATCACTGTGCCAAATTCGAAAAGATCTAACGAGAGGCACAGATACATTGTTGAATAAACGCCTCAGACATTCATCACAAGTGCAGGTTGAATTTCATTGAAATCTGTTTTTATGTATGCGGTTTGAAATGACAATGACGAATTAATCAAAGCAAGTGTATTTCGTAAATCGTTTGGGAATTTCCATAAAGAATCCAGGACGTAGAACTATTTCCCCCCTCATGTAAAATCCTCCTTAAAACCATCTTCGTGATATTTCATGAATTGACACGTAGTTCTTGGTTTTGGTTTCCCTTGAACTCGAATGATATCATGAATTTTGTTTTGCCAAAAAGTGTGATGTCAGTTTCGGTGGAACTGTACATCTGATAAACAACACATATATTGCCAGTCATTTCTTCAAGTTACATTATACCAGGGTCAAATACATGTATAATTTCAGTTAGTGTGATTACTGCTAGAACGCTGGCCATCTATGATTCTTGGTCGACAGAATACTATCAGTTTGGTATAAAATATTATCGTCATTTTTCATAAAATCCCGGCTCTCGATGAAGTATTTTTGAACCCGAAAATTGCTTACTTTCAGTAGCTTACACGAATAGCATAGTCACCTAATTAAGTAAACTCTGATTAAGAGATCAATACCAAAGGAATGAGCGAGATCGCGTTTCTGTGAAGCGTTTCGATTTGAAGATTGTAAAAATGTCGGCAATGACACTTCGAAAAAAGAGAGCAACATGTCGTAGGAAATAGTACCATTTTGACGTACAATTTCAATTAATTACACTCGTTAACGCTCGCAATCGAACCCCATAACAGCAAAACTGTGCCAGAACACAATTTTGTAAACAGTTCGAATGTCACCTAACAAACATATGTTTATTCTGTGCTCGTATGAAATGTAACTCGAATGAAATGGACTCGAGCACTATACAATAGTTACTCATGTACCACAAGATGACATCAAATGTCCTGAATACGCGAAAAATTCCTATTCACTAAATCATCAATCAGTTTAGAAAATTTTTGTGAAATATTATCCAATAAAAGTCAGTCCATGAACTGTGATTATACAATACCAAAAAACACGTGTCCATACATTTGAGAATTTGACATTCTGAGAATAAAAAACACAAACAATCTGCGAAAGGATTATTAATCGAAACATTTTCGACCGCTCCTCAAAATCCCAAGAAGAAAAATGCAAGTATAATAAAGTTTACAAGCATGCTCTCTCTCAAAAGTGAGTGCTGTATTAAAGTCAAATATGAACATACACGCTCTGTTACTATCCGGAGACATGGTCACGATAAATGCAGTTTGAATGAAAGCGAATTTTGTGAAGGAGAAGATGTGTAGATACTTTTTTGCAAAAAAAACAAAAAAATAAAAATACCAAGAAAAGTTTCAAATCAGTTTTAATCAGGGACAAATCGACATGCTTATTGGTATTTCTTGGCCAAACTTAGACAACACAATTGTCCCAATTCAATTTGTTCATATGAGTCATGTGTCTCACTTTGCTCTAGACTAGATTCTAGAAGAACAGATATCTGGATACAAAAATATGAGGGTGAAAATTTGGGTTCGCATCTAACCTTTTATTAAAACAGTATATACACATATCAGATGGCCTCTCAGCAATAATGGGTGTATCTCAGTCCATTATGTCAACTTCCAACATTTTTCAAGTAACTCTCTCCACCAAGTTTATTAGCATGTATCATCTTATTGTTTATGTGTGCTGCAACATAACACAAAAAAGTTCTGGACTTTATGTTTAGCATTACCTGTAATTTTTGTTTAGTAATTACAATTATAATGATATTGAAAATCTATTCAATTATATTAAAGAATCATGTATCAATGTCGATTAAACAAAGTGCCAATTGAGTTGAATCTTGAAATAAAGGGCAAATTAGATTTCAGTAACTCTGAACAGTTTTATTTGGGAAAAGTGGCTATTCATTTTATTTATTTATTTATAAACAAACTACAATTGCATTATGGGGTGTTCTGCATTGGGCTTCTTAAGTTAAGTTGTTAAGTTTAACCTGCATCTGTATCTGCGAATTCTTTTGGGTGAATTCATATAAACACATGCTTGTATCAGTGGTCGGTCACTTCTTCTTTCAGGTAGGCAGGATCACCTAAGAAGTAGGGTGGATTTTGTGTACTCCCGTGGTGTATACCAGGTTAGGGTTAGGCCATAATTTTATTCCGATTTTCCTTATTTTAGTTTTATTAGGAGTTCGGGGACTGTCTGTAATACAGCCTGGTGGGAGTATCAATGAACCTTCCTCATTGGGACTTGTATATAATTATCCATTTATGTTATGTAACCATTTACCACGCAGATCAAATGCACTCTCAACGACATATCTATGCAATACTAGGGCTGCTAGAAGGTAGGAAATTCATCTTACCCCATTCGACTTTTGTCACAGACATTTAAATTGGTCTAACGGCATGCCAAGAAATTATGACAAGAATTACTTCTAGAGATAGTTTGCATAAAGAAGGCATGGAATATGCAATTGGTGAGGTTGAAAAGAGGGGAGAGGGAGATTTGAGGCAATAGAACGAGCATACAGTGTACCAAGAACAACTGATCTTTGCCACGTTTCAGGAAATCTTTGTAAATCGACTGGATCAACTCATCTCGACAAATGATCTGTGTCGGATGATACCAATTAACTTAGACTATTGACCCACATATTGTAATTTGAAAGACTGGTTTTTCATTAACTGTAAATAAAAATAGGAAAACTCGCCTGTGAATTTGCCATCACAGTTTTTCAGAAGATACCAAAATGTCTAAGGGTGGACTGGTGGGGTGGATTTTGCAAAACGCACAATGACCTTTTTTCATTTCATAAACCACAGTCACTTTCAGTTCAGAAATATTTTGATTTGTTAGAGAACACCATGGTGAATTATCCCGTATTTGGAGAGTCTACTCGGATTTATAATGTAGATGAGACAGGTTTGAGTTTGGTACCAGAAGTAAAAAATATTGTTGGCCTCAAACCATTGTTAATAGTATTCGAGTCAAATAACAAAGTGGTGAACGTGGACTGTCTCAGACAGTTGTCATGTCTGCAAACGTTACAGTTGATTATGTCCTGGTTATATTCAAAGGCAGACGGGCAAATCCTATTCTACAGTAAGGAATGCCGCCTGGCGATGTCGTCAAATATTGTGAGTCCGTCCATAAAAACAAAGAAATATTTTTGTATTGTATGCGGCACTTCAACTCTAATTGAAAGCTAACGTCTGAAAAAGTTGTACTTATGAATAAACTGCATTTTAACATCCGAAGGGCTATTATAAGGATTCTGTTCGGGTTCACATGAGGAACAACCCAAAGACTGGTTTGACCAGGGTAAACTTTCCAACTTTTTTGTCAAGCGTACTTGGAAATATGTACTTGCTGTTTCAGCCTTCAAATCAACTGAATCTATTAGAAAACAAAGTTATAGTTATAGTATAAAATGTGGTGTGTGTGAGAAAGATAATCAAAAAAAAAGTAAAAGTGATAGCAAGAGAATTGTTAGAAATAATTTGGGAGGGAAATTTATGTAATGATGAAGAGAACGAAGGTTGGATTCAGTGTGAGAAATGTCAAAAATGGTTCCATGGTATTTGTGAAGGGGTCTATGAGAGATTTGTATGGTCCTCCAAGTGCGATGACTGTAATTAGCAGAATTAACTGCCAGAGCAGCTCAGACACTAAATTTCTTTCAAACATTCGTTTTAAGAAGAGGTTCAATAAGAGCCATTGAATTTGAAACATTTACCATGTCGGATATTGTTCCATGTGTTTGACACGGTTCCATTACATTTGAACCCACGTACATTTGAACCCATGACAATTGCACCTGTATGCTATTGGAATTTTTTTTGTTTCACGGATAGTTAAACCCATACTAACCCTAACCCATGGGTTTTAGCACCCGCATATAGATTGAACCCGTGGATATACGCATGGGTTCAAATGTACATGGGTTCAAATGTACGGTCACCGTTTGACACAATCTCGAATTGAGGCATATTATTTTGTGATGTTAAGTTTGTATTTTTGTTTGATTTTGTCATTACAATTTAAGTTGATACAAAGTAATCATTAGACTGTGTTTTATTGGCAAACATATTTGCTATGCCTCGTTCTTTTATTTGGTCTTGACAAGTATCTGTTTAGTTAAAAATTGGTATTTTATATTTTGTGTATATGTAATATGAAAGATTTCCCGAAAAGCTTTTTTAATTCATTTAAATACTGATTATACTACTATAACAAACTTTCATGATGGACGGCTCCTACAACAGTGGTTACCCAACCTTTTTCGTTAAATTCCCTCCTTCACCTATTTGGAACCCTTCATTCCTCCATTACTATGAATAAAATACCTTGTTTATTCAACCTTTAATGGATTCTTAGGCAGTGTCATGCATGAGTCACACTAAACATGTATTACAGCAATAATAAAGAACTAAATGATATCAGTAATACTATAGCAAATGCAAAGCCGATTTTCTCCGGTTGGGAAACGTTGGTCTACAATAAAAATACCTAGTTTTGCCTTTATCGGTCATTTTGCTCGCCACGTTTAATATTGAAAATCCAATAAATAGTAAGCAAAAGTATAATGTATTACGGTCAATGAATTCAACAAAGCACATTAAAATTACTACACATATAATATGAAATGCGACAGATTAAAATCAAAACTACAGTGCACCGGATGATCGAGATCGTCAACGTTGCAAACAAAGGCGTCAACTGACCCCAAAAAACAGGGTATACGACGTAGTAATGAAAGCTATGATTAATTATATCCTAGCACTTATGTTTTGCTGTAGTGAATATCCGCGGAGTGAATTAGTACAGGCCTTTTCCCGCAGCACAATAGATCCGAGGGCCCCTTCCGATCATCAATCAATCCCATAGAAAACGAATTCATTCGCGGTATTAAGAGGACAGTTATTCAAAATTGTTTGTTAATGGGTTCATCCTACTATTTTATATGTCTCATTGCATCACAGAGAATTCATCACAAATATCTGTGTAAATGAGAATGATTACAATTTTTTTTATAATTTCAGGATCAGAATGTCAATACACATGGGATGGATGTGCCAATTTCGATATTAATCTTGTTTGTGGCCAATCATTTTATGCGCTGCAATGCCTTAGGCCTAGAATGTGTGATTATTGTTTCATGTAATTGAAACATGACGTGAAATATAAGTTTATACGGATGCTCCACACATGTATTTTAGTTATCTAATGTTGTTTATGCTTTTACATTTATATAATCATGGTAATAACCATACTATTCACAAAAAAACATTCATTCACTGTTATTATTCGGTCGGTATTTTCCAGCCCACCGAACCCTAATTGGTCGATATTCGCGTAAATGAACGAATTTTTACGTTTGCCGTTAAAAGAAAAATAGTTTTGTATGACAGAATTTAATGTAACAGTTTTATTCTGGTCATTTTGTTTTGAATTACATCCAACGTTGTGGTAAAACCTGTCTATTGCTAAATTTGCCCTTTGATTTGTATATCATGTTTTGGATAAACAACCTTGAGGAATTAAAAGTTGTAATCATGGTTATCTCTATATTCAAACAAAGATAAACAGCTAAATATATCATAAGTCCTATACAGTACTTTATTATAATACAGAACATACATTCCAAAACTGCGTGCCAGGCACACCGGTGTATTATGTGTACCGCAGAAGTTTTCAGACTATGGTGTGTTTATTCGTTCCTCTTTGTGTTTTCCATTCGTTTCGGTTGATTTCCGCGTTTGAGAGATACAGCAGAACGTGATGCTATAAAACGATCATCAATGACATCCCAATCGTCCGAATTCAATTTGTCGACCAGAGTCGAATTTCTGGCTTTGTGCACAAAAGACTGAATACAGAAGTATGGAGTAGATTATAAGGATTGGCATCCAACCTTTTACTAACACAATATATGCATGTCTCCAGGTGCATTCTCAGTTATAATAGCTGTAGATAAATAAGAATGCCCAGATTATCAACTTGCAAATTGCTTTAGGGAACTTTTCTCGTCCAGTTTGTTGGCATGTGCTAACTTTATTGTTATGTGTGCCGTAGCAAAATCTTGATCTTATTCGTGTGCCGCAACACGGAAAAATTAATTTCTTATACTATTTAGATATCTCACGAATATCGTGCATTTGGGGTCCAAATTCGATATTGAATTTATTGTTTTTATTCATCAACAATCAACTATTTCATTAATTTGAAAAAAAAAAAATAGTCTATGCTTTAAAAGTGAAAGTACCGCGAAAACGCATTCGAGCAACTTGTGTATATGTAATATAAAAGATTTTCTGAAAAGCTTTCTTAACCCATTTAAGTACTGATTATACTACTATAACAAACTTTCATGATCGACGGCCCCTACAACAGTGGTTCCCAACCGTTTTCGTTAAATTCCTCCTTTCACCTATTTGGAACCCTTCATTTCTCTCCGACAATGCATGAAAGTTACCTTGTTTATTCAATCTTTATTGGATCCTTAGCCAGTGTTATGCACCAGTCACTCTAAATATGTATTTTAGCGCTTTGAAAAAAAGTAAAGAATATTAGTAATACTTTAGCAAATGCAAAGGAAAATTCTTTCCCAGATTAAAAACAAAACTACAGTGCAACGGATAATCAAGAACGTGAACAATGCAGAAAATTGCGTCAACTGATCTCACAAATCAGGGTATACGACGTAATAATGAAGGCTATCATTTTCAGTTTAAATTGACAAATATTCAATATCCTAGCATTTGTGTTTTGCTGTACAAGTAAATGTCTCTACAATGTGATTTAGTGAACACCTTTTCCCTTAGCACAGGGGTTCTCAACCTGGGGTTCGCGAACCCCCAGGGGTTCACGAGAGGATTTCTAGGGGTACTTGGATGACAGTCGAGCTTTTGTATGTTGCTGTTTTTTTAATATCCATTATTACTACCAGAGGAAAATGCGTGCCCATTGAAACTAGACGCCAATCAAAACGTAACTTTCCCTGATCTTGCGTTGTTGTGATTGTGACACAACAATGTGAAATTAGATCCGAGGGCCCCTTTCGAAAAACAACACACCAGTAGATTTTCCGATTGATCTCGGTTGAGACAGTGATCCCAAACTTGGGTCAAGTTAGGTAATGTAGATTTCACCATCACAAAAAGGTGAAATAGTGGTCATATCAAGTAGTATGGGCTTTCGTGCTGTTAGCAATATAGGTCGCATACAGTTGGGGTAGGGTTACCATATTTTTTCAAACTTCAAAGTGGGACGCCTCCTGTAACTTTTAAGTTTCCAACTTACTACATAGGTCTACATTTAAGCCATCCCGGCTGTCTTCATTGACCATATTGTCATCGAGAGTTCATGCGCATATTCTCTGTCTAAATATCGAGTTCAGTTCAAAAAATAGAAAGGAATAGACGCTAACGATACAAATCATTCGAATTTAGATTTTTTTATGCACAGCAAATGGAATAAAGAATCTTGAACAGAAATAGTCTGCCGTTTTCAAGCATTGAGAATTTGCTTATTCGCCCAAGCATGCTTTTCTGTAGATAACACTTTTAAAAAAACATTGTTCAATTTACATTCACGCGAACGTCCGAACAGGACCAATTAGAATTGATTTTACATGTGATACGTTTGCTAACAATGTTAGCGGGAAACAACGGAACAAACAAAATAACGCATTCACCCTCAGAAAGTACGCCGGCGTTGCGCTACACAGCAACAACAGTAATGAAAACATGTTCGTGTATTATGCTGGATGGCTGAACGCAAAAGCGGGACTTTTAGCTGACTTGTCGGGACGGTGGGACAAAACCGCTAAAAAGCGGGACTGTCCCACCTAAAGCGGGACGTATGGTAAGCCTAAGCTGGTGTGACTTGTTCAATATCCAAGAACATCGATGGTGAAGAAATACCTGAATCCTCAGAAGTTGTACTTATTTAATAATGCATTAATTTCATAACTGTAAACTTCATTTTTAGCCACCCTGTTTATATAATAATAAATATAGTGAATATTATAGTAATGCTGAAAATATCTGGGAGTGAAGATACATGGATCGGGCCCGACCAACTCACGGGCTTTCATGGTCCATGTTCTGTATAGTTCGACTATCGCTGAACGTTTTGAATGACTCTGCGCGTCAATCCAGGAAATGACAAACCTACTTGTTAGCTCGTAGTGCCAACATTTACCAATGTTAAAAATGAGGTTGGCATACATGAGCTGGTTGCTTCTATTTATAATTCAAAGCCTGCTCTTGTAAACATTAATGTGTTTATGATGTTTTGTTAAAGCAATGTTATAATTATGTAAATTTGTCGCTCTTATGTTTTTTCATGCACAGTGTAATAAAAGAATAATATTAGTAATAATAACGAAACAAGATTTGTACAACATGATCTACGATTTGAGGTATTGCTTCTGTTATAGTCTGTGACGAAATCTGAAACCTTGAATAAAAAACAAATCGTTAAATCTGTTTGATTTGTTGTATTGCACTTACTTTTGGAATCTTATGGAATAAAGTTATAAATATTAGTGTTTGTAAATAAAGATCTAACGTGGGCTATTAGAAATTCGGTCTTTAATGATGCACGCTATTTATATGTTTAGGGCAGTAAGCAGAAAAGTGGCCCTTGGATAAGTGTGCGCTAAGATTGAATATGCTAAATAAGCATCGCTAATGCAAGCTTCCTTCGCTATGTTTTTTAGACTATCTTTAATTCATAAATATATGTACTATTCATGCATGTATAGAAGTTTGCATAAAAGTATTTTATTCTCCATTGGTTGTATTTTTGATCGGTGGGTGCCCTTGGCCTAGTCTGTCGACGTGGCATTATATATACCGTATATATCAACAATAATAAATTTTGTCAATTACCCCATAATTCAGCAGCCAAAATGCAATTTTAGCCTTAAACTTCAATTATATGAGTTAAAAACAAAGGATGAACATGCTGAATTGAATTTACCTGAATATTAGCTATTTTATCCAAACTAATCTCCGATATTTAAAAGTATCATTTCAACTTTAGATATTCGAGAAAAGCATCTTGCGTAAGTGTTCTGCTGGTGACAGTTGTTCTATTACGTGAGTATTATTATGAATAACTCATGTTCTCCATAAATTTTAAAGTAATTAGAAAAGATTTATTCCAAAAAGTTGCTTTTATATAGAAAAGCTTCCAATACGAGGTCACACTCAAGCCAATGCGTAAACATCTACGCAATAAGAGGGGAAACATAAATTGATGACCAAATCTTCGATAGCAAATACAGTATTTTTATAGCAAACATTTCACTGTTTTGCTTTACTTACTTCTTGCAGACTACAGTGAAGCATGTCAAGATCAACAGTGGTGCTCAAGCCTTACAAGTTTTTGCAATCGTTCGGATATCATAAAAGACATGGAAAATCTTTGTCCAATCGCGTGTGGGTACTGCAACATGACCACTGGTAATAAGTGAAAATATTCCAAAATCGAATCTATCGTATTAATTATCATTGAAATATTTATTATAGCAAAATAAAAAGACTTGAAGGTAAAAATATATACTGTAAACTGTTTTTACTATAATATGACCTGGTCAATTAATATTTTACCAATTCTCGTTTTCACCTATACTGAGTTTTTGAAGATAATCCAACTTTCATAAACCAATGTGCACTATTTAATTAAAAACTCTAATCATTTTCAAAACGTGGTTATGAATTTGGTTATGTATTTATTAAGATGATAACTATACAACCTGGAGCGACTGGTCACATTGTTCTACCTCGTGCGGTGAAGGTTACCAAACAAGATTTCGTAAATGCAATTCCACATCGTTTTGTAAATCTGACGAACACGGAAAGAATCTTGTTCAGAATAGAAAATGTGAGGAAGCGCCATGTGGTATTTGGCAACCTTGGCAATCGTGGAGCGAATGCTCTTCCACTTGTGGAAATGGAATCCAGCGGAGGGATAGACTATGCTCAGGTGGGAGATGCCGAGGAAAATATTTTGCATCTCGTTCATGTAATGAGGAACCTTGTCCGATCTGGTCAGAATGGACAACTTGGTCTAAATGCTCTGTTACGTGTGGAAATGGAATCAAAACAAGATTGAGGTATACCGTATATACAAGAACTCCTTATTTTGTATTAGCCATATCTTTCTCACCTTAGTTGGATTCAAATAAATGACATGACACAAATAAAAAATAAACAATTTTCGCATTTTAAACGTGAAATAGTCATTCAAACAGCGTTTTTGATGGCCACTGATATTGAGAAAGAAAAGTGACCCACATATAAATTTTGGAGGATTTATTACTAATTGAACATTTCTTCTTCCCATATAGGTCATGTATTGGCGGCAAACCAGGACTAGATTGCCACGGACATGAATCAGAGGAAATGACCTGTACGATGACGCCTTGTGTGAAACCGAGTGAGTTCAACTGACCTATTCAGAAATTAGACTTTGCCAAACCTGGATTAGTGATGATCAAATTCGTTTGTATCTGGGCACAGTTTCTGTCCATAAAGGCCGATCAACTAGTAGTAATTTTTGAACTAGCAAGGGCACTAAGGCACCAAATAACGATGTTTCTTCAACAAATTAGCATTTTAAATTATAAGATACTCGTCTTACGTCTTTTTTCAGATATCTGCAGAAATTTGAAACCCTGGTGTCAAAATTATCATCACGACTGGTGCAAAACTTGGTATTTTGTAAAGGACTGTCAAAAATATTGTGGCAAATGCTGAAATTAATATGATGCTGAGTATATACCTCGAAAAATTCATTATTATGTTGAATATTTTTTTTTTCAGTTCGATTCATTCAATAATTGTTATAGCATAAATCATAGAACAATAGTACGTAATTGTGTACGTTATTTTTCATCAATATCATAAAAGGATGACATTTAAACTTCAATTCGTTTGATTGCTTTGCATGTATACCAGCCATTTTTCTGTCAGTAGTTTAAAATTTAAATATATATTTACTAATCAAAATCAATCAATTAATAAAAGAAGAAAACTCTCGTTGAAATCCTGTGGCTGATATTTTTTACAATTTTTTACTCCAGCGGCAACGTTATTAATTACGAAACTACGTAACACCATGAACAAACAGAAAGAGAGAAAATGAGAGAAAGACCGAAAATTGATTTTGGATTAAATGTGAAATATGACTTAGAAGAATAATATTTCTATAAATATGCTACATGCTGTGTAATGACAATGACGTCATATTACTAAAACGATTATTCAGAATACCGACTATTTTTATGATTTCGATCAGGATTGCGTGTTTTATTTAATCCCAAGATGCTCACAACATTCGTCGGGTATAACTGGATCGGAAGAGATTTTAAAACCTGGAAGCATACGATTTAATACATATAGCTTTTGGTTCGTGCGGCGCCAAATTATCGGGGGAAAAACTCACGGCGCACTTACACGAATAAAAATTGCTGCCTTCAAATAAAACTCAACTTAGTGATCGTTAATGTGCATTTTATGCTTTTCGAAATTTGCAAACGTGTAGGCTAAAGAGTAAATAAAATGTCAACTCTTCTTCATCCTCTCTGCCTGATTTTCATTTGAAACACTAAAAAATCACTCATGTTCTTTAAACTAGGTTCAGAAGATAGAGAACCTGCAAGCAGCTCGCGAAATTGCATAAAGTAGTCTATACTTCTATTGTTCTTTAACTCTCATTTTCTTTTAGATTCTCAGTCGGTTTCAGAATTAGTAAAACCTTCGTTGTACGTAGCTATTACTTAGGGACTAGAGATACAAAACCGAAACAAATCTGAAATAATTGCATGAGGCCTAAAAGATAAATTGGCCGAATATAACATTTGGTATCGATACATACATATTTTATGTTAATATTCTAATTAGGAAAAGGTACATCTTTACAGAACAGTTATTATGAAGACAAAATCTGTACTATATTTTGGAACCCCACGAGCGAAACCGATCCTATATGTCTGAATTTATATATGAATAGCAGTAAAATGGCCGAAAGTTCATGACAAAACGATATGTTTTATTCAATAATAATGATAACATAGGCATGAATACATCTACTTGAATGGGGACAGATAATGCCTAAAGTTATAAAAGCAAGTAAGCACTATACGTTACAGAAATAACGATATAAAAGACAATACGTAATTACGACCTAGGGGAAATCATCAGCCGTAAGGCATCGGTATGAAACCGAAAATGAAATGAGAAAAGTAACTTGAAAACGAAAAGTTATGGCAATTTGTGATAAATATCACGCGAAATGACGCTGACTTATATTATATTTCCGGCGTACTTGAGTTTTGATTGAGACTTTAGGAAAAGGAAAAACGTTTAATCACGACGCGTGCGAATCAAATGACGCCACCGACGTCATCATGTGCAGAATATCGATTGAAATTTAAGCTCTTTTACACCACTAAAGCAGTCAATTTTGGTAGATCAATCAATCATGCGACGATACTTGAAATTGTACTTAACCCATTTGCTTCTTAGATAAACAATGGCACAAAAAATATTTAAATACTTTCATCTCCCAGTTTCGCATATCCCAATCACACTGTGACTATGGGATATCTAAAAAATTGTCATTTCACGCACTGTCCATAAATAGAGTATTTGTAGATGACGGTATATGAATCAAAGCTTTAGAGTCGTAAAGTCCGATTTATGAAAGAACATTTAATACTATTTAAGTTAGACAATTTATCAACTTGTGTGTAACATTACATTTTCAAAAGTGAATTTAGAAGCCAAGTTAACTATTTCTTGATTATATTCGCAAGTCAATGGCCTCTCATTTTTTATTTGTGTTTGCTTTAACACAAAATGATATGTTATAGCTTGGTGTTGAGTATGGGCTCAGAGAAACCTTGAATTTGATTGCAAAAAGTAAAGCGAAGTCAACTAAGAAGACCATACTAGACTCGAAAATAATAAAAGTTTTGAAAGAGACAGTAACGGGAGGCAAAATAATACACGCTGAGTATTCTATTTGAACATGCATGGAGTATAGCACAACATTGAAAATCAATATATTATGTTTCCGTATATGACACAAAACAACAAACGCCTCTAGGCTTGAGCGAGAAGAGCATACATATGGCTTTAATACACCCTGAAGGCCTCAACTAACGCGATTTGACAAATAGAATAGTTAGCTAGCTTATCAGGCATGATTCAACGCAAATGTATTCTTAGACTTTTCAATGGAGGCCATTTTATTTAAGGTCATTTTCCTTTTTTACAAACAGTATAATCATCTGAAGTGTTCTTATGTCAGCTAGCTTTGTGATTCATGACGCTTTTGGGAAGGAGGGCCAATTTAAAATCAGATTGTTCTTGTGAATTAGTCGTCTAGCCCCCTTGAAGTGTAATATATATATATTTTATTCTTATGTAGTAATTTAAATACAGAAATTTCGATAACATTTCATGTCGAAACTGTTCAGCGATTTCAGTGCAGATGATAAAAATCCGTATTCAGATACATTTATACTTACTTGGTATTTTTAATTTGATTTGAGGGGAAATTTTTAGAAATATCTTCGAAACGTATACATATCATAGTGGTTTTCGTCGATATAGGTCATAAAATTAAAGCTCATCAAACACTAAAGTTGACTTTCGGAAATATGGACTCCGCCGTTGTTTTACGGCTTTTAACGTGAGTATATTAATCATGTAATTTTCCACCCAACATCAGAATGTCTTACTGTAAATAACGTGCCATTTTTCAGACATTGTTCATCGTATCTCTCCGAAGCTGTAACTATCAGAGGTTTATAAAAACAGACTTTAGGCTTGCACGTAATTGACAAAAATCAATTCCGCAATTACGGCAAAATCAATTACGTAATGACCCCGTAATTGCGATATTTTTCCACGCATTCAAACCTATCGTAACAACCAATTGAATCCACTTTTTTTCCGAATGGGACATTGAAGTTGGGTTTTCCTATTCTTGGCAGTACTACACGCCGGCGGCAGATGTTAAAGACAACTATCAAGGAGTGAATTCAAATTAATTTTATTCTGATTTTTATCTTTTGTGTTAGCTTTGGTTTTTCTTTATCACCTTCGCAAATTAACCGTCCCATTTTTATGCGATCAATTTTATTTTATCATTACCGACACTGGTATACGGATATTTATGGAAACGATAGTTTTTTAAAACCACCTGAGTACTGAATAAAAATTACGGGTTTTTAATTTATTAACCAACGACGTGGGTATTTTTTCATTTAATTATACTTGCGATTTCCTCGCGACGAAGACTTGTTTTTGCAGCATTTTCCGCATTATCCGACATTACTGCCTTGTTAGCATTTTTATAATAATAATTATTGATGTCGACTAATCGACGATATTCCTATTACCATGCTTCATTTTAAATTCAATCATTTCGCGGACTGAATGTTTGTAACATTATTTGCGATAAATTTAGATCAAATATTATTTATTTGCGTATAATTTAAATACCGAACTTATATGGCATGCCTTCTCCGAAAATACAAAGTTATATCGCAAAACAATGCATTTTGTGACATTTATTTTACACTCACAACATTTATTTGCTAACTCAAGTCGGCGATCCTATCGGCCAAGATTGACAAAAGTTTGGTCGAGTGCCGGTGGTATTCAAGTCGACGATAAATCAAAATAAGTTGCCGCATTTGGTAAGACAGTTAATCATATATGGCCGAAATATTGAGAGGAATTGTGAAAAACATCATGAGCAAGGCCAAGTCCGGACTGATATATAACGATAAAACCGTTAACAGAACATCAAGATTTTGTAATAGAAAATGGATCTCGCACAGAATAAACACACAGGCTCATATTTGAATATATATGATAGCAGTTAAATTTTCAACGGTCCGCGAGGAATCCGTCGTTTTGGTTCATTACGCAATCTCTCTTTTGTCGTCATATTGCTATTTGATAAGCGCGACATTAATTATCACGGCGAGGTATTGGCGCGAGTGATCAATCGCTCTTTTCGCTTATTTGGTTCCAATTCGTCGCGAAAGCTCTTCGTTAAATTTCACAAGATAGTCGTGTTGAAAGGTTATGGATATTTTCCTGTTTATACCCCAAGTCTGAAATGAAACAGCCAAAAACAATATGATATTCCATGTTCATATATCAAGTGTTGATATTAACAATAAAGAATGGTTAAGCATTGCTAATCCACACTTGGTGGGGAATTCCCACTATTCAAACGCGTGACTATAAAATAGAATAAAATAGAAACGGAACATATATACCATAAGTAACGGAAAACTGGAACAAGTAAATAATAAATAAAAGTAAAATGTATACAAATGTTTGATAGACAATGTTTGATAGATTGATCTCCTGCGTTCATTAGTCATTTCACCCGAAGAAGTTGAAACCGGGCGTGTTAGCGTCCATCTGTCTTAACACAATTCTTCCCCCTATCTACGGTTATTATGTACATTGGCCATGCCCATGCTAGATAAGATGCGAGAGAAGTTGAAACCAGGTGTGTTGGCGTCAATCGGTCTCAACGCAATTCTATCCCTTATCTACGGTTAAGTTGCGGAGAAGTTAAAACCAGGTGTGTTGGCGTCAAACGGCCCTACTCAGTTCTTCCCCCATTAACTACGTTAATAATTTACATTGGTCACGCCAGATAAGTTGATAATAGTTTAGTAAATGGCAACGCGTCATGCCTTCCTTCACCTACGAAACAAGAGAGAGAGAAACGGCTGCGAATACCGGAACTCTAACTTCTTCTACTTGTTGAGCTTTCATTTTCGCAATCGACTGCTTTGAAGAAAGCTCGTTTCAATGCAATAATTACTACTTTACGTAATTCGTAACTTCCCTTCCGTAACTCCAAATAATTACGTAATTCCGTAAATCCGTAAATTACGTGCAAGCCTAACAGACCTATATATATCCTTTTTTTCTACATTTTCTTTGCACGTATCCACTTTTTAGTGTGTGCTATGTGCCTTTGGTCTCAACAATGACCTAAAGAGTCTACGTATGGCGCTACTCTACGGGCAACTATATACCCCGGTTCGGCTGTATTCATGTAAATCCTTAAATTCGAAATTACCTACGTTGCGAGCACACCGTAGGCACGGTAGCTATTAGATGTCATTAGATGCTACACTCACAACTAATCATTTATTCAATCCGTTATCTAACTTTGTCATGACAACGCCTGTCGTTCAAAGGAATTCTGATATTTTTTGTTTGTCTGTCTGATGTAAACACTAACATTTGCTTCTTATTTTTGCCAGCTTCATTCTTTTTGGAGGAGTGCTCGGTGACAACAACGGTAGCCCCGGATTAAGTGAGTATCAAAATCTCTTGGTCTGGAATATAAATACTAATAATGTAATTGGAGCATATGGTCGAATTAGATTACTTGTTAGTATTTGTTAGAATATCTATAGTGTCATCACAAGGAGTGATCATATCGTTGTTGGCACGGCCGAATTTATTTAAAAATTGGCCAGATGGGAGCATGCGTAAGGCACTGGACAAGAAATTTGATACTGAATACATTTGTTATTGTTAAGTTCTATGGTTTCGTATTTGGCTCATTTCAAATATGTAACTATTTCAGGTACGGATGCTTGTGTGGACCAGCAGGATTGGTGTCCATCAATGGTACAGTATTGCAAAGAACACGAAGTCATGGTACCAATGTGCCGTAAAACATGCGGTAAATGCGATGTAAAGCCAACAATTATCCCTGGAACGCCAAACACGGGTGAGGGCGGATTGGGTAAGATTTTTCACGTGCGTTACAATTATACACTCTCTAGTGCCAGGGTTGAGAAGTTCATGCCTGATAAATGGTATGTTAGAATAAATAGGATACAGATGCAACAAGTCTTTTTGTAATACTATCGTCATTGTGTCGTAACCCTACTATACTTTCTAACAGGCTGCGGAGCTCTCAATTGCGAACACGATTGTGAGGCGAAAAAGTGCAAATGCAAAAAGGGATATGAACTTCAAGCTGATGAAAGATCTTGCAAAGGTAAACTTCTTGCTAATGCACAATTAATACTAGTGCAAACTCTTTCTGCTTCTCTCATGCAGTTTTATTACAAACGAAAAGTTTGTGCCACGGGGTTCGTGCCATGGCATGTGGAAAAACTGAAATTTTAACACCTTTAATTTTCCGAATATATATATATATATATTTGAACATTAGCAATAGAACTAACATACTATACAATATTTACAAAGAAATATATATGCAAATAAATTCATTATAATAAGTTTAAATACTTTTTTATTTTGTCTGTAGAGAATAAAATTTCATAACAGTTTCAATCACGCCCATCCATGCTATTAAGCACTTCTTCTACAGTCAGTTCCAATTTAAGTTTTCTGGCTTTGCGAATGACTGGAATTATCTGTTGATTAGTTGTTGACAAAGTAGGTAGTCTGTTGCGGTCTCGGGTGCAGAACAATGTTTTTGATATCCGTCAGAGTGGCGACCAATTTTTTATAAACCAAGAAATATGTGATCACGTTATAGTGATATATCATAACGCCAACATTATAAAATATATATCGATTTAATTTGAGATATCATTTTTTACCCAAGAAAATTGTAAAACAGGTTTATAGTTGAACATTATCACAAATACCTCGTCATCGCTGCAATAACTTATCAGGGATGCACTTCATTTGCAGATATTAATGAATGTAACGTTGAGAATCCTTGCAATGAGACCTCGAAATGCATAAATACAAAAGGATCTTACAAATGCGAACAGACGCGATGCGAAAAAGGGGAAATGCGGTATTTTGAAGGAAAAGAATGCTGTCGACTTTCTGAAGGTAATATGATAACCGAGCTCATCTTACTCCGAGCATTTTTTGTGTGTTTGTATACTAACAACCATCATTGTGTGGTGCATCATATTCGAAGTGTTTAGGTTGGTTTATTTGGGAGATTCTAAAGCATTTGAATCATTCAATCGGTATAATTTTATGCACAAATACAAATACGTAGTAAAGACAAAAATAGAATAAATTAACCGGAGTTTCATCTTATGCCCAATAAATACATTGAGATTTATGTAGTAACTGACATGAAGTCTAGTTCGTCACACGAACTTCCTTGATTAAAACTTATGTCTGGTATTTTAACAGGCAGGTGCGGACGAAATTCCGCCAATGGCGGTTTCGGTGCTTTCGGCCACGATTCCATAGTGACAAGGTGGCCCTGGATGGTAAGCTTGCCTAAACTTTAAACAAAATATATTACTGAAAAATGACAATCTGTATTAAAAACAACAAGTTGTTACTATGAGTTGTTACTATAAGCCAAAACCATGGCGTATATAATTTCTGTTGCTCTTATTCCAGTCTGAAAAATTCGTTTAAATCTGTTGCTAAATCTTCCAACGTCTTGAAAGAAAAATACATTGGCCTGAATAAAAAGGCAGTAGTTTAGCAGAACATTTTCCAACCGCTTATCAATTTCGAATAAATTAACAAAATTCATTAACGGGGAATGAATGATATCAGAACCGTTATAGGGTCGCTATTCCTCATTATTATTCTGATCAACAAACTTAATTTAAATTTACTACACGAACAAAATATTACATTGCTACAGTAAGTTAAAATTCAAAATCATTTTATATTAATTCAAGTCATTGATTACGATCGAAAAAACAAAAACAAGATGCGGAGGGATCGTAATTCACAAACACTGGGTCTTGGCATCAGCTCATTGTTTCAAGTAAGTGTGAAAACAAAAGTGTGTCTTACTCATATATAATTTCTTCACGTATACATTGCCGTTCGATAAAGCGAAGGATTTGACACGATTTTAAACACAGAAGAGTCGTGTTTTGAAAATACCAGAACAATTTGCTTGTCTTGGAAATACTTTATATAAAAATAATAGTCAATTTAGTTTGATAAATTTAGCTGCACTGTTCGTATTAATTTATATAAAGAAGATTAATTGTCGATGTCACATACCAAAGATATTTTTATTTCAACGGGTCAAGTAAAATAAACAAAATTAATAATCAACTTTACCTTTGCAGGGATGCAAAGCCTGCAGATGTCCACGCTTATTTCGGCATAGTAAACACTAAGGAACATACAGGAGTTAAGAAATTCTCTCAAGGAAGGAGAGTCAATCGGGTAAACTTTTTCATCTATTATAATCTACATTCGGCACTTATTTCCAACACGTAAATTAGTCATAAAAGCTATGTATATTTGAAATTTCAAACTTATAAACATAAATGATTTTGACTGATAGATAAGAATTCATCCCGATTATGACTATCCATCGAATGACGTAGCATTGATTCGTCTTACACGAGAGGTCAGATTGTCAAACTACGTTAACGTCGTGTGTTTGCCTCACAACGAACAACCTTCCGAAGGTCAACAATGTTATGCAACGGGATACGCCATGTCAAGTAAGTCGGTTTAATAAAAAGTAGGTAACTTATAACTATGAAACCAGACGTGAACGAAAAGCATTATATTCGTCGACTTTTAAACAACAATTTAAATGGGATATTCTCGATCATATCTGAACCCGTAGTATGTAATACGATAGTGTATATATAAAAGTTCAATGGCCCTCTACGAAAGACACAATTGAATGGCGATTGTGATCATATATCTATCTCTGCTCTTTAATCACTATTGTAAAAGATAATTGATTTTATCCAAAATCGAAAGTTCGATTTAAAGGGTAATACCAATTTTTCAAATAATATCAACAAAAGACAATATATATAATTCTGAAAATGGAATAAACATTCTTATTGTTCTTATTTAATATCTTTTAACATCCTAGTTGATCGTGGTGAAGTCATTCGATGGTTACAACAAGAACCAGTACAAGTTACAAATGGAGGAAGCTGTAAATTGCCGGAATCCAAAAGACGTTTGGAAAAAGATATGTTGTGTGTTTCACACGAAAAAAATAAAAAGCAGGGGGACTGTCAAGGTACTAATAATGAGATAGGATGTATGAATTTTCTGTATAACCAGTATCCGGATCGATAACTTCCCAGACTTATTGCCATTTGGAATTTATTTGGCGCACATATGCTCACCAATGAAAAAATGAAGCAGGTCGTAAAGTTTTCACTAGAATTTGAACCCCTATTGAAATGTTCGCCCATCATCATCAAATACAATTACGTTGTAAGTTTTCTGAAAACTTTTGCAACAAACAACTTGAGAGGTAGTAGAAAGTTCATAATCTAACAATGAGTTAATTGAAAAGAGTACGTATTTTAGGTTCATCTGGAGGTCCTTTAGTTTGCCAACGTTGTTCATCGTGCGATTGGTATGTTGCTGGGTTGGCTTCAGAAGGAAAGGATTGTAACACTGTCAAAAGTGGAAGCGCATTCACAAGTGTATCAATTCATGAAGCCTGGATACGAAAAATAATTGGAGCTCCGGCAATATCACTAAGAAGTGGTGCTGCTTGCCAGTTTCCAGGGAAAGGTAATTTATGAAATCAGATTACAAAAAATGGAACTGTGAAAATAATCTAGGTCTAGGCCATAACTATTTTTTTATAACTATGATTACTAGACCATATTTCTCTTTTGATTATAATCAACTACTTCAATTACTTATTTTATTTCAACAACTAACCAAATTTTAAGAATTACCAAACGTGCAAAACTAAATGGCAAATTCGATAATAACATGCGGCTCATAATCTCATGTTACGTCCAATATATAGAGTCATTTAGTGTGTTATTTCCCTTCAAGGAAATAGGGAAAAACCTTCATGGAACAACTGGGGTGAATGGTCCAAGTGCACAGTTACATGTGGTACAGGAACATCAGTTCGCGAGCGTTCATGCGATGGAGGAAATGCAGGGGATGGCGGGTGCGTGGGTAGTATGCAAGAATCAAAAACATGTTCAGTTAACGATTGCCCAGGTAATTATAAATTTTGCGTCGTTTTCCTTTCTTTCGCCATTGTATAGTGGTATAGGAAATAAACATAATAAAATACAAACACGATTTAACAGCCAACGAAAAGATTTAATTCAAGTTGCAAGCTATGCAGTTCACATTCGGTATCATATTTCTACAATGATATGGGCAGTGGATCTGAAATAATAATTCTTAAAATGTTCATCCTTCACTCTAATGCACTAATGTCTCAGTTATAAAGCATTGTAACATTTTGAATAAAAAAGCCAAGGTACATTAACTGACAGAAACCACGTCATCCACACACCCCAATTCAATTCGAGTAAACATTTGGGGATATTCGACATTTTACTAGGTTGGTCGGATTTCGGAGAATGGAGTTCGTGTTCTGTAACATGCGGTGGCGGATCTCGCGAACGAAGCAGAACCTGCAGAGGAAGTAAAATTGCAAGCAGAGACTGTCCTGGCGATAGGCTTGAGATTGAGGTTTGTGTTGTATTGCTATATCTTCTTAACAACTTTGCAATTCCGCAGAAATCTCAAGAGACTACATAAATCTTAAATGAAATTTTTAGTAAATAACAAATTACTGGTTAGCTGTGAATGTGGTTCGGCATTAACAGCCAACAAAATGAATTTGCATTGCAGCACATTATCAGGCAACAACAGAGTATTTAAGGTTGACTACACCACCCATTTGATTAATAATCTCCTATGTTCCTTTCTACAGTTTTTTTTTTCTCAAATGTTATAAAATAGGTTGTTGACTTTTCGGAGGTTGTTTTGACTTCGTCGCAAGAAGAATCTCGAAATTGTTACAAATTATAAATATTTTGAAGAGTCAAATTCGCTTAAAATAACATTTCATTGTTTCAGAATTGTAATGATGTTCCTTGTCCAAAATGGACTCGCTGGGGTAAATGGTCGAAATGTAGTGTGACATGCGGAAGGGGGCGACAATCATCACAAAGGCAATGCGAAAATGGTGAGATTGGGGACAGAGGGTGTGGAGGAAAGCATACTAAAAACAAAGCCTGCAGAAGACGTGAGTCAGTGATATAAACCAAATACTTGATAGAACATGCTGACACTTCACTCAGTAAACATTCATTTCATTTTTATTTCATGATACAGTTAAATAATTGACCATATTTGACTAAAATATCAGGATTTGTCCAAGATATATTCGAACTGGAGTGCAAAGACTGCCATTTTCAATACATCAGTTGCTGTAAGAGTACAAATTATCCCTAATTGCAAATTTGGATAATCATTTTATGCAATAGCATATATACACAGTGAAAAAGAAGGCAAATATTGAGAATTTTCATATTTATGAAATAAAGTTTCATCAAACTAGACTAATTTTAATTGGTAATTTCGTACAGCTAAATGCACGTCTTGGAGCAATTGGACATCATGGTCAGAATGTTCAACAACTTGTGGTAACGGGATTAAAACAGCCACTCGAAATTGCATAACTGGAAGAAAAACTTCGAAGAATTGTGAAGGAAATTCCACAAAAACACAAACTTGCAATACAGAGGATTGTGAGGGTAGAATAAAATAAATGTCTCCAAATTTTAAAAAGATTCATGTTAATTCACTAATATATAAAAATAACATTTTAGTAGTTTCTCAGTAAACAGTCGGTAATCCATGTTTTTGTATTTGATATAGATAGATCCATTCGTCTCAATTAACTTCCAGGTTACGTAATAGGTACAATAAATGGTGTTTAAAATCCTTGAGACATATTTATGTATAATCTGTGTTTTAAAGGATGCGCAAAGTGGTCAGAATGGACAGCATGTACCAAAACCTGCGGCGGCGGACTCCAGGAAAGAAGTCGGACTTGCACATCAGACTCTGCAACTCAGGAAGAAAGTGTTTGCAATGATAAAAAGTGTCCCATTTTTTGGAGTGATTGGGCGAACTGGACAGAGTGCAGTGTTTCATGTGGACCTGGTCAAGCAACAAGAACCAGAACGTGTGAAGGTGGTAAGCCAGGCGATCCAGGATGTCGTGGAACAACTACAAACAACAGACAGTGCAACCTTGGAGAGTGTCCTTCTATCCCAAAATGGTCGGCATGGGGGCAATGGAGCAATTGTGATGCTGTTTGTGGAAGAGGTTTTAAAATAAGAGAAAGGTATATGCGGATAAAATATATGGTTTAGTTTTGAAAAAATAAGCAGCTACCAATGATATTATATTTATATATCCCCTGGCCACAACGAATGGCAAAACTATTTCATCATGCGAAACTGATCGTGTCACAAATTTATTTTTAGCAGAGTACCTCGAAATATATCTAAAAATATATATATATATATAGAAGAACAAAAAATGGATGATATCAATTGAAGTTACATATTATGTTAAAGATGAATGAAAGTTGTGTTGTGTGATTCAGAGAAGACCGTATTTGAGAAAATGATTTCACCAATGTCGCGATCAATGTTAGCATAACAGCGACAATTTATGTTGCATGAAAGACTATTGGATCGATGATACTATAGAAAATCATCAAGTGAATAGAATCATGAAAAAAAGTTATCAATGGATGCAAAAAATGTTGATATTTACATAAAATTATTTTTACAGGGTATGCGATGGTGAATCATGTCCTGGTATGCCATTTGAAGACAAAGATTGCTTTGTTGAATGCGAAACAAAAGGTATCATAATTGTATTAATAGTATAGTGAAACATATATCAATAAACCTACGTCCATCAATCTTGCCTAATATTTTAATTCATTATTTATGGAAGTAAGTATCACGTCTAGAGCATTTTTTTTTCAATATCATTATTTTGTGGTATGCCTAATTTTTTTTTTGTGTTGTATGTCAGATGTTTTCAATATCATATTCGTTTGCCCGTTGGCCTATTTAAATCCCTGCCAAGAAAAAAATGCCATCTATTGTGATATTTTCAGAAGTGTGCTCGGAACTTGTAGACCATATTCTCTATTGTGCAATGAGCGCTGCTTGGTGCACAATTCAGCCAGAATTTATGGTGGGAAGATGCGATAAAACATGTTGTCATGAAGAATATCGATTTGGTAAGTTATTATGTTCTGATAATACCATTTCCCTCATCACAAAGAAGTTATATTATCCTGCGATCTATATTTTGCACAAGCAAAGTTCAAAATCTGACGTCATATTTATGTCATGACGTCTGTCATTATAATTAGCTGGAATATTCCTGTACCTATTCATTTTTACAACAAAAGTTTTCATCAAATAAGTCAAAGAGCTATCTTATCTGAAGTAAACATCAAGCAACATGGCAGGATCCAGAAATAAAAATATTATGTTCACTATGTTCCTCCAACCTAAATACTGCTAACAGTTTATTGATGTAAAATAAATATATTTCTTTTATGTTCTAGCCTTTTCAGAATGGTCATTATGGTCTGAATGTACCGAATCCTGTGGCACGGGTTATATGACAAGAAGGAGGCGATGCACATACCCATCTCTATGTGCAAAATTTAACGCCCCACTCGAAGAAACCAAAAAATGTAACACTCATTCATGTTCCGCTCGTTTTCTCCAAGAAATGTGTACTGCGTCATGCGGTGGAGGAATTCGCCATCGTAGAACCCTGTGTGATGGAGTGGAATGCATTGGCATGAAGTTAGTATCCGAACCATGCAATACGCATTCATGTACGAGTTCGCTTTCACTTTGGAGTGAGTGGAGTCCTTGTTCACAAAGTTGTGGTATGGGGTCAAAGCAAAGAGAAAGAACTTGTTCAGGATCTCCATCATTTTGCAATGAACAGCTTGAGCAAATAGAAGAATGTATAATTACAGAATGTAACGGAACGTGGTCTCAGTGGCAACCTTGGGGACTCTGCTCTGTGAAGTGCGGGATTGGAACTATTAAGCGATTCAGGTAATACAATTTGCATAAGGTATAATATACTCCAAAAAATTCTATTATGAAAACATAATGATATTTTTAATTTTCTTGTAGATCTTGCGTGGAAGGTAATTGTGTAGGATCTAATGAAGAAGAAGAAGCGTGTGTGACGTTTGATTGCCCGACAGGTAAATTCATAAGTATTACACAAAAACATTTATTACAGAAAAAGTCAAGAGACATTATAAAATTTGAGCAGAACAGAAAAAACACTTTGTTGACTATTCTGAAAATTTTTGATAGCTGAAATCGGAAGTACATTTTCGTCACCTCAATAGAAATTTAAAAATCTAGTATCAGCCGACTAAATCTTTTAATTCATATTTAATATTCCAAACTAATCGCGCAGAATATAACACCCTATTTTAACTTTACTATTAAATGATGCTATATTCTGTATTTTCACAGTCATGGGATGTGAAGACGAATCCTCAATGCGACTTCTCTGTCCGTTATTAACAAACTATTGTGACAATGCCTACACTCAGTATGCCTGTAGGAAATCTTGTAAACTATGTGAAGAATAATTTCGGGAAATCGTTTTTTTCACTTAAATACGGGAAAATTTTTTTGATCATGATAATCGGCATGTGCAATATAGCGGAAAACGAACAAAGTGAGAAGCCCGTATTTGAAAATAGGGTCAAATATATGATACACAAAATTTAATTGGTTGTGTGGTATATTGTCAGCACCATGTCCCCTATTCCGCAATATAATGCTAAGGGCATCCATAGATATTTCCTAAAACGGCACATGCCTTTGTTGTATTAAATATGCTTTGGATTGTACCCAGAATTTCGACACGATTATAACCTGTTGTTGAATCATTGACTTAGCAAAGCGCTTGAGCTCACTTTCACTGTATATCGCCTAGTGGTAGACCCCCTCAATTTCTTGTAGGGCCCACAAAATCGTTTCCACGCGTAGTAAGTGGGTGGATAGGAACTTAGGACAAATTCGGAAACATTCATATGGCCGCAAGATGTAATTCCCAAAATGGGTTGCACTCGCACTGTCGTATCGTATCAGTATTTTCTATTGCATTGTTCACTTTTTTCTAATAATGCATTAAACATATTCAGGATTCTGTTATAACTACTGTTTTGTAATTATCAATATTTTTCTGTGGTCATCGCTATATGTGTACTTTTTTGATTGCTTGTGAATAAAATTAAAAAATGTGACCCAACTACTTTACTGTGCCAATTGATTGTGGCACAAAGACTTGCCCTGAATGACAACAAATGATCGTTAGTCTGTTGCATTCAACTTCTGATTAATAATACCTGGGCCGGATTACCCACCAGTCTAGACCAGACACGGGCGTTTGAGCCTACCTAGCGGGTCCAATATTGTTTCAGTACTTTTAAGAATGCCACATACATTTGTGATATATTTTTGCATATCCCAAAGTTTTCCATCAGTCTCGGGAGTCATTTCCCATGGAGTTTCATTTATTGTTCTGCAAATGGCAGCTATCATTTATCAATGGTTGTTGGACTCAGTCGGTGCTTGAACCTACACCTCACCATTAAAATTACACCACAGTAAAAAAGTGAACAATTCTCAAATATATGGACACGAGGATAAAAACAAAATATTTTTCCTACAATTTCCCCAAAATCATATCGTGAAGAGAGCTAGAACTAAGAAACTTGTCAGTGCCAGTACTCAAACTGTCCTAGTTTTCCCATGTCTGGTGACGATGATTCAATCGTATAGTGCAGCGTTTCCCAATCTATCTATGTTCCGCGGAACACTAGTGTTCGACTAGTGTCTTCCGAGTGTTCCGCGAAAAGGAATCAAAAAATCGTCTACATTGGTCGCCATGGCGATGTAGAGATCGTGAAGTTGTCGCTCAACTGACCGTTCAATTTCGCGTCACCTCCGGCCTAAAGCGGACGAACTAAGGTAGTGGTAAGGTAAGCTAAAGTAAGTGGTATTTTCTTTAACCGCTTTTTGACAGTTAAGTTCATTATTATTTTTACAGCAATATTTTTGGTTTTGCTATAAGCAAACAAGTAGGTCTAAACTTTAAAGAACAAACGCAAAAGGTAAACTCTTCTTCCTCCATCTGGTTTTACTTTGAAATGCCTCCATTAGACGTGACATTAGAGGCAAACACAACGTAATGGAAAGTAAAAGCCAACTCACACGAAGACCGACCTTTCCGACATCTTTGACGTCGTTCAAATTGAATAGAAAAACAATTGAAGGGTGTTCACACTGCGAGCGGACGAACTAGGGTTGGATTATCCGGATAGCGGTGATTATTTAAGACTTATTTTGCTATCTGTTATTCGGATATTATTGTGACGGTTAACCGGATAATAGAGCAGTATAAATAATGCATATGCGCTTTAGCGATTTTTATATTTTTTGTTGAGTGGCGACTGACATCTCCCAGAGCATATAATAACCACTTTTTCCACTCTAATCTGTCTATATTTTAGCCATCTGTAAAATGCTGCAGTGAACTTCACTATTACATCACAAAACACGCAGAACAAATGTGATTATTGCGCCTATTAGAAGAGCTCGTTCGCTTTATAAAGTTAGATTTAAACTGGAGGTACAGTTTAGGCAAGACTAACTTAAACGAATTCAGTTGAAAAGCATTGGTTGGGTGGGTGTGAGTTTGTTGCTTTTTCGTCGGGTGTGGCTTTTAGATAAGCAGAACAGATAGCAGAAAATAATAAAGAATAGCAGAATATAAAATTGTAAATCTTTTATTAGAGAGCTTTATCTAGTAGGCCCTGATATCTATCAACAAGGATTTTCAATACAAGATGTTAATCCAACATTCAACTTTACAAACTGAGACCTCCGTATTTAGCGTCATGAATAATTCCTTAAATTTCACAGACGACCTGTTTTTTTCATCGAGGCTTCGGTACCAAACGACTGCCTGCCCGTTTCCCTCATCGACCAACAGTCGATCAGTAGATATGTGTGTGAATGTGGCGATGGTCGGCGTCGAAACGATTAATCGGTCGGTCGTATTGGTCGCTTTGTGTGTGAGTCAAGCTTAAAAGACATAGAAAGGTAAAATGAATTTATTGATTCGTATACACAACTTTTAAATTAAGAAACAATAAAACATTTATAATAAATGCAATCTGAAAATATTCAATCATATTTTAGGTATGTTTAACAATTAACAGTATATATATATTTACAGTTTAACACAATTCTGTTAGTTTTCGCAGCGCATTTGTCTACTCGCCACGATGAATCCATTGGGAACCGCTACATTACATCCTCTTTGGATGCGTAGTAGACATAGCGATCGTGTCAATATTATGTTGTTCTTGTTCTTTGACACTTTTTGGACACCTAGTGGAAAATCTAAAAAGTCGCTTTGTTGCTCTTTGATTACTAGACCAATTGCTCTGAAATTTTCAGTGGTTACAGATAAAAAAAATTTCCAGAAGGCTATTTCTTTTATTTATTTCAAAATTTTCTGTTATCTCTGTGAGATTTGTTTTTGTTTGCTATGACATCACCGAACGTTCTCTGTACATCAGACGCCATTTTGTGTCCGACTGTACTGCTTTGCTTGGTGTGAATATATTTGTAGACTGTGATCAGACGCCACGGTAAACGTTAGTCATTGGGTAAACCGTACGGTACTGCGAACAGACGTGTCCATATATTTGGGCGTAGCTCTCTTGTTTCTTTATCAATTTTACCCTTTCATTTTGTCGTGTTCCGCGAGGCGAGCTAAAAAGTGTTAGTGTTCCGTTGCTGAAAAAGTTTTGGCAAACGCCGGACCAGTGTCAACGTAAATCGAAGTATCAAATGGTTCGAGTCACCACTGTATTAGCAATTCTTTACCGGTAGTCTACCGTACCGTTTCTATCAAAAAACTTGCAAAACAATTTGAACATACGCATACCTGTTAAATTTCTTCGGCTGCAGCCGGGAATAAATCACCAGCATACTTTCCCAGGCATTGAGTCAAAATCAGTCAGAAAGGTATCGTAAGTCGGATTTTTTCTTCAGTCACGGTTTTGAGCAAACTCTTTGAAATTCCAATAACAATGGTGGCACTTTTCAGAAAGTTTCTGGTTGAAGCGATGCAAAAAAATATTCCACCAAAGTTCACAAGTTTTCCAGAGCGTTCGACTGATTTTGAATTCCGTCAGATGCTGCAGTTTCCTCAGTGTACTTTGGAGTGTGTGTGAATAGATGCGAAAGCACCAAAGAGGTTTTATTCGACCTTTTTTAGTATAGCTAAGTATCTATTTGTTGAAACAAGAGGTTTCTGTACCCAAAAAGGAAGGCAGGTTTTTTAATGGGATATTAATTCTAATATGGCAAGGATTTATCAGTAGAGACTAGGCGCGGTATAACCTTAAATGATCTGTAGTTTGGAATCACAAAATTTTTGGAATTTCATCATAACATCATCCTGAGGGCACCAGTATCTGTTCATAAATTACTGTAACGTTAATAAGGGTACCGCACAGTAGGAGGTAGGAGCATGATATTGGGATGATTGCACTGTTCTTGCATTTTACTAAACATTAGATCAATTTACCCAACGTTTGATTGACAAACCGGGCTACTCGAAGTTCGTTATTTTGCCGTGCCGTGCCGTGATTTATTGAAAATGAATAGTGGGACATAACGTGCCAATACTACTCCCTAATGGACGTGCTGAATATACATGAGACAGCTTCGATGCAGCAGTCCACTGAGGCTGAATCAAAAGATTTGAGAGAATACATCAAACCTCTATTGTTTGGAGAATTTGCTGCGCATTGTATTTACCACATGTTACTAGCATCATTGGATATCTGTACGTGGCAATTATTGAAACTAATATATAGATATTCCAGCTACTGTTACAGAAGTATAGATATCGACCTGTGTTTTGATGTAGGTTAGCTCTAAGGGCTTACACTTTGACATACTGGTCAGTTGTTTAAAACAATTGTTTTAAATCAAGTTTTTTTTTTGCCTGTTTTGTTCAAAATGGCTGTACTATTTGATCTTTTTGTGTTAAATAGGTTGAAGGAAAATGAATTGTCAAAACTTGCCAAGCGCTCTTTATATGCAATAAATCTTTCAAAACGCCACAAATATCGATAGAGGTCCATGCACACCTTCTCAAGCTGTAGTTCAGTGGTTGGCGCAGTAAGACGCAACCGATAGGCTATTACGTGAACGACCCTGCTGCGATGAAACTACCTTGTGAAAATTGAAATGCGATCGAATAAATGAGTTTGTATAACTTTGAAAAACTCACTTCAACCCTAAAAATCAAAGTATGCTAAGCATAAATTAACCGGACAGTATTAATCGTAACAATGACTTCATTTTATGAGAAAAATGTCAATACATGACCTCGTTATCCATATTATGGCTTCATAACAGATTAGTTGTGGCGTCTTTGCATCAGAGGACTCTTACAATTAACATAGGCTAGGTTATGGTGTCTCATCGTTCATATCAGTAGATTACCGCCGATATAAGCATAATTCTTCATTATCGCAACCCACTCGTTTTGCCGAATGGCTGCACTTGATCGAATTGCTTTTGTAGTAGGCTCGTGAGCTAATTTTTAGGATTTTTCTTACTCAAAACGTCTCTCTGATATCTCGGCTAAACATTCCGGGTAAAATCTTATGACTTTGGTGGAGATATAAAGTGGCGATAAATGTACGCAATAGTGGTAAAAATCAATCAAAATAAGGTGGAGATATAAAGTGGCGATAAATGTACGCAATAGTGGTAAAAGTCAAAATAAAAAATTTTATTTACATTTTTGAAATTATAATTGCGGCTGCGTGTGCAGCTGCCAGATTGCAACGTTTTGGCGTAGTTTCGCGGCGATGCAAGGATTATTTCAAAGAAAAATACAGAAAAAATTTGATTTAAAACAAGCCCTTGTTTTAAAACAGTTTTTTTTTAGAATTGATAAAAAACAAAACCCTAGCCACGGTTGTGGTTTGCATGTTGACGATTATTATGGTTTTGGAATATGATTCCTACAGTCTCACCAACACCCTGAAATGATGACACTTCTTACATAGAAAGGCCATGGTTGCAAGATACCTATATTTTTATATATTCCTTTGCTTGATGATCTGTTGAAAATAAAATGTAAGCTTTGGCCTGAGAATAAACGAACCAGTCATGATTGATATATATATCCACAATCAGCAAACGTCGCTACTATTAGGACTCCATTGTTTCTGGATAATTGTTTACCAAATTTCAAAAAATAATTAGTAGTTAGCGCCAATTTTGATGAATGCTTTGCGAAAACTTTCAGATATAGGCTACTACCAAATAACTCAACTTATTTGGCATACTATTTAACATGTTTTCTAACTTTTGCAATTACATTTTCAGTATCAAATTTGGCGATATTTTATCTCGGTCACTACTGATGTATTGAACATTTTTATCCATGGCTTAAAAATTAGTGGTGATTTCTATGTTCCCGTCAACGAATTTTGTGGAGTGTGTTTTACTGCAAAAAGAGCACAATGAAAGGATATTTACAACGCCATTTGTAGTTACCTAGAATTTCGTTAGTTATTTGCGGCCTATGTTCAGTGGTGGGATTCTAGGTTTTTTCAGCCGGTTACTTCACAATAGTCATATTTTTGAGCCGGTTCTGATGCAAATAGAACATTGACAGTAACCAGTAATGCTGACCGGTTCGCTGATCTCGTGAAATTCCGTGAGACGGTTCTATGGAACAGGTGCGAACCGGCTGAATCCCACCACTGCCTATGTTCATAATTCTTTGTTACATCACCACCTTGTTGGACGCTCGAACCCTAGAAAGTTGTGTCGGTGCATGGATGTTACCGGTAATCAAAGCAGTAGTTGTGCTTTTTAGTTACGAATGAAAAATTGATTACCGGTCTCATAAGCCGTAATAGTTGTAAACATTCCTCGTATCTTTGAAGCAGAAAAATTTAGACCGAATATTCTAGCATCATTTAGATTTTCTTGTATGGCATGATGATCTTCTCGACGGTGTTGCGTGACAATCTAACAAGTAACTATTATAGCGTTACAAGCTACAATCATGATCACACAATTTCCTCCTTCTCGCCAAATTTGCAAAATTACCTGATCGATAGCACACCGAAATATTGAGCGTGTTTATTTGTTCATTGCCTCCGCATGCTTGTCAAGGCCCACGCATTGTACAACTATGACTTTGCGAGCTTACTGCTAGTAATGCAAAAAATGGTATGACGACTCGTTTGTACGTGTTGTTACTTGTACGTTAAAAAAGTAATGTTTAGATGTAAATTAACCCCTACATTTCGGAGGAGTTCAGAGCCGCGAATGCTAGTGGAAAAGAAAATGCTGACTGGTAACTGCGAAGGTTTGGACGTGCATCCTGTGTGAACTTACAGTCATTTAATTTCTATGCATTAATATAAAAGCGACTTCCTTATGATGTCAAAATGTGAACAAATCTAACTTGTGTTTTAGTCGCACACGTTCCGAATCTACCTTCTTATATACCGGTATATATGTCAAAATAGCAAACACTTCCATGCATTCGGAGGCGCGGTTCCGCTTGATTAGAATTTAGTTTCGTATAAAAATAGGATGACAACATGACTTCATACTTTTCTTATATGGCTGTGTTACAGCATAGGCGTAACATGGCAAGAATAAGGAAGACTCTTATATACATACATTGAAGACGTTGTTTTCACAAAGTAGTTTACACAAAATGACAATCAAATGCCTTGTGTATATGTAATTAAAATTTAACGAAGACTATATTTATTGTCTATTTTTTCAAACTGTTAGAGTTATTTTTATCTCAACCTGTACCTTTTATGATATACCGTACCCAATTTTTGGGATACTTTTTCAATTTCGATTTGAATTTTAGGGCTTTCGTTTTTATTTACAGGTATGAAAGTTTGAAGATGCGGTGTATACGGCACCGGTTCTAATTTTGGTGTCATTGTCATTTTGTCCATCCGCGCAGTTTAATTTGATGGGCGACAACAATACCCATCTCAGAATAATAATGAATTCAAATAAAACTGATTTTGTCCAAATACATATTAAAAAATTGGAAATTGATTTTAAAATGTATTATTTTCCAACCCTCTACTAAAATCTTAACGATTCACATTTTTGGTTGGACTTCTGTTTTGTCACGGAATATTTTGATCCCCCTTAATTTCTTTCTCACCCCTGAACCTCCTCTTGAACATTCTGTGGCAGTTGAGATTAAAAATTTATTCACCTGAAAATCAAAAATCCCCAGATTACAGTGCGCGGGGGCAGCCGCGGATAGAAATTTCACTGTCACTCCCAATGTTATCGACTCAATCAGCGCAGTAGAGCAGGGGAAATTTTACGTTGAGGCTGAGTTGTTAATACTGTTGACTCGGAGTTGAAATTTTTTTAAATCCGGCTGTGGCTCCCGATTCCGAGCTAGGGGAATTTTGACTTCAACTCCGAACGCTTAACGAAGTCAAATTTTGATGATGAAAATGTTGGCGCATGCACCATTCTTACACACTGTTACGAACTCGTATTTAACTTCGAGTTTTTGTTGAAAATTTTGATTTTAATTATCAAAATGAAAAGAGGAACAGGCCGTCTGCGACTACGATTAAGAACTATATTTATTAATTATTACTATCAACCTTTCATCGTGCATATACGCTATGTGTCATGTGTTACACTATCGATTAGATTCATTTGAGCTTGTTTTCTGAATCGCTTGACAAAACTCTTACATATTTTTTAAGATGACGTAAATTCTGATTTTAAAATGTATTTTATATTGTCTATATTAATGCTAAGTAAGCTAAGCAAATATAACACTTATAATTGAGCAGACACAAAGCATCCAAATAAACTACATAGTGTACCAGATAAAGTAATAAAATAAATTGAGGGAAAGAAAAAACATTCTTTACTTCAAGGCGGTCGAAAGACTTTCGAGAAATAACGTGATGATATTTTTCGATTTTGCAAGCAGAGTCTCAAATTACGCTTTTTCTCTTTCTTTGTTCGTTGTAGTATAAGATATAAGAAATAAACCCTCTATATAAATGAAAAATAATCGCTCGTATGGTTAAAAAATACAAATATTATAAAATTATTTGGCATCTTGACAACTATGAAGAATCTCGAATGAATGCGGCCACATTGATATAAATTGGTAAAAGTACATTCAACATTTGATCACTATATCACGAATTGAACATAGGTTCAAGTGTGGGGCTAAATATTTGAATAATCTGTGAAATTGATTGTCATGGATGATTGGTTACATATTCGTGTTACAAGTATATGTGTAGAGTTCTACTTTTATTGCGGATCCATTTGTGACCTGTATGAAATGATACTCAAACAAAGAAATTGAATGATAGTGGCAACATAAGAAACGCGTCTCGTTGGAATAAATAGTGTTAAAGTTCGCTTTCGCTAGGAAATAGTCTAGCTTCGTCAGTCAAGGAGCTTATGGCAATGTCAGGGTAGTTTCTCTTCATCATTATACAAGATTTGCAAGCTTTTGATGGAATGAATATTTGTCAAGTATATATAATTTACTATTTCAACGAAAGTTTAAGAAATCGATAAATCATTTGATAATCTGCAATTCTCTTACTTTGTTGCATTAATTCAATAGTTTGAAACAAGGACAGCGAATGTTTTTTTAAGTAGTTCTTTTTCATAAGAAAAAATAATACTGTAACTTGATTTGTTTCTCCGAAATATGTTTCAGTTTACAACCGCAACAACAACAGTTTTATTTATTTTTGGGAATTTCATGGTGTATCTGTATTTGATTTATTATCCCATTGAAGTGCTATAATTATTGGAGTAGCTCAAAGCATTTTTTGGATCTTAACTCGAGCGAGAGATATAAAATGAGCTTGTAAGGCCTTTTTGAAGACATTTCCGTTGTAGGTAGTCCCAAAATTGTCTAAATAATTGCTCATTGCTTAAATGTCTTCAGAAATTGAAATATTTGTGAAGGTTTTTGCATTTTATTCCACTTTTCCCCTCGGTGTAAAGCGCTTCGCTCTGGTATATTAATTCCCCACGAAGGTTTCAGTCTAATTCAGCAATATCCGCAGGTCTTTTTACATTTTTTTCTGCCAGTGTTACCATAACACGAAATATGTCTTTCAGTGCAGAAAATACCTAACTCGTCTTTGCATTTAACCGGACGTTTTGCTGAAAAGTAAAATAAATATTAAACCCAGGTGCACTATATTAAAAAATGAATTACGTAATCTCACGATCACATCATGACAGGATGTGTGCCATTGTTTGTTCTTTTTTTGTGTAGACTTTTTGGTTAACATTGTACTAAACTATAAAACCAAGTTTCAAATTATGCACCTATGATCAGCAGATAACATGCTTAACTGAGACTGTTTTTCGCATTCCAGATACTCAGAAATTACATTTACCTTGTGGTGTTCGGCATTGTAGCAGTACATTGTTATTAAAACGAGTCAGTTCAAAATAGAAGTTGTTTATACCTAAGCACGAGTTATCAGTGATTTTTGAAAATACTTTATTTTGTGATTGTTGCGAAAATTTCCATCTTTGCGGTCGCATGTTTGTTTGGATGAAAAAAAAAAATTAAGATGGCAGATCGAAGAAGCTTGGTGTATCGAATGATAAATTTTTCTCTGGGGGCCCATATCTTATATTCTTGAATTGTATATTGCTCTGTTAATGCTTAGTACTCATATATATCTGAACCCATAGATGAAATTCCACTAATCAAAATTAACAAACTTACCAGAATAAGTACAAGGACCATTTGAACACTGAATAACATTTGATTTTTGTCCAGGACACTCTGATAATCGACCTCCGAGACATATCCTGGGGGAAAGGTAAATGTTTAATTATTTTATAAAACACAGGCAGTGAAATAAAGTAGCAGATTATTTTAAAAAGCTCTTCAGAACTAAATTAGCATGACACTAATTTTTTAATTTTATGCATACATATATACAATACGAGTCGTTGTAGTAAAGTGTACGGTTTATTACATGTATTTTCGGATTTCAGATAAATCCTATTTCATTATACCTTGACCGTCGTTTATATCCCGTGCGATCACAGCTGGCGTTACATTGAGTCCAACTTGTCCAATCTGACCAGCCAACAGGATAAGGTTTCTGCGTCGATTTGGATTCACTTGCAGGACACCGATTATAATCTTCCCTTTCGCCAACACATGTGTTACCTCCAACGCAAATTCGAGACCGCCTTTTATACACACAGCTCGACCAAGGTGCCCATTCACCCCACTGCGCTTTACATGGACGACTTGAACATGGAACAGATTCTCTGGCTGGTTCAGAACATGCTCTGGTTAAGCATATCCTGGCTCGTACGTGTTGTCCACCATCCCCACAGGTTTTTGTGCATGGACTCCAAGGCGTCCACGGCGTCCATTTATCAGGGCATCTACCTCGAGAACAGGATCGTTTTTCGGTCCTTAGCTTCATTAAAGAATCCCCCCCAGTGCGCTGTTGAAACCCTGAACCACATGATACTGAACATTCTGTCCATTGGCTCCAAGGCACTAAGAAATATGAATTTAAGTGACAATTTGAAGATTGAGATAGAGATGAAATTATAAGCCATTATCATTTTTTTCTGAAATCTATACCTTCGCAAGATCCAACAGCGCAACTTCTGCTTCTTATTCTAGATCCTTGACATCCCTCCGCTCCTGGTTGTCCCTTTTTACAATATCTGAACGAATATTGTTCCGACAAGTCACAGGTTGACATACATGGAGTGTAGGGACCCCAATTTGTCCAATATGCACAATTTCTATTGTAGCAGGTCTGGAATAAAAATGAACTGATATTCATATAGATTCTAGAAGATAATATAGCTATTATTAGTCTCGCAATAAGAATATGAGTAACTTTTCTCAGAACTTGTAAAAAGGAATTTACTATTTGAGAGTCCATTTTAAGCAAATCAATGATTTCTTACAATGTGGATCCTTCATTTATAATCCGAATGGGAAACATAAACAAAAATAATTAATAGTTTGGCTAATATGAATTTTTCTTAAATAAAACTGACTTTTATAAAAAAAAAGCCTAGGAAAGCAAATTTACATTTGAGACTTTCTCCTACTAATATTTATTACATGTAACAAGTACTTCAAATGTGAACAATGGATTCTAAATGCTTCATGTCACGTTTATCTAGGTCAGCAATCTGAATGCTATTTTGGATATTAATTAACATTATCCACCATACTTTTGCCATTCGTTAGACGAATCAAAAGTCACGACGACATGCATTTACGTGTGGCCGTAATTAATGGAAGTTTAGAAATTACCGAGTTCAGTAGGTGAACTGATGTGAAACTGAATGGATTGATCTTTGATCCAATCATTTTGTAATTAATGTAATTGATGAGATAAATGACTGCAGTAAAACTTGCAAAATCAATGTGAATCTTTCTATATTTACATTATTGTGGATTAAATCCTTCCTGAATATAACATAATTGTTGCCATTGAACTTACATTTCAGACTATGAAGATATAATATAATTACCGTATGTCATATATATGAATGGCATATTAACGAATAATAAAACAGACAGGGAATCGTATCCATGTGCTTCCTGTCCCCTTTTTGTATTGAGAATAGTATTAGAATACATTAATTTACATATTGGGTGTTTAATTCATCTAAGCAATTTAGGCATAATCTTTTAGCTCTTTAGCAGAGTACAGACTCGCATTAAAGATGACAAAAATGTCTAGACTTGAAGTAAAATGTCAAAACTTTCGGTTTAATTGATGAATCTAATATCCTGTTTGTTTTTACGCTAAATGACTTGAGACTATTTTCTATATCGGAAACAGAGGAGTTGAATCTGCATTTATCTTTTCCAAACTTAGGGTTACGTTAGGGTTAAAATTTTGGCCACAATTTTTTTCATCAAAACATAATTAATCCATCTTGATCATGTAATGTCATTTATTAATTTTCGAGCACGCCTGTGAAATAATAATATAAATATTTTCTCGAGTCTGAAGCAGTAAATCTTTAAATACTTCTTTCACGAAATCTTAGCAGTTTGAGCTCGAGAGCGCTCCTGGCTTGACTGGCCAGTCGGGGAACCGGCTCTTCTACAAAACAGAAGATTCCCCATGAGGTTGGTAATGATAAAATTAACTAAAGATCATTCGCGAAAGATGGTTAAAATGTAGCAATAAACAATTTAAACGTTTCTCACCCGTCGGTCAAACTTATTTCCGGGACAGCCCTGGCCGTTTTCATCAAGACAGACTCTGAGTCTTCGTTGAATACCTGGCTTTCCGCACAATGCGTTACAAGTCCCCCATGTAAACCATTGGGTCCATTCAGCAGTACGCGGAGGTTCTGAAATGGAATATCAAAGTAATTGAAAAATAAGTTTAATTTCAAGAAAGCACATCAGCTGATAAATCCATATAGCACAGTCCGTAGTAATTTTCTACGAAGTAAATTTGACATCAACTTTTAAATGTGTATGATGCAATTTCTCATCTCTATTATATGATCATATATACAGAGTATATAAATATATATACCTAGAATAATTAATTTCGACTGTTCTTAGTAAAACTCAAAATAGAGTCGACGACAAAATTTGCAGAAAGAATACTGATACTTGTCGGCATTTTAAAAGTAAGAAATACTTTATTTTAAATGAAATTCAGATTTTTTGACTAAATCCTTTTTGATTAATTTTCCAACTTTCCGCAACCCTTTCAGATTCAAACGGCCGATGCCTTTGGAAACCTTATTAATTTTATTTACCTTCACCTCTCTCGAGTTAACAGTGATGAAAGCAATAAACTTTTTTTAATATGAATTGTGCTGACATGTACATGGGAGGTTAAACCTCCGGCTTTTGACGATATTACCTGGGTTTTAAGGATTAAGATATTATCCTGCAAAAATGAATACTGTTCATCGGCTTGTAAATCAAGCAATATGCGGAAGGAATTCGTCTAGGAATGTGACTACTGGAAATTGATAACTGAAAAAATATGGTTTAAAACTTTAAATGATATGTACTACTATAACGATTTTATCGGAAATCACATAAAAATGGAATACAAATTGTTTGATAGTAAATATTTTCTAATTATCATTTGTACAGCAATGATTCTGAATAATGAAAGTGAGTTGTCACGCTTCATGTGTAAAATCAGCATTTTGCAACATTTGACGCAATTTTATCGTAACCGTTTCAACATTTTAGTATATATATATTATATATAAACTGGTCAGACCTCTAATCTTTCCTATTATGTTTTGAAAACAATTCCGTTTTAATATTTGGATATTTAATCTATAATTAATTTGATCAGATTTGACTGTTTATCAGTTTAATGATTTCTTAAAATGTTTGACCCGTCCTATTTGCATGCAAAGCAATGCATGAATTTTCCACATAATAAGAATGTCATTTAAGAAAGTCACGAGATTATTATACAATTCATTGTAATTTGCTTAAAAATGTTGGAATCATAATGAGGTTTGGGAGTTATTGTGTTGTCCATTTTGCAACCATCAGTTTAACTGCATATAGGTATGGCCGGACAATACAAATGATGCTATTGACTGCTTCATTGATTGAAAGACTGTGGCATGTTCCCTAATTTTACAAATCTATATGTATGTGTGTATCTGACATGAAAACTAAGTTACATGATTTCATAGTGGGTCAGTCACGAATTCAAATAACGTTTTTATTACCGATGTTTAGTAACATGTTTAACATGTTAGATCAAGTATATTTGGTTCGCCATATACCAGATTTTTTCAATTAGTGTTCTTTCCTGTATTACAATTTGTATTTCTCTCAGATTTCATCAAAGATAATGTTTATTTTTATAATATCATCACAGAATACCAGTTAAATTTTTATGCATTTCTTGATTTTAAATAAAACATATTTATGATTTTAGAAGAAAATTGTTATGTATTCTATTCTGTGATATATCAATTGTATATGATTGCTATCAGCAACACGGCCCTGAAAAATTTTTGTTGCGCCTCGATCATAAAAATATTATTCATGAAAGTCAAAATTGCTATTTTTAACGATGAAATTTGATATGAAGTTGATAGCGAGAGTTAACTAATTTTTTCGTACTCTTATTCCATCATATTGTCGTGGAAGTACCTACTTTTTCTGAACGTCTTCTCCAATTCCCCATTGCAAAAGCTAATAGCTCTTCGTAATTTTGCATCTCGTCGTACCAATGCTTCAAATGCAAAAGGCCAAGTTACAACATACGTCACACTTCCATCCGGTAATTCTTTAGGTTCCCCAATGTCTATATTCTCCTTAAAATCTGGTTTCCGTTGTCCACTTGGTAAAGTAGAATAGTCGCAGATACTAAAAATAAAGTTTCGCAGTATTAGTATTTTCTATTCTCATCATTTCCTAAAATAGCACAAATTTCATATGAAGGACAGTGTGACGTTCTGATATCCGTTACGTTACCAATTTAATAGGTCATATTTATATATTATGCTATACTGTGTTCAAACTTATCGACTGAATTGAAAAGATTGTTTTGCCAATATTATATAACCCGCATTTAGTATTCGGTTGAACCTTCATGAATGCGTATAATATTAATGAAGGTGATGACAATCGACGAAACTAAAAAGAATTCACATAAGAACCGCTTCATCTATATTTCTGTGGTCTATATTTCTGGGGTATTCATTTTCTTTGAACGACATTATCTGCAAATATAGCTACTTCTTGAAAAGTGCATAAACATAATGTATTTCCAACTATTTTAAACTGTTTTGAAATGAATGGTATATATGCATTGGACGCTGAAAATATACCAGCTGGATGGGAGCGATGAAATAATTCATAAACAAACACGCGCGCAGTATCAAAAATAAAACCTTGTACGAATAAGTTTTATGTTTTATGACCTTTACCTATAATAATATATTAATAGCACTGATATGCGAATAATCATCGAGTGACCGGATTATGACGTAATGTTTTAATGTAGCAGAGATAAGTACCGTGACGTAAAGCAACGCCATTTAGGTTAAAATACTACTTGAAAAGTTGAGTGTCATGGCTATGCTATTCTTGAACAAAAATATCGTTTAAAATTGTGTAAACCGGTTGGGAGATTTTCAGAAACTAAAATTTGTAGTGTTAGCTTTTATGTTTGCTGAGCTAAACCTTGCGGAACTGAACTTCGAAACTTATATTGGAGAAAATGGCAATTAATGATCATGTATGTAAAATAACATATAATCTATGAGGCTAAACCACTATATTTGCAAAGGGAAGTTGTAATGAGGAAATCGGAAATTGCTATTTTTGCACAAAATGCAATTGAAAGATAAAAGTAAGAGAACTTTTGATAACAACTGTTTTACATGCTTTTATCTTTAATTATAAATTGTGGAGATTTTTGCAATTTATGTAATCAAATGTCGAGGAGTTTGCTAACATTGTTGCCACCGGATGCAAGTTGCACATTGGAAAAATGCCAATAACTTCAACCGATTATATCTTAACTTCGTATTTTTGTGGGGAAAATATTTACATTCAAAGTCCATTTACAACAAGAAAAAATAATTAATAAATATCGTTTCTTCGACAATGGTAAACTAAAAACGTTATTCAAATTTCATGCTTACACGCATTGCACATGTCCTTTGATAAATCTGACAATTGTTTCGACATTCAAATCAGCATCAGTAGGAACGGACAATATTCCAACTTCTTGTAAAAGTTCAGCTGGGTCAGCATCGTCAAATTCTATTTGAACACATCTTTCATAGTTGTCTGATGGAGGTCTGGGCGTTACTTTTGTTTTCGCAGGTCGCTTAATAGTGTATGTTTCTGCAAAATATTCGTGTCGTGTATCAGTGTTGTTATCATTCCCAGTATATTGATAGGGATGCTAAACACTTTCCATCTCATCTTCCGTATTTGACCCACTATATTGTTGATCAGTTTTTGATGCGTAAATAAATCAAATTTTTGTTAAGTCTTATCAGATGGAAATGAGCCAATAGTTACACCTACCGTGTCAAGGTTTAATTTGGCATTACGTCATAAAGTTATGAAACGGTGATTCGATGGTAAATACCAAATTAGGAATCAAACGATGACTTGCTGAATGTCAAATATATACGACTGCTTGCATACTAACAAATTGACATACATTTCGGAAGTATGCAGTATCAAACTGCCATTAATGAATACCCATGGACCTCTCTGATCGCGTACAATAGTTTCGAATAAAATTCAGTATTATACAAGTAGAACAAAAGCTTCATCTTAATAAAAACGCACTTTTTCCAATAAGAAAATCAGATTGATATTCATCGACACAGGCTTTGGCTGCATCTAGCATTGAAGATGTGTTTCGTAAATATACATCGAGACAATCTTTCCAACAAGTGGTGTCGTCTTTGTTATTTTCCTCTCTAAATACCAAAAAAATGTTTTTAAATGAAGTCGTTGAAAAGTCAATTTTGATTGAAGTTATTTAGTTGATAATTCAGTTGTGGTGGAAATTCAGAGGCAGCAATAATTTGTTACATTGGAGAATAATTTAGTGAGGCCAGTATTAGTATCGTTATATTGTCTTAACTACAAACAATAATTATACATATCCCTAACAAAGCAGATATAAACGGAAAATTTCGAATTATGAACCGTTTAGGGATTTTTCGGTGTCTGTAATAGATCATAGCTATTAATAGTCATTAATTAAAAATTAAATACTATTTTGCCCATAATAGGAAAATCAAAAGAAATTTAATTAAATTAAGGAAAAAAATAACAGCAATTAAGTTATTATAAAATATCTTGGGTTTAAGCAATAAGTAGTATTAGGAAGAGGGAAACCGTATTCTTAATTAGCAACTACTTTCAATACTGGCACGATGTTACCATATAGTTATACTAAAATCAAAAACAACATGAGATCACGCTGTGTACAAATGAAAAATCCCAATATAATTCATGTATCAGCGTGGATAATTAATAGTAAATCACTTCACATATAATTAAGTTTGTATATGTCTCAGACGTTCATTATTTTTTTGTAAAAATAAACAACTTACGAACATGCAACTGCTCCTGAGTACAAAAACCACAGTGTTTTCAATATTGTAAAGTCGATAACACTCTTCCACTCCCACGGCTCTTCAACTTTGTCAAACATACAATCTCGGAAGTATGCTCGTAATATCGGGAATTCTCCGTCATAATCTTCGCCAAGTTGTCGTTTTGATCGTACCAACGATCGAACGTCTTCATCCTCGACCAATGTAGCATTTGTTTCATCAACTATAATAAGTCCTTCGTCATCGTCGTCGTCATCATCATCGTCTTTATCTTTCTTTTGATGACCGGCGTGACAACCTGGTGGAAAATCATCAACAGTTAGAATAATGAAAGTGGGCTTCGTTTGCTGTCATTTTTTATCTAATAATTTTACGTAATCTTATTGAACTACTCTTACGATATATCACGAGAATCTTGATATAACTGACAATAAATAGTAAATGGTAAAGTCTCATAGCGCCGTAAGTTTAAAATAATATCGCCAGCAAAAATTTAAATTACGCCTGGTAGTATCGAATAATATACATACTTGAGTCAAAAGTCAACTAACGGAAGCTCCATAGCTGAATTAGCAGCGATTTTTGTGATCGTTTGTAGTTTATTCTTTAGTATTTCAATTAAGTTAATTTTTTTTGTACGGGACAAATATGATTAGAACGTTGTTTCAACAATATTAGCGTCGTTGGTCAAAAGATCTTCGACTCTTGTTCGATGTGAAAAGACACAAAAATGTAACAAAAAGCATTGTGGTCATGTAATATTTGAAGGTACATCAAAAACTCATAGTTTTGTGTATCATAAAATTCTTTTGACCTTGTTAAAATAAATGTAAGATATTATCTGGCAATTGTTTCACATGAGTAGGTAAACTTTCCAGACCGCTCGTTCCCAAGTATAGTGGTTACGAAAAACCTTCCACGTATAAATGCCGCAGATACAGATATTTATATAAACACAAGAAAATTGTTATTGCGTAAAACTGAAAATGATTCGTTTTATCAGGATATGATGGTCTTTGATTAATTACCTGAAATTTATATATATTTTTCTAATCTTCAATCTTATCAATAATCGTTGGATGTTCGGGATTTTAGAATAAAATATGCCTTTTTTTCGACTAGGTTTTTATTTGGTAAAATAAAATGCGTAATTTTACGTGATATGAACTCAATATGATGGTCTTATCGAGCAAAGGTTTCAATTTTATACTTGTATGTAAATGTGTTCAAAATAAATCAGCAGGATTTTAATCTGGTTAGCCTGTTTGAACATACAACACTTATGTCGCGAAGTACATCATGGGTGGTACATGAAATATAAGTTCGAGAGATTGTAACGCTGCATCCAAATCTGTACTGATCATATTTTGGCGTGTGTGCGTGTTTAAGGTTGCCGAAACAATTATATTCATATTTATGTCTTTCTAGGAAATCTTCAAACCACTCAAAACCCAGAACAATTCCCCAGTGAAAGACGAACCAACAATCAAAGAAATTCAGCCTTTACCGACGATGAAGCAACAAACCAAATGCTCGAAAACCAAAATTTAATAATATTTAATAGAATTTAATCTGCGAGACAAATCTAACTCTAAACTTAAAAGTAAGAGGTGTTTTAGTTTGGATTGCACTTGAGACACTTTGTTCATTACCAAGAATGAAGAGCAGTGTTCGTTTAATTACTTATGGCTATCTCGCAATTATTGGAATACTAAAAAATGCTTTAAACATACTTACTTTATTTATTTTCCAGCGTACAGTAATATTCTTATGATAATTAGGATGGAATTATTATTTGTTAGTGAATTTGTGGTTGAACGGCGTCAAACCATTGCGTCAGAAGGGCGGCGTCTGTTAGAAACTACGCATCAGATATTGTTTATTTATCAAAATATCGTATCTTTCGGTTTATTGCGTATAGTTGAAAATTTAATCTCAGCTAAGAATATTCTTCCGGAATGTGCAGGTTTTAAACAACGCTGTTACTCTGTTTCTCAAACCTAAGTTTATTGGTGCAAACATAATAAAAAATAGTTATGTCAGTGGTTTAAATTTGAACCAATGAAAACGAAGATGAAAACTTTATGAAAACTTTTAGGTATTATATTGTACCGATTACAATTTATGCTATTTAGGAACCGATTGAAAATTAATAATGATTGACAGAGGCATTTAAAACGCAAAGTGTAACACTAAACTGTTAGTTAAATTCACAGTTCACAGCAGTAGTTTGAAGCGCACGTTGTCTTATACATTGATGGTTTATCTCCCGCAAAATGGTATACAGATATTGTTTAAAAGTGAAATATTTTATAAGCTCAGTTTTAGTAATTTAATCTGAGAACTTAATTGTATGATATTTTATCTGGAATATTGAAAATATGATACTCTATAACACAGGATTGGATAGAAATGTTATATTTTATTTTTATTAGTTTCACTTTTTAGTCGTCCAACAGTCGCGATTTAAGTTTTACACTCTTATAAATATTAGGGCAAAGAACGAAAGTAATTACTTTCTATTCTTTTCGAATTATAAAGAGCACAGAGAATGGTACGGGCGGGATAAAGTTTCTCGCGGTCCGTTTTAAGCATTTTATCTCATAAATTCATCTGTCGATTCTTCAAAATTTTTAAATTTTGTTACGACAAAATAATAACATTGATAAAGTATCGGGTTTTATGATTTAACGAGGTTATCAGATGCTTGGTTTTGCATGCGTGTCGGCACTACGTAATAATTCAAATATTTACTCAAATAAATGGGTAATTAGCAATTATTTTCATATATTCAAAAAACATCAACAAGTCGTTTGAAAGGAAGGACGTTTGATGAAGAAGCATTAAAAATTATTTCAAAGCAGTTTGCACGTGGAACGACACAAACTGTCCTACCAATCACGTCTATGCCATTAAAATGAAATGAACAAATAATAGGCCCGATAACGATTTTGGGAATCTTTTTATTGAAACAAATATTTGAAATTGGCGATAGTGCACTCACATTGAATAAAAATAAACAAATTTCTCACTTACCTTGTGCAAGTCCGTTTTGGTAATCCACTATAAAACATAGTAACATAAATCCCACAAATAATCTTATAATTTTAGTCATTTTAAAGTATGCTTTGTAAAAAATACAATGAAATAATTTATATGCAGCTGCATATCTTTATACTATGACTTTGAATATTGTAATGCATTAATTTTGCCAACTATGTTTCATATTTTTCAAACAGCTTAAACACAATTATTGTTATGAGATTTGGTTTAAGATTCGAGTTTATATATAAATATAACATCAACATTGCAATACTATAAACTGATTAACTAAAATATCAAGGAATGAATGATGTATTATACAATACCGACAAAACAAACTATACTGAATTAGTCAATCTAGCTTGAATCTCAAGCTTGGTGTGCGTTTCACAATTAACCAACCTCAAGATTTACATTAATTTCTACTATTGTTTTTAACTTCGGTGATGAAATTTATCATATAACCAACAATAGACCTCGTTTACAAGAATGATTTCACGGAATAGTTTCTGACAACACCGAGATTATTTGTATTCGTGTAGCGGAAAGACGCCAAATAATAACAGATTTAACGGGTGATAACCAATTGCTTGAGTCTCTGTAACCTTACAAAATGAATTGGATACTGGTTGGCTAATGAAGACGTCGACGCCTTTAGGCTATCCTATAAAACGTTTCTGATCGTCATTAAAACTTTTACATTAATTTAATTTTACAGCAAATGGAAACAAACACAAACACCGACTTTAATGACTGCTATGAATAAACGCTGAGTTTCAATTTTATATACCGGTGAAAATATTTTTTCTTTAAACTTCTTTATTTCTAATGTTGAACCAAATGACAAAACGAAGAAAAAGGGAACTTATCATTTCTACGTGTTTTTTTCTTTGGTAATATAATAACATTAATAGATTGAATAGTTTTGCTAAGTCATGAACTACAACTGCTTTGTAGATATTTTATGTAACCTATAACTAACTGGCTTTGCAACAGAAGCGCGCTGCTCTATATATTTCAATTGTTTTGGAAACGTATGTAATTCTTGTTAAATTTGAATGTAAAATTAGACGGTGTAAATTACGATTAATGGTAGTCAGAAACAGAAAGTCATTTTATTGATCCCGAGTAGTGCGTACCATATAATAGGTTAAATTTATGTGTAATCAGTTCGATATTGTCAAAATATGATGATATATATTACAGTAAATCGCAGAACTCATAATACCAAACAGAATTTCTAAGAGCGTACCACAAATTACAAAGTCATTAATGTTCATTTCTTGAACAAGATGTGTATCAATGTACGTATAAATAAATAAAATATACATTATCCTTCGGATTAGGAATATTTGGATTATTACATGCGCTTTTATATCAAATATATCTGTAATAAACAAAAAACAAGCATTTCAAATACGTGTCATTGATTTTATCGTATATTGCTTAAATTTTAACGATAGAACATTTTCTAATGAATTGTCGTACAAATAGAAATGAAAGGCACCTACTTAAGATGAAATGCCGCGATTATGGCATTGATTTTCAACTCAGAGTTGTCTTTCAACCCTAGCATTTTCCCTGCTATTGTTGATTTTGTCAAGTCTACCAAGAGAGTACTATACGTATATAAAAAGTTTGATATCAATTGTCTGGCGCAAAAGACCTAAATTGTTGAAAGCGCCATATACTTTCATCATACCACCACACACACGAGTATGATATACACCAATCATTTTAGACGTTACATTTTGCATTCAACATTCCCATAATGTAAACTATTTGATCAATGTGCTTGGCAATTTTGTTCATATTCATTACAATTTGTGACGACTGCACCTTTAATCTCTACATTTAATGCTTAATATAAATTATACACATGACTGTTGTTAGTACGGGAATTTTACCTGTCACGCACTTATATTGTATAAAACTAAATTCAAGCAGCTCGATATCACTGTTAAATTTTGGCTACCGCTAATATAAACCATACCATAAAAAGTAGTTGTCTCACGATATGTAAGCAAATTATTAACCGAAGCTGAACTGTTGGTCGGGATTATTTTTAATTTCTGTACGAAATCTACAATACTGCCGAAGTATGTGTACCAGGTTAGGGTTAGGCCCTAATTTCATTTCAATTTTTGTTATTTTAGTTCTATTACAAGTTCGGGGTTTAGTTCTATTACTGTCTGTGTTAGCCAAGTGAATATTTCCCTCCCCATAAGTTTCAGTCCCTTCACACAACTTGATGTAATATAGGCGAAAAAGTTAGTTTACTCCATATTGGTACACATACTTCTGAAACGCCAAATCTACTATATGGATATATTGTAGATCAGATTTATTTTCCTCGCTGTGAATAGGAATATAAATCATATATGAAACAGTTCGTTTTTACCCGAACGAAACAAAAATAAGTAATTATGTCTGTAAATCTGATTGATTGACGTTCAGTAAATCAGTACAACATTGATAAATCTTGATGAGTTTTGGCAGGAAATATGCTATGAATTGACAACGCATCACTCATGCTATACTTGTGTTTCAGGCTACGACAAACTTAAACAAATGATACACAGTGATATGACTTATAATTCCTGATTATCATTGAAATGTTAAATCACCATATTCGCATTAATCAGTCTGAAATCCAGAATTCCTACATACTAATAACCGCAAGGCCAGATTATCCGGCAGTCCGCGTGCCAAAACCACTACAAAGACTACATTATTGCTTTAAGCGCTTTGCGCGATTAATGCTCTCAGTCACTTTCGTATGGTCATAATCAGTAAATTGCTCTTATACTGTTTATATATCCATAATGCGCACCATACATTACAAAACGTATTGTTTAATATTCATTTACTCATACTGCACTGCAATGCTAAATATTTATTTTTTTATTTATATTTCCTACGTCTGTTTAATTAAGCAAGTAATCTAACGAGCGCATATGTTTTGCAACATTTCAAAAGTTCAAAAGTAAAAACTCGTGACCGTTCAGTATGAAATTTCTAAACGGTGTAGAAATAGTTGTGCGATGATATCTTTCCCATTGAATTCCATCAATTGTTGAAGTAATTGCATTGAAGAAACGTAGAATATAACCCGAAATTAATCCCAAAACTCAATGATAAGAAACAAATTCGAGCAAGTTCTGTTGCTGTAACTGAGTCCTTTTCGAGTATTTGAAAGATTAACGCTTTGAATATGACATGACCTTCAACCAAAGTCTATCATATATCAAATGGATGCCGTCAAGAATGAGTGTAATGCTGGGGGTGTAAATTACTGTTTAGGGTAATAAATTTGATTTCCAACTGGAATATCTGTATCAAAGATATTGTTAAAATCGAGTGTCGTATGAAAGTTAATCTGTGTGATTATACAAATTCAATCCGTTAAATTAATCCTGTGATCTCACGATTCGCACCAAAGAACCATTAAATACAAAGAGAAATTTTTTTGTGCTTTCATGTAAGGTGTGTAATATTTGTTTAATATAATATTATTTTATATTTCGTCTAATCAATGACTGTACGTAGATAAAATTTCGTGAACGTGATGGAGTTTGTGTTCGATTCAGTTGTGACATATATATGAACATAATACAGTTGCTAAAAAGTCTTCCCTAGAATATATATTTATATATATAAATTCAATTTGGGAATATTCCATAAAATGATACAGTATTGAAATGCTTTGTGACAAAAAGTACTTTGATCTGAAAAAGGGATAAAGACATGCATGCCTATCATTAAATGTTTTATTACTGGAATCGCAGACTGTATGCAACCTGCAAAACACAACCGTCGTTTGCCTAGAAGGCAGCAATCAAACAATACTGATGGTGTCTTAATTAATGAATGACGTAATTGAATTGTTGCTAATCTTGATAATAAGATCAGAGACTGATCGTCTGGATGATTTTATGTGGATATGAAAACATACATAAAACCGAATGTAAACTAGATATAGCTTTTGATATGAGTTTAAATAAGTGCATGGCTTTACTAAACGGAGCTTTGTCTCCTTACCTTTTTTATTTCTTCTATGTTTTTCCGGCGTAAGTTCATATGCTGGAGGCGATTATGAGCAAGGAAATAGCTGGACTTCTCAAATAGCCGGACTTCTCATCATTCAAAATGGTGGTTCATGCATCACTGGTCGGTAATGGTTTCCTCCATCACATACTGCTATGTCTACGAACTAGGTTTCAACACTTGACCAATGCGTCTTATCGAATCACCATATAGATGTCCAATGCTATGATGTTTGACGGACAAATTATTAGCTTACATACAAAACTCTCTCAAAAGTTTGTCTTACTGTACATGCCAAACTTCATGGAGAAGATGTACATAAATGTGAATATCGCTAACAAGATGAAATAATATGGCATACGATTAATGGTTTGTGATGAGTGATTACGAAACCTTCTGTTGAGATTTAGACTAAGGCGCATTATATTGAATATTTTTAAGATGCTGCCGAGATATCATTGGATATCGGAAATGTTTTCAGCACTAATTAAAAATCAATTTTAGCCGAAATTAAACATATATCAAAAGAAAACCCCAGACAAGGTATTGCAGAAACGTTCATGAGATTCAGCAGATTACTTCCTTGAATCAAATAACTGGACAAGTTGAAAGTTCGATACTATTTCTTGAAGTTGTGCATCTTCCAGTTTTTACCAAAGTCAATAACGAAATTTTCTATTGCAATTTTACGAGTTGCTTACAACATAAAGATTCTTAAAGATACCCTATACAAATAAAGATACCCTATAGGACTAATGTAGTTTATTCTGACATGAATGGCAAAATAAATAAAACGGATCATGATGATGCAGCTGATTTGGCTGATAACGAAGTCATCATACTATAAGAGTTGAAAATTGTTTTGAATTATTTTCCAGTTACATCACAATAATAAAACATGTGCATTCCAGTGCTGTTATGTCTTTGGTAACACAGTCTTTGTATGTGAATTGTCTGAGATAGACTGTAATGCTGAATGTCAGTAACGATTCCACCAAGGTGTGGTGATTGGATATTATACATGTGCTAATATATCATGATAAGCTCAAACGCAAGTAATCAATATGATTTCTACAAGACAT